CTCAGTGAATTGACATAAGTTTAGATAACTAACCAGTCAATTTTAATATTATAACTGAAAAATATTAATGTAGGGACTAAATTTGAAAAACAAAATTCAAATATCATGGACAAAAACATAGTCTAATTTTTTTAAATAAAAAACTAAAGGTAAAATGGTTTCCATATATCCTAATATTTAGAATCAAATTTAGTAAGAAGTTACCAAATTGAAAAATTAAGTGGTACAAACAAGATTTTGAATGTCATGTCGAGGCTTCAACTTTATAAAAAGCTGATAAAATGTCTACGTTGATAAACAATTTTAAAAAAAATTATAAAAATAAATAATTCAAATAAGCGCCCCCACTCTTTTTTGAATAAGTTTAAATATCTTGTTATTAGTAGCCTGTGTATATTAGTAATATTTTGTTGACATTTTAAAATTTTTTGTCGATTTTTTTATCATACAATAAAAATATCGATTCATCTCTWATGTTGATGTGGTTTGACGGTTATGTGTCAGATAAATTGTGCGATAATCCCAAGGGAGGGATCAGATATTGGAGAGGAAGAAGTGCTGAGGTTCTGCAGAACCAATCTGGCGGCCTTCAAAGTTCCAAAGAAGGTGTTCCTCACAGATTCTGTGCCCAAGACTGCTTCTGGCAAAATACAACGCCGAATCGTAGCCGCCCATTTCCTTGAACAGAAATCCTGACCACCCATTATCTTCACCGCGACTATTTGCATTGAATTCTCAAAGTAATTATTTAAAAACAGCACCATAACTTTTAGCTACTTGATTCAGAATAAGCTGTTTTAATTGTTGGTGTTCTTTTTGAACTGTGCTGCAATTCAAATCGCCTTTGAATGGGTGTTGTGAGAGATTAATAGTGTAGGATGTTATTATTATTTGTAAAAAGTATACTTTTTGAAATTATTTTGTAAAAATAAATTATATATGCAAGGGTGGAGCTGGAAACTATTCAAAGGGAGGGACACAATTTTGCATAGTAATGCTATGTATAATCATCTTTCATTTCTTAAAAAACCGCCTAATTATGAGAGGATGGAAAAAAAAAATCCCTAATAAGAATAAAATAATTGGGAAATTGAAATAAAGACAAGAATGATGAAAATACAAGAATTTACGACCTAGCTTACATAGTCGTAGTTTTGTTTGCTTTTAGTGCGACAAGATTGCTTGCGTTCACTCCCTCATTCGATGGAAAGGCTAACAGAGAGAGAGACTGCGCATGACGTTGCGGGCTTGGCTTTGCACGACGATTTCAAACCCTCACTTTGTGTTGGCTAGCTTGCTTGGCGTAGGGGTGCAAATAGTCGGGTGTCGCCTGAGTGATCCATTGTGTGGCTACGGTGGTGTGAGTAGTGATTTGGTTGGTTGGGTTGACAGGCTAGGTGCTAAGGCATCGAACTCTCTGCACTGGCTCCTCCTCATTGGTTCGACATGCCCCAATTAAGTAGTTGGTCCCTTTCTATCAGCACCCTTCGTCAGGTGTGCTTACATGGAAAACACTCCAAGCTGGAGAAAAACGATAGTCCACGAAAGAAAAATTCACTATATCAAGAATTATTACAATTACACAAATTTCTTTCTTGACTCCAATTACACAAAACACTCTCTCTCAAAACAAATATCACTCAATTAGCTAAAGCTAGTATACCAAACTTAAAATGTTTCAATTTGGATGAATAAAACCTAAAGGCATGAACCCCTTTTATAGCATTTGGAGCACACCCCTTTCTTTCGACGTGGGAAAACAATTTACCTTTCTAATATTTGGCCAAGATGCAACACATGTTAAGGATCCCACGTTGAAAAGATAGGAGACCTGACAAATGTTTGTAAAATACATAAATTACTACTCCCATAGCTAATTGGTTTTGAGATGGAATCTCATTAATATTAATATGGTGTCAGAGCTCAAAAAACTCAAATGAGCATTTGGTTAAAAAATGGAATGCGGACCAAGATTTGGTGAGCACAAAAATCATCTTTTCAAAAGAGATTTCTAATTTGTTTTAGGCATGGTATTAAATATTTTGTCGACAAGTAGATATTTTCATGTATTCGTGTGTTCGACATTGATATTTCCATCGTATTACAAAAAAATCCACAAATATATAAAAAAAAATATCAACAAAATGTCACTAATATATACATAATATTAGTATTAATTTTTTAAACGTATTCAGAATTAGAAAAATGTTAATTTGTTAATTTAAATATTTTTTTACGATTTTTTAATTTATCTAACTTTTATAGAAATATCCATCGACATAGACATTTTATCGATATTTGTATCGATATTTCCATGAAATTGAGACATCGACATTTCCATCGACAACAACATGACATTTAAAACATTGGTTTTAGTTTTCTTTTTAGTAATTAATTTTTATTAAAAAAATATTATGAGTTACTATTTATGTTTTAAAATCTCCGCATCATTAAGAAAAGTTAGTTAATTTAAAAAAATCGTTTACATTTAAAATGTTTTGAATTATATTTTTCCAATTTAAAATAATATAGCATAAACAAATGGAGGGTTATTTTATGTTGTAGTCCAAGTTGTAACCTAAATAATTACAAATTTATCGTACAAAAAATATTTTTAAAAAATGGCACAAATAGTAAGAACGTGTATATTGATGTACTCCATATTAAGTCGATCGATGATATAAAATGAGTATATTAATGACCTACTTTAATCTTAGTAGAGTCATGAGATTAAAGTAATCGAGCGAGGTAGAATCACGAATTGTTTCGTGAACAATCAAATTAGGCTTTTATATTTATAGTCATATAGACATAACTTTTATCTACAGTGTATAAGAGTAATCAATGCAAAATATAGCATAAAATGTAAATCAATTCGAGTTAAATGTAAAAGTTGATATTAATTGAGTGCAATTTGAAGATAAAAATTGTAATTGAAATATGGAAATCTAGATTTATAGACATTTAAGATAGTAAGATGTGTATGACATATTGCGTAATTTGACCCACAAATGGTGATTTCTATCGATGTATTGTACAATTGGGCCAATTTGGGATAATCCTTGCCCAATGGATTTCGAAGAGTCTACTAAATTTTGGAAGTTCCACAACGGGATATTGATTGACCTAAATAATATAAATTTATTTCTTGTGCATATTCCCCTCCAATAAATTTAAATTCATCATAAAAATAAAAAATATATATAGATATACATATATAGTAATATAATTTTTATTTCTATCTCTTCTTTAAACTATTTATGTCACAAAAATTAAATTTTATTAAAAAAAACACTTTACTAAATATTTCAAGTTTTAATGTCTTTCTTCTTTTTTTTTTTAAGCACACATTATCTTTTTCTATATTTTATATTGATAATTCAATTATGTTTTAAGGTCGTAATTTTTTTTATTTATTTTACAAGAAGTTTTACCATTGGTACTAAACAAATTAATATCCATTTATTAAATCACCCATTAAGTTAAAACAAAAATTAATGTAAAAAAGTTCTAAAACTCACAAATTTGACGCAAATCAAGTTTTGCACGAATTAGATTTTGTACGAATAACTCTCCCAAAACTTAGTAAATTTTTTTTTTAAACCATAATGTTGTGGTTTTTTTAGTCCTATCAATTTCGCACCAATCATATTATATTTATATTTATAATATTTGTTTGTGCCCCTGACATAAGTTTTTGGATCACCATTGTTATTATATAATATCTTTTATATGCACCTATTTCCGAGCATGAGGTTGATAGTTCAAATTCACACCTCAACATGTTGTAACCAAATAAGCAATTAACTATTAATTGCCATTTTTTTTGCAATTTCTTTTTTGTGTTTTCACTTTTTCTAAATGGAGTCTTCTTTTTTTCTGGATAAAAATGAAGGGAGTGATAACTGAAAATAGGAAAGATTGAAATTGATTATGCAAAGATAAAAGCTTAATGTGGAAAATGTGTATTATTAGTGAGAGTTGTGGAAGTGATTGAATGAGCCATTTTAGACAATAATTCTCAACCTTTGTTTCCTTCCTTAAACTTCTCTTTCTTCTCACCTCTCATTTCCTCCCCAAAAAATAAGGATCTCAATTCTCCCATTCCTTTTATCTTCTATTTCTCTCTTTCTTCTCTCTTTCCCATACTTCACCTTTTGTTTCTCTCCTTCCTACTCAAGACAACATGGTATTATGCTGTCTCTCACCTTACAATTTGATCCATGATTTAGAAGAAGAATAGAATCGATGATGATGATTTCGTTTTTAGTTTTTTATTTTCAAAATAGGCTTGTTTCTTCGCGATTGGATTGATTTTATTTTGTTTGTTTTATCGTTGTTAGTATGTTTTAAAAGTAGATAATGGAGTATGAGGAAGACTTGGTCTTATTTGTTGTTTAATGTTGAGGGTAGGCGAACGCAGCATCTGGAATGGCCGTTAGAGATGAATGTAAATTGAAGTTTTTGGAGCTAAAAGCAAAGAGAAATTACAGATTCATCATTTTCAAGATCGACCAACAGGAAGTGGTGGTAGATAAATTGGGAAAACCAGAAGAAACGTATGAAGATTTTACCGGATCTCTTCCATCAGATGAGTGTCGCTATGCTGTTTTTGATTTTGATTTTATTACTGATGAGAATGTTCAGAAGAGCAAGATTTTCTTCATTGCATGGTAAGTACGTAGGTAAATTTATTAGGAAATTTCATCATTTTCATTTTACGTCTTCCCTCCAATGTTCTCTTTAATAATTACCCGGTCTCAAATGAAAAATGACAAACAAAAAAAAAAAAAGAAGAAAGAAAGAAAGAAAAGAAAACAGAGAAATTTCTGATAATCAATAGTTAACATCAACTTGATTAACTATAATAATGATAGTAATCACTAATTAACCTCAATATTAGTTAACTATATAATTACTAATTATCCTACCGGTAGATTATACTTCGTTTTTTCCTCTCTATCTGTATTATGCAGGTACAATGTTTGAATCAATATAATAGAGCACATTTTCTCTTGCATCTCTTTGAGATTCTTCGTTATGATAATAACTTCTGATAATAACTTCTCTTAGAAAGATCATGATGTCATTGTAATATTGGAGTTGATATGTTTATGTCTCGAACCTTTTTCGTGGTTCAATAGATAACTTGATAAGTCAACGACACACATATTGTCGGATATACGTGTGCTGTAATATTTGCTATATTTTCAAATATTGTTTTTTTTTATGTTTATTAGGTCACCAGACATATCTAAGGTGAGAAGTAAAATGGTGTATGCGAGCTCCAAGGATAGATTCAAAAGAGAATTGGATGGCATTCAATTTGAGTTGCAAGCAACAGATCCGAGCGAGATGAGTTTTGACATTGTCAAGGCACGTGCATTTTAGATGCCACAAATTATCGATCTATCCCTCTTTGTTTTGCTCCATCAACAAACTACTACACATGTTCTTGGAGCTAATTTGTAATTTCTTATATCTAATTTACTTTTATATACTTTTACTTTTAACTCAAATTTGTATGTGTAGCCTTTCACATTATTTCATGTATTGGGAAAGTATTTTATATCATGATCATATGTACTTTTTTAGTCTTATGAAATACTTCATTCAAAGTATTCTATTTAACTAGAATGGCAAATTCACTTGTTTATTAAATTTGAGAATAGGATCGGGAGTTTATACACTGCTATGCAATATGCAGTTGAAGAGTTTCATCTCGCTTGATTTTAAAAAGGAATACAATTTAATAACTATAGAGATTATCCACTATTATAAGGCAAATGACATGGATTCCAAGAAATAAAAAATAATAAAAAAAGAATTATTTAATAGTCTATAGCCCCAAACACAAGCTATCCAATCTTAAACTATAAATTCCTACCCTCTAAAAACAGGCTTTTCAATCCCATGCATCCCTACACTAACTCAACTGGTGCCCTAAACACCCCAAAAGTAGTATCTTTCTCTCCCTTATCCTTCCATCCTTCCCGCCTTCCACTTTCTCTCTCTCTACCGAATCGAAATGCAAATAAAGTCCTATATTGGTTAGGGAAGAGCATGATTCACGGTATATATATGAGAACAATTATCTCCATTGGTATGAGGAATTTTGGGTGAAACCAATAAACCAAAGCTGTATGCCTATATCTAAAATGGACAATATCATACTATATATTGTAGAGATACTTAGAATACCGTTGTCCTTCACATCGGTTTGGTTTAAATTCGATATTCTTCTCTATTGGACATTGGTAGAGTTCCATTGAAATCATTAGTTAATTTCCGATTTAGGCAAAAATTGAGAAAACTGAACTGACAAATTCACCTCTATTACGACCTAATTCTTCGTGACACGTGATTACAGTGAGCAAATATGTGGTTGTTAGTTTGAATATGTTACTTTATGCTTGTGGTCTTCAAAGGCATTATTTAGTAGTCTTTATAACTAGCACTAGTAACTCGAATCATCTCATAACTATTCTAAATCAAAGAATGAACCGTGAAATTAACAATAAATAGGAAGGCACATATACAACTTTTCTCTTCATAAATGTAACCTAACATTAAGAATCTTATGTATTACAATGGAAATATGGAATTGACAAGGTTATGATAGTAAAACATGCTCTTTTTGACCCAATATTTTGCAGTGGCTTGTCTATTTACATCCACACGTTGTTGTGTAATTCTTATATTTTCATGGAGAAATACAGCAACTTCCTGACAAGCTCTATATCTAAGCCACGCTGAAAAGCATGAAGCATAATCGAAAGTAATCTTATCTTTTCTCAACCATTGTCATTCACGGGACATGGTACATTTATGTAATTTAGACTTGGAATGTGAGCGAGTCTTATCGATATTAACATGTTTTTATAGTAATATAACTATGCAATAATTTCTTCATTTATTATAGCTCAGTGAGCTATCGTATCTCTCTTTTTTTGTTGTAGTGTGAGGATTTGATTTAATTTTGCCCCAAATTTTAAAAATGTTTCGACTCTAACCCCAATCTTTTAATTTGTTTTTAAAAACTCTGTTAATGATTTTCATTGAAAATACCAAAACAAAAAAGACAAAAAACACACACAAAGATTGGGGTAAAATTGAAACTTTTCAAATGTCAAGAGAAAAAATCAAACCAACTATATATGTTAGTATTTTTTATAACTTATTTGGAATTAAAGAGGTTGATGGAAAAATTGAAACTTTAGCACATCAATAGAACATTTGAAATTAGCCACATAAATAATAGAGGTGGTTTAACTTAGCCTTTGAAAAATTCTATACTTTCATACACTTTCTTTTATAGAAATTTTTAGTTTCTAAATAAACTTTATGAATAGCTTATTTCGAAGAAATTTTATCCTCATTATCATTAAATGTTTGACAAATTAGAGAGAAATATAAAATAAATAAAATAAAATAAAAACTTCTGAGAGAAATGCAAAAACAAATATTTTTTTTAATAGAATGAGTTGTCAATTTTCAAGGATCCTTAAGTCCTCACCCATAAGAAGTCAAGTATTATCCTTTTATGCACCTATATTATAAATTAGTTTAGTGTAGTTTTACAAATATAGTAAACCAACCATCATGTATCTCATTTTGTTTGATCTAATTTAACCATGAACACTACTCCAATAATTTTGCCTTTGCCTGTATATTTATGGTTTCTTGATCATCATCTTGATTTGCTTTTTGTAGTACAATATGTAGGGTTGAAGATCGTAATTCACACCCTCTTAGTTGGAGATATATGTCAATTACCATTAATCTAGGTTCGCTTTGGCATCATCTTAATTAGTTTTGGTTAACTTTATGGTTAAATTTCGAGAGATGTTCATAATTTCAAATCTTGTTGGTCGATCTTAATTAATTACTGTCGACCTGACTAATATTGTTAATGAAAGTAATGGTGCATCTTAGTTTTCCTCCAAGTCTTAAAAATAAGGGCTTAATTGGTACTTTATTAATATTGATGTGTTAAAACTCTTTTTTTGTATAACGTTTTTATTATATTTTACAAAAATTCACATGGGAGGACAACTTTTTATAATCACATTTTTTTCTGAGACGTTAATAAAATATGAAAAGAAATATATTTAGTATATATATAAGACTAAATTTGTGGTGAATTTTGAAGATTTCTCAACTGTTTAAACCTAGTCAGCTGGCCCCAATGTAGAAAAACTCCAAAAAAGTCATGGCATGGCATGCAACCTACTTTCGGCCTTACACATGTCAAGCAATGATTTGATCAAAACTACTTTATAAACCACAACAAACATCATTCCTAAATCAACAACTTTCATAGTTACCTTCATCGAATCGTTTTGAAGTTATTAAGACTGTGTATTTTCAAATTTCTCTCCAAAACAAAATGGCAGATAACTCTCAAAAGATGAGCTACCACGCGGGAGAAGCCAAAGGCCAAGCTCAGGTTCTCTCCACCATCGATATTTATATTCAGCCACATCATTTTCTATTAAATATAGCATGCATTAATTTTAATTATTAGTCGATAATATATATCATATTGCCTTAACAACATTTCTAACAGGTTGTGATACACTTGAATATAAGTGGTAGTCTAATTGAAAAATATTCCATGTTTGTTTATTCATGGGATAAAGGGATGCCTGATCAACATGTTGGTTTGTGTTATTCACAGGAGAAGGCAAGCAACATGATGGATAAAGCAAGTGATGCAGCTCAATCAGCAAAAGAATCGATGCAAGAGGCAGGACAACAAGTGAAGGCCAAGGCACAAGGAGTCGCTGATGCTGTCAAAGATGCCACTGGCATGAACAAATGAAGCCTCCCTCATTTCACATTTGCCCATTTTTAGGGTTTTTTTCAATGGTTTTCTTCTTTTTTTTTTTTTTTTTTGCTCTTAAGATAAAGCTCTTATGTGTAAGAGATCTTTTTTTGCTTAGATTAAAGCTCTTACATATAAGGGCCGGCTAAAGTGATCTATAATTTAATTTATCTATGGACTCTTATAAAGTATGAACTTTAATTTATTTAGATGGATGCCTAAAGTAATTCTTACCAGACTTAATGCGGGTCTAAGAAAGATCTTTCTAAACTCTAGAGTAATTGTCTACATTGGGGCCACCTAAAGTAATTCTTACTAAACTCTAGAGTTTATACATATAATACATATATACAAGCTTCATGGTCTCCAATGTGCTAAACACATTTTATTTCTTCTATTTCCCATCTGAAAAAGAGAATGTTGAGTTAGGAGTAGTGTTTAGTTTTTTTTAGTACTAACAAATGAGTGGGAGAATATTCGAACTCACGACCTCCTAATTTTAGATAGGTGAGGTATTGTCGAATGCATTTGTAGTATAACGCATTCGGGTCTAGGTTTGTTCGCTCCTCATATATATATATATATAAATTTTAAGAACTTATATGGATGATCCTTGAGTAATTTATTTTGTTAGCAATCCAACATGAACTCTATAGCTTGAGTAGATGCCACGACCTCTTCCAATATATATAAAGGATTATGAAGACAAAAGTTTGTACATTATAGAAGAATATTTTCAGCTGAATTAGGAAAAGTACAAGACTCTCAAAATATAAAGAGAGGAGCTAGTACATGTGGGTCAAAGAGATTAGCAAGAGTGTAATAAGTCATTATAGAGAAAAATATAGAAAATATAAGGATAAATGGCATTTGTAGCCAAGTTTGGCTAAACACCGATAAACTTCTAGATCTGTACAATGAAAGTGGTTTTGTCATAATATCTACAAGTTGGTCGTCTGATAGTACAAATCGAACCAATAGCTATTTGCGAAGCACTTGTTCACAGATAAAGTAGCTTTAGATACAAGAAGACCAAAATATCAAGTTAAAGCCCTTGCTTTTATATTTAATATAATGCTAGATTTTTTTGACGGGAAGCCAGTGCACAATAGTTATGGAGCGTAGAGAAAGAGCGCCAACAAAAATATGCTTCCTGAAATAAATCATCATCAGCAAGAGACAAAACTTTATACCAATCACCATTGGAGTGTCAATAGGTTTACAATTTACAATTAACCATTTTCAGCCCGCTGTAGTAGATTAATAAAGTATTTACATAGGTAAGGAATTATCACTTCTACTGATTTGCATGCGATAGAAGATAGGATAATTCACCAAAATCCTTCAACGGAAATGGGAATTTAAAGAAGATATCAAGTGTTAAATAAAATGAAAGTTATTGCTAGTCACCAATATCTATCAATGGGTCAAACTTTTACCCAATAAAAGATCAATGCAAAAATGACCCTTATTATTCGAGTTATAGCCGATAAACATACATTCTTTTGATAACTTTGCAGTATATGATTATCTGGAAAGAAACTATATAACTTTTGAAGGGGTAGGTAGTCTAAGTTCCAAAAATAGAAAGGTAAATGAGAATGAGCAAGTAATGAAAGATTTTTGCACTCTACTCTCCAATTTTGTTGGGATATAGGTACATGAGAACACGTTGAAATTTATCACCCAACACTTTTAATTTGCTTGTCCAACTAAGTTGCCAACTATGGATTTAAAATTTTAAAAACAAGAGAAAGTCTCCCCCTACTTTTAAACAAGTATACTTAAGTTAAACGAGTATAGTCATCAACAAAGTGGTGAAACGAGTAAAGTCATCAACAAAATTGGTATTCTTATTAACATAGGTAGGTCAACACTCTTCTCTTTTTATATCTTTTTAACTATATTTTACAAAAAAACTCACCTTGGAAGATTATTTTTTATAATGACATAGAGATATTAATAAAATATTAAAAAGAAATTAAAAAACACACATATATAGAAAAAGAACTAAAATTGTGGTGAAATTTGAACATTTCTCAACTGTTAAAACTAGTCAGCTGCGTGTTAACCTAGAACAAATCCAAAAATATCATGACACATGTCACCACTCAAACCACAAAATTCCACATGGCATGCAACCTAGCTACTTTTGGGCATTACACATGTCAAGAATTGATTCGATCGAAAACTACTATATAAGCCACAAGAAGGATGATTCCTAAATCAACAAACTTTAAGTATATTCATCAAATTGCTTTGAAGTTATTAATTGTCTGTGTTTTTGAACTACTACAAAAGAAAATGGCAGATAACTCTCAGAAGATGAGCTACCATGCTGGAGAAGCTAAGGGCCAAGCTCAGGTTTTCTTGCATTAATTTTATTACAACTACTGCCCTAACACTATTTCTAATAGACTAGTGACATGGTTGAATATAAGTTGGTACCCTAATCGAAAAATATTCCACATTTGTTTAATAGTTTGGGGATTAAACTTTGATTAGTCATAGCTTGTTGGTTTGTGTGGTTTATAGGAAAAGGCGAGTAATATGATGGATAAGGCAAGTGATGCAGCTCAATCAGCTAAGGAATCAGTGCAAGAAGCCGGACAACAGGTGAAAGCCAAGGCACAGGGAGCAGCGGATGCTGTGAAGGATGCCACTGGCATGAACAAATGAAGTTTTTCTCATTTCTAATTTGCCCATTTTTTGTTTTTTTTTCCAATGACTTTCTTCATTTTTGTTTTTGATCGGGTGAAAGCTCTTATGTGTAAGGGATCTTTTTGCTTAGATTAGAGCTTTTACATGTAAGAGTCAACTAAAGTTATCTATAATTTAATGGACCTATGAATTTTTATAGAGTATGGACTTTTTATTTAGGTTGGATACCTTTCTTCGAATTTGCAATTATATGAATCGTCACAAGTAATATAATAGCAGATTATCGTCTTCACAGGAAATGACAAGTTATACTCATTACCAACTTTATACTTTGATTTTATTTGGACGTCGAAATTTTAATGGAAGGGTAAGTAAAGAAGTAATTCTATGACTAATTCAATAAAAGAAATGGACACAACTATCTAGAAACAAAAACAAAAGTAAACTCAAAAAAAAATTGAACTCTAGAGCACAACTTTACCGATATCATCCTTTAACTCTTGCTACAATTTTAATTGGAACTTCTAAACTAAGATTGTTGGCAGACTCTATCTTATTGAATCGAAATTAGCTTGTTAAATAATAACAAATGAAGTATTTTTCACACAAATTTCTCTTATTAAACTTTCTTCGAAAAGTTGCTGCTTAAATCTTTAGAATTCTCCTTATTTCTGAATTTTTTTAAAATATTATTGTTCTCACAAACGAATGGTGACTTTCTTTATTTATAGAGTCTTCTATGAGCTGTGTGTGTGGACTTGAGCTAGGTTGACTATGGGCTCAAGCGCTAAACTTGCTAACTTGAGTTTATTTGAACCTTGCGCTATCTCAAGCTTTAGGCTTGGTTAACCTCGGTATTTTGGGTCCATCTAGTTGATGTAGTCATGATAAGTATTTGTAGTCTTTAATGAATTTTGGACTTCGGGTAACTCAATCATCACGCGCCATAATTCTTTAGTTTAATTTGGGGATACATATCAATTCCTAATTGGTCCCAAATTTAATAATATATAATTTCATCAATCATTAATGGAAATTAATAACATGACAATTTATGATTGGCCGTAATGTATCACTTTTTATTTTTTCTGTTTCTAGCCTCTTCCTTTTTCTTTTCTCTTTTGCTTCTTGCTCTCTTTGCTCCCTCCGTCGTGTTAAATCTTCATCAACTAAGATTTTTTTCAAAGCAAAATAATATAATTGAATAAATTAAATAACATTAGAATTTAAAACTTTTGAAAATCAGATATTATTAGGAAGTAGAACTTAAAATGGGAAAAGAGTGCCACCATTCGCCCCTCCCTATCGTTTTGTTTAAAAACCGATTTTCTTTTGTATTGGAAATTGATTGGTACGCTTCCTAATTTCTTCAAAATTCAAATCATTAGTTCCATATTCTATTTAGCCAAAAATAATGATCACCTTTGGTAATTGGTTTCAATTTTGTTCCTAATTTTTTAAATGTTTCAATTATATCTTCGAATCACATAATCTGTTTTAAAAATAAGAAATCGTATATTCGTGATTTTAATTGAAAATATCAACCAATAAAAAATTTGGTAAAATTGAACCTTTTATATGTTCAAAGCATTTTGTTTTATTTATTTGCAAAATTAAGAGGTTGGAGTAAAATTGAAACTTTTAAAATAGGAATGGTATAATTTAGCCTTTGAAAGATTCTAAAGTTCATATATACTTCTTAAATGTCACGGTAACTTATACAAATTTTATAACTTTACGAATAGCTTATTTAAATAAGAAACTATGATTTTGTGCACATATAAAACCTAGTTTAGTTTCGTTTGCAAATATCACAACTCAATCTCACCATGGTATCCCTTATTTTATTTGAGTAAAAGCCGATTTAAACATGAACATCTTTAACTTTACCTTTGCCCATATATTTACCGTACTTGACTATTATCTTGATTGGTCTAGGAATCTTACATTATCTAAGTAAATTTTGAGATGTTGATCATAAATGTTAGTTGATTAGTTAATTAATCTCAACTAGATCTTGTTAAAGAAATTAATGATGCATCTTCATTTTCTTAACTCTTGACAATGTGGGATGGATTGATTCTTTTATTAATATGGGTGGGTTATTAAAGCTATTTTTACTATATTTTACAAAAACGATCACATGGGAGGATGAGTTGTTTATATTGCCGTAGAGATATTTATATATGTGTGTGTATAAACTTGGTCAATTTTCTCAAGTTTTCACGTACAAATATATTATAACAAAAAAGGACCTGAAATTTCTCGAGTGTTAAAACCTAGTCAGCTGGCCCCAATGTAGAACAACTCCAAGAACAGGATGACACGTGTCACTCCTCTCAGACCACAGAACCATTCAGGGCGTGCAACCTACTTTTGGCATTACACGTGTCAAACAATGATTTGATCAAAGCTACTATATAAATCACAACGAGCATGATTCCTAAATCAACAAATTTCATAATTGTATTCCCCAAATTGTTTTGAATTTCTTAGCGCTTTGTGTGTATCAATTTCTCAACTAAATAAAAAAACATGGCTGACAACTCTCGAAAGATGAGCTACCATGCTGGAGAAGCCAAGGGTCAAGCTCAGGTTCTCTTCATCGTCACTATTTATATATGTTGTTAGTTACGTCATTCTTTTATTATATATCTCTTGCGTCATTATTTTATTATATATCTCTTGCATTAATTTTAGTCGATGATATAAGCCGTACCACCTCAGTGATGTTCCTAATTAGTTAGTGATATATGGCTTAATATAAATGGTAGTTTAATTAAAAAATATATCCCATATTTGTTTTATATATTGAGGATAAAGTGATGAAATGATCATAGCATACTGGTTTGTAGGAGAAGGCATCTAATATGATGGATAAGGCAAGTGATGCAGCTCAATCAACTAAGGAATCAGTACAAGAGGCAGGACAACAGATGAAGGCTAAGGCACAAGGAGCCCTTGATGCTGTCAAGGATGCCACTGGCACGAACCAATGAAATATTTTTTTAAATTTCCATTTGCCCTTTTTGGGATTTCTTTTCCCTTAGACTAAAGCTCTTTTGTGTGCAAGGGCTTTGTTTTCCTTTTGTGTTAAAGAGAAGAAGAGCTCTCATATAGCTCATGAACTTTTTCTCCATAAATAAGATCAATCAAAGCTATAATTGATATATAGACCCAACGCATCTTGTGTCTCTCTTTCCATCATTAAAAATAAAAATTAGAGTTTATGGACAAGTGAATTAAGAAAATTTTCACTAAATATCAATTATGCTAGCTGACCATAATTATCTCATGATCAAGAGGGAAGTCCAAAACAGAGTATCAATTTTTTCTTCAAAAAGGATCCTATGTCCATTTTCTTTAACTTTGGTCCTTTTATTTTCTTTGGAAAAAAAGATAGAATTTTCTAAGGGTTAGTTCCATACACACACACTCCTTATGTTGAGTTTCATGTGAGAGTTTAGCCTTTTTTTTGAGAAAATATTATAAGGGAAAGGCCGTTGAAAATTTTCCAAATTTTGAAATTATTTTGACATATTACTCAAACCATTCCAAGGATGTCACGTGACATTTCCTCGCTACTCAAGGTCAAGGTCTTTCCGTGACGTTGTATACCGTCACGAAATCAGATGTCGTCACGGTTACTCATTTACGGTGACATTTTTTAAACGTCACAAAATGTCTTAATCGTGACATTCTTCAAACGTCACGAAATCATTTTTCATGACGTTTAACAAACGTCCGGAAGACTATATTTTACATGACGAGAGGAATGAAAAGGAAAGAGAGGGGAACAAGAGCGGGGAAATAAGAGAGAAAGAGAGGGGAAAAGAGACCAACGAATGAAACTTAAAAGAAAAACAAAAAGAAAAAAAGACCCATTGAGACTTTTCCCCACTTTTTTCTAAAAACGTCAAGAAAAGTGAGTGCTTTTATAAAAACCTATGGTATTTGGTAAGAAAAACCTATGAAAATATATTTTTACATACACATTTTTTAAAGTGAGTGCTTTTGATAAAAACCTATAGTATCCTAAAAGCACAATCCAAATAAAAATATATTTTACATACACATTTTTTAATATACTTGTTTGAGGATTTAAAAAATGAGTGCTTTTGATAAAAACCTAGGGTATTTGGTAATAAATGAAAAAACAATTTTATATATACTTTTTAAAAATCGAGTTCTTTTAAGAACCTTTTTTTGAAGAAATATGCTTGAGATGATTATCAGAGGTGATTTATCGACGTGTGTTAATAGATCATAGGACATCGAACAATGCTTTGTCATCATGATGATGACATCTAAATATCAAACCTTCAAAGAAAGAATAAACTACTGCTGTCACTTCAAGGCCAAACTGATCAAATATTAATATATATAGTTCGCCCTCATAAGGGATGAGCCAATGCTCGATGCACCACATCTCACTGCCCTTAACCTTTTCAACAATAAGGTACTACGATTAGACGTGCAGCCGAAACCAATTAGGAAGTGACTCAGCTTGGTAGGTGATGTTGAGAACCTTGAGCCTATAAATAAAGAGACTCAGTTCATTCTCCAGGTACATGAAACTATTCTCTCTCTGGGCTAGTATAGATCAAATTTGGACTGACTTGAGCATCGAAGCCTTTTTCTCTTTATGTGTTGGTTTGGTTTTGTGCATTTGTTAGCCTCCAATGTTACATCTTCGCATAGTTGGTCAATTTTTAGATTAAACAATGATAATCAAAAAATTGATCGTAAAGTAATTGACACTCTTGTAATTTGAGCACTTGAGATCAGATGATTACTAAAAAAATGCGTAAATTAAAGGAATTTTCGTTTGAGGTTTTGAGCTCTAATACCATATTAATATTCATTGGGATTTCATCTCAAAACCAATTAGCAATAAGATGAGTAGTCAATGTCTATAACTCTTGCTATGTCTCATATATTTTCAACGTGCGATCCTTAACACGCCTCCATAGATGTGTTTGATAATACTTTTAGAGTAACTATTTTTAATTAAAAAAGTAGTATATTGCATATTGCATACTTGCATTCATCAAATGTGTGAATGAACACTTGAAAAGAATGGACCATGTTTTTTTTCAAATAATGTAACTTAAAAAATATATATATATACAAAATTAAGGTAGGTTTGAAATAATTTCAAAACTAGGGTAGCTAAATTGTGTACGATAAGGGAAATCGCAGACAATGGACATGATTTATTCAGAAACTCGCGTCCAGCGAACCCGATTTTAATGTCAAATGGCTTGCTGGAGCCACGTGTTTGGCATGCCGAAGCGATTTTCACGTTTTAAGTGTTTTTCTTTCTTTTTTTCCTCTATTCCTCCATGGTCTTCAGCGTCCATTCCCTCCATCGCCTGTTCTTTCTTCTTCCTTTCTAGAGAAAAATTTCTTCCTTAAAAGAATGGGTCGGATTTGTCGAGCGCACGCCCATTTTATGTTTCAGATATGGACCATTTCATTCCAGATCTTGAACGACTTGTTTCAAATCTGAAATGAAATGGGTCCAATGTTGTAGATCTAATTAACGTCTTGACGTTTTTGAAACTACTCCATTTTTGTATTTCTTTATTTTATTTACATTTAAAAAAAAAACTTTCTAATCTATTCTATTTATGTAATTCATTTTTAAAGTTACATTATTAGTGAAACTACCTCAAAATGAACACAAAAGATACAAATTTGTGGGATAATAATGGGCCAGAAACGCATGGGGCATGCTGATGCAGTGTTGGAGAGTATGAAAAAAGTTCTCCCACATCGGAAAGAGCCATTCCTTGGGCGCGTGAGAGAACAGTATAAGAAGGGGGGAGGGGGCAGTGGCAAATCCATGATCCTTCAGGCAGTTAATGGGATGTGATGAGTGGTTGGCTCTCGCAATAGATTGTGAGTTGGGTGTCCGCCCCAACGCCTGGTTACGACAATTGGGCACTCTCATTCCTTCCGATCTGATCCCTATTTTGAAGGTCATTTTTTAAATCTAAATCCAATTTTTTCTTTTTCTAGGTTTGATTACATTTTTTAAATTTCTTTTTCTCAATGTTTTTATTTGATAATCCACCAATCCCCTGGAGCGAATTTGGGGTTCGCATCAAAAATATTTTATATAGTTCAAATATATAAAGTTCACCTTTATATCCAGCATATCACATCACATAATTCAAATCGGATCTCCATTTTTTAATTTAAAAAGTGATATATTTTGTTAATTTTACTAAAAAAAAATTCTGCCATATTTGTAATTCTCCCTTCAATATGTTCCAAGAAAGAATCTCCCCTGTACTTTGATAAAATTAATTAACATTTCAAATTTAATGAATTATTAAAACTTTGTTACAAAACACACTCAGAAAGAAAAGGAAGAAATTTTTTTTTTTTTTATTACTCTGCCCTCGTAAAATGGATAACCTCTTTACCTATGGAAATTTACTGGCAAAGCATTCAAATTAAGATCAACAACAAAAATCATATGTAAAACAGTAGTAGTATTGGTAAAAAGGAAGAAAAAACAGCCAGAACTTTGGATAAATTGATTGACATGTTTGAACAAAAAAAAAAAATTAATATAAAACCACGCCCACTTCAAATATTACCATGGATACCAAGAGAACATTCAATTTCAGGAAAAAGGGAGAGAAATAATAGTTGAACATATGGATTGGACTAACTAAGAAAATGGCAACTATATTCAACCATAATATAAGAGCAAATCAAACTTTACAAACATACATTAAAACTGGTACCCAAATGTTGTAAAAATGATTGGAACTGGATAGAGTAGGATCATAGCTAAGATGGATTTGAGAAAAAGTATAGAGAAATTAGAAGAAAATGACACAGTGATTTTACGCGTTTAAGGATAAAAACCTAGACAATGAAGAAAAATTTCACTCAATAAAGTAGGTAAGAAGAGACTCTCTCTATCTTTATCTCATCAAACCTCACACTCACACTTTAGCTCACTTGGAATTGGAGATTTTTTGGATAGATTGCCAAGTATATGGTGCTCACCTATTTATAGCCCAACCATACTTGTTCATCACGCAAATTTTTATAGTTATAATTATGTCACATACTAACCTTGGATAGGTGATGATCTAGTGGCCATAGATTCGCCACATATTCACTCTAATAGCTTCTAGTTACTTTAACTCTCCAAGGAAAAACTTCTTAACTACTAGAAAACTTAGTTTTTGTGATGCTCATAATGTTGACAAGCCGCTTATCTTAATGGCTTCTAGAGATTTCTATCTCTAAGGAGGCTTCTTGAGCAAGCCTTGACAAACTACTTAACCTAGTAGCTTCTAGAGACTTCTTGAACATACTTGAGAAATATTATTTAACACCAAACAGATTGAACTCATCCATATATTTTTAGTTTCTTTTTCCATAGCCAATAACTTGGCCAGTGTCGACCCATGGAAAAGCAACTTCTTAGAAACAGCATAATGTAACCTAAAGCTTGATTAGGTCATAGTACAAGGCCTTCATGTTGCAACTCAACGTTTCAAAAATTACCATAAATAAAAGTTGAATGTCAACTTGTACATATCTCGACTAATCTCAATGTAAAACTACTTGACTCTGTTGGGGAAATTCAAAAGATATTAAATTGGAAGTGCCTACCATAGTTTGAACTCATTCTAAATGTACTTTATTAATAAAAATACAATTTTTACATATACTTGTGGAAAAAAAAAACATTGATTTAGAGTGTGTTTAATTACTATAGTCTCCCGGAGTAATTTAAAAAAACCAAAAGTGCTTTTGGAAAACAAAAAAAAAACATATAATATTTGGTAACACATAAAAAAATAAAAATAAAAATAAAACAGATTTTTTTAATTAATGTTACTCTACAGTAATTTGAAAATCATCTAATTCACAAAGAGTCTGAGCTTTGATCAAGTGTAATGACTAAAAACTCAAGGTTGAAATCTTATGCCCAATCAGCAGATATGATACTTATTAAAATTTTAAATATTAATGGTTCGATTATCCACCATTAGCACTGTTGACTTTTTTCCCTAAAAGAAAATAGGAAGACTTCATCAACCTTCAAAATGACAACAATAGTCTTAATATTAATATCTTTTAGTGCAACAACATGCACGGTGGGGATTAATTCCACAACTTTTTATACACACCTAGTAGTCCAATAATCATTAGGAAAATAACCCCGCAATGATTTAATAACGTACCACTCAACTATATATACACACACAAAAATGGCCTCGAAAGCTTACTACACTGCATTCAAGTTTTGTTTGCTTTGTTGAATGGCTAGTTTTTCAAATTTCAAGTTTGCTTTAATATTCTTCTTCTTACTTGTTCATGTTCATGTTTCAGTGTGTAACAGATCTGGCGTTCCCAAATGCGTAAAGGAGGAGGAAGAAGAAGCTCTACTTAAATTTGTAAGTCACTTTGTGGACTATGTTTCAGATCTATCAAAACAAAATATGACGACAAAAGGCAATTGTTGCTTATGACCGGGAGTGGTTTGCCACGAAACTAGTGGACATGTTATCAAGCTTGATTTCCAGTCTATGTATTGGAGTAGCAGTGGAATTGATCCAAGTTTGTTGGAGTTGAAACATCTTTATTACTTGGACCTCAGTTTCATCGATTTTCAAAATGCTTCAATTCCCACTTTTATTGGTGAAATGAAACAACTCCAACATCTTGATCTTTCACGTTCATCGTTTAGTGGGAGGGTTCCACCAGAGCTTGGAAACCTCACTAACTTACGTTTTCTCGATATGGGTTTCAATGATGGCCTTCGTGTTGTTGATGATCATATGGAGTGGATTTATAATCTATCATCTTTGACAACTTTGGGCATGAGTTATGTGAATCTTAAAGCTGCAAAGGCTTTAAATTTGATGAACCTACTCAACTCTCTTCCTATTCTAAAGTCTTTAGATTTAGTTAGATGTGAAATCCATGATGCCCAATTTTTGTATGCTCCTTCAAATTCCTCGCAAATTAACAATCCAGCTTCCTTAGAAACCCTTGATCTCTCAGATAATAGTTTGGTTTGTTGGGTGCCATCATGGATTGGTAATATTACAAGTCTTACCCAAATGGATCTTGCCGATAACCAATTCCACGGCGTTGAAGGTGGACTGCTGTCAATCATTGGAAACACGTGTCGCCTAAGAGTGTTGGATTTGTCCAATAATAATCTGCATGGAAATCTAGGAAATTTTTCTGGGCGTTGCAGCAAATATGATATGGAACATTTAGACTTAAGATCAAACAAACTAAACGGAAGTTTGCAGAGTAATGATTGGTTAGGAAAGTTAAAGAACATGAAACTTCTTCATCTTTCAAACAATTCATTTTCCGGCCCAATGCCTGAGGATGCTAGCCAACTACGAAGCCTGGAGGAGTTAAGAATAGAAGATAACTATTTTGAAGGCGTTGTCTCAGAAGTTCACTTCGCCAATCTCTCAAAACTAAGTCAGCTAATGATTGGGAATCGAGGTGGCTCGATCAGCTGGAAGATAACATCTGATTGGGTTCCTCCATTCAACCTTTATTTCCTTTCTCTGCAGAATCTCAACACTAATGGCTCCGAGATTCCACAATGGATTCGAACACAGACCAAACTATGGTTTCTTGATTTGTCTTACGGTGACATCACAGGAACTGTACCCACTTGGCTTGGGGAATTAACTCATCTCACGTATTTAGATCTTTCCAACAATCAACTCAAAGGAAGTATTCCCCAAATTAGCCCTGATGTGTTTGAATTGTATCTTGCACGTAATCAAATTAATGGCTCATTATCAACTTCTTTCTGCAAGATGACATATTTGGTTGTTCTTGATATCTCTCAGAATAGACTATGGGGAGCCATTCCTGATTGTTGGTCGTCGTATGATTTTATTATCATGAGGCTATCATCCAACCAACTCTCAGGGGTCATTCCAGCTTCGCTCAACAATTTGCATCAACTTCAAGATTTACAACTAAGAGATAATAACTTCCATGGACAAATTCCATCCTTGGAAAATTGTAGCTACTTGATGATTTTGGATCTTGGAGGAAACCAGTTATCAGGAAACATAACCAAATGGGTGGGAGATGGTTTGAATCTCCGAAATCTAATTGTTCTGAGTCTGCGACAAAATCAACTGAATGGCAACATTCCCTCCAAACTCTGTGGACTTGGAAAGCTACGCATATTGGATGTTGCTAATAACAACATTACGGGGACAATTCCTCCATGTCGTGGCTACCTTCCAGGAATGATGGGTCAACTTATAGACTGGGAAATTCTCGAGTCACCTGACGGTAATATTGAAATACCCATTGACATTGATAAGGAAATTGTGGTGCAGGTTATGAAGGGAAGGGAATTCAACTACTCGAAGACAGTTTTAAAGTTGTTTGTAAATATGGATCCATCGGATAATAAGATGGTTGGATTTATCCCCGTTGAGTTGACGCAGCTTACTGGGCTAATTGGGTTGAACTCATCACATAACAATTTTTCAGGCATGATTCCTTCAGAAATTGGGAGAATGAAGGAGTTGGAATCGCTTGATCTATCTTGCAATAATCTCTTCGGGCCTCTTCCTAATGGCATGTTGAATTTAACGTCGTTGGAGGTACTGAATTTGTCTTACAACAATTTCTCCGGCCGTATACTCGAAGGGAATCAATTCTCCACTCTCAATGATCCATTTTCGTACATTGGAAATCCTTATTTGTGTGGCGATCCTCTTCCAAATAGCTGTGACGACGGACACAAATTGGTTCAGCCTTCAATTGGGAGTGGTGAGTACTTCAGGGATGAGGATGAAGATGACTTGGAGAAGATGTGGCTTTACACTATCATAATGTCGGGATTTGCGTGTGGATTTTGGGGAGTCATTGGAGTTCTAATCTTCAAGAGGAGATGGAGATATGCCTACTTCCAATTTGCAGAAGATCTCAAAGATCATATCTACGTGAAGATGTTAGTGAATATTGCAAGGCTGAAGAAACTTTTGACAGGAATTGGTGGAGATGATGAGTGATGTGGTTTCCTTTTATGCAAATATTATGTTTCTAGCCCAAGAACAAATTTGTAATTTGACTATGTTTCTGTTATAAGAGGAACTATTATCCACCTAATAATATGGTTTTTTGTCTTTTTCACCAATTTTGTTGATTTTGATCTGATAATCCACCAACCTCCCCCCAGTCTACACGCACGCAAACTACATTAATTTGTCTTTTTAATAATTATTCTAAGAAAAAACCTTCTCCATCCCTGGAACATAAAATCCAAGTTCTATGGTTAAAAAAAACATCATATGAAATCTACTAAAGGAAAATCAAGTGTAGTTGTTGGTAACTGTGACTCCAACTATATACTTCTTTTCCTCAAAAAATTAAATAATAAATAAACAACTGTTGTATAGTTCTCCTAGATTTTCCAATCAGAAAATGCTAAGTTAACAAACACAAGCCTCATCTTAATGTTTATTAATACCGTGAAGCTAGTACAGACCAAAATATTAGGAACCATGGATACCAAACATTCAGTTTCAGGAAAAAGGAACGGATGATAGTTGAACATATGGATTGGATTGACTAACAAAATGGCAACTATATTCAACGATAATAAAAGAAAATCAAACTTTACAACCATATATGAAAAACATTGTGTATAAAACTGGTACCCAAACAGATGTAACCCATCCATATTTTTAGTTTCTTTTTTCATAGCCAATAACGCGGCCGGCATCGACTCTGTGAAAAACCAGCTTCTAGAAGCAGCATAACCTAAAGTTTGATTAGGTCGAGAATGCAGGGCCTTCACGCTGCAGCTCCTATCAAGTTCATAAATTTCCCTGCTCAACATTTCAATAATTACAATAAATTAATTGAATTTATCTATACTTTTTTCTTTTTTCATATTAATGAGTGTCCAAATTAACTGGTACACACCCACTAATCTTATGACAAAACTACTTGATCTTACCAAGTTTGACTTGTGAGAAAAATCGTAAAATATTTAATCATAAGTGGCCACCATAGTTTGAACCCATTTTTTAGGTGATTTAAATGGTCTAAAAGTTCAATCATACTGCTTTTGATGTAATAATAAGTTCAATGGTGAAATTTTAATTCTAATTTTATTAATGACTACAACTTATTCATACTTTTATGGTAAAATTATTTTGGTTATTGCTTGTCATTATTCATTATTCATATAATCCCACAAGCTAACCACCAAATCCTACAACCTTTTGCATCAAGAAACTCAAAGGATACTTAATATTCTAGATGGTCAGCTAGCTTTCATGGTTTGAGCCCGCAAACTCAAAGGTGGATTGGATTCAAAGGCATCTTAGTACATTTGACTACTAGGTTAACTTATAATGGTTGTCCATTCGAGGTTTTTTCTTGAACTTTTCAGTGTAGGGAAGGTACCTATAGCACATGTTCTCACCTCAATGATATTATTCTTGATTCTCATCCTAAAGGAGGGAGTTCATCGATTTAGTTTAGCCTTTTTTTTTCCTAAAAACAAATGGGACGCCAGAAACTAACTCTGGACTAAGTTCAGATAGATTTACAAATAAAGAATATAAGAAGAAATGAAATTTAATGGACTAATTAAATTCAGATAGAATTACAAAGAAAGAATATAGGAAGAAATGAATTTCATGAACCGACAATACTCGACCAACCTCACAGATCAAAATTGTTTAATTGCTTGCAGATGGAATGTCAGTGACCTTTCCTACAGCAACTGTCTTCCCTACAAACAAAAATAAAGCAGATATAGCTACCAGATTGTAATAATATAAGATTAGCCTCGATGCTTTAATTAAAATAGGTAAAACTTGTATTTATCACCTTCAGTACGAAGTGTAAATCTTCCAAGCTGAGGAACATCAGAAAACTTCTCAATGCAGATCAAGTTATTGACCTGCAATGTAAATATTCTAATGCTAATCATTATCCACAGGACTTGTATAACTAGTTCCACACTAGCCAATCAATATAGGATTATGCCATGTCCAGTGCTCAAAAGATTCTTACCGACATTCTGATAGCAACCAGAAAGTGGAGGAGAAACCATAACCAATACAAAATGTGAACTTCTGATTGAGATATCAGAAAGGAAAATCAAAAGGTCACAAGCACTCTAGTGGCTCCAATTCTAAAAAATTAGTACTCAAAATATGTTCTCTCTCAACCTGTTCACATACCACTTCACTAACAAACCCTTTTGCTAGTGACTAGAATATCTCTACTATCCTAAAAATATTTCTCATATGTATCCTAATAGTATTCCTAACAAATTCCAAAGATGAAAAATAGTCCAACCATACCATTTGGCTTACATTATCTATTAAAAAAAAATCATCATTTCTATTTAAAATATCTCAGGTGCTCTTTTATGAGAACATCTTCAAAATTCCAGAATAACTTTATCGAGGAAAAGTTTTCTCAAAAATATGTGGACATTCAAAAAAGTTCAGTCAGGGTAGGGTAAGACGTTTCAAGCCTTATCTTGAAATATATTAAATGCTCGCTAAGAAATCAAACCTGGACGCGACACAAAATAACTGCACCATTCTTCACAAAGAGAACTTTCTTTTTCATAGGTTTCCTAGTCTTTGGATCAATCTGATGTAGCAGCTCTATGATCTCACATTCTTCGACAACAGCATGAATGTGAAGTACGGCCTTATATCCAGCTGTAAATATTGCCTAAAAGCAGTAGTATGACTTAGTTTACAATTTTGCATCACTAAAGGGGAAAAAACATAACTAAGAAATTTGAATCATAAGCTCCAGGAAGAGAAAGAAGGTGAATAACAAGTTCAAATTCTTCACTCACATTATCCAGCAGCTCAAGAATCTGCAACTGTGCAATAAACTCAGAAACAGCAGGTATTGGATTTGCTGCAAATTTTTTGGGGAATGAGGGTGCATTTAGTGGAAGAAACATGCAACAAAATATTATAGAAGATTGTATAGTTCATAACAAAGGAATTACAAAGAAAAAGACAGTAACATAGTAATCGACAACAAGGTAGGAGGATCAAACAGTAATATAGTAGGATATTCGTAAAGAGTGGGAACTAGGGTTTTAGGATTTGCATGTCTATCCCCAGAATCAAACGCAATACGCATGAGATCTACAAATGAGTCGAATGACCGCTTTTGAAATATTACTAATTGTTAATGAATAAAGAGCTCCTAATGGATACCAAAGCATGCAACTTTTGATATTAAGACAGGAATTTCATTAAAGACAAGAAACTAGAAGGAAAAGATAATTGGAGACATCAATTACAAGACATGTTTCTAGTGCTCGTGGTCAAAACTGACTGTTGGTTAAAAAGGTGGGTATATTGGAGGCAGCAAGACAAGTAATGTTGCAGCCCCAGTTGAAGATCCCCAACAGTTGCCTTCTCAAGGTGGCAATTGAGATGTCTAATCATAACCTGTCGGCTTCACCCATTTTGGGATTCTTCAATATCATTTTAATATTTTAAGTGGCGCGGGAAGCACGGGAAGTGTCAGAGTTGATCCTTTTGCTCTCCGATTGTTCCATCTTTTGTGATAGAAGGGATTGTCGTGTTTCGTCCCCTAACCCTTCTAGGGGCTTCTCGTCCAGTTCCTTCTTCAACCTTTTATGTTCCCCTTCTCTTCCCTCGACGTCCCCAGCGTTTACCACGTTGTGGAAAGTGAGGATCCCAAAGAAGATAAAAATTTTCGTGTGGCAGGTCTTACTTGAGAAAGTAAACACCATGGATTGTATTCAAAAGAGCTCGGCCGCTTGCTTGGGGCCGCATTGGTGTGTTCATTGTAAGCAGGATTCCGAGGATCTTGATCATATCTTATGGCAGTGCCAATATTCCCAGAGAATTTGGGGTCGGTTCTTTGAGTTGGTTGGTATTTCTTGGGCTTGTCACAGAGAGTGGGGTTCGATGGTGGAGGAATTGCTTATGTCCTCTCCTTTCCGTGAGAACGGGAGTTTCCTTTGGCAGGCGGATTTCTTTGGGATCATGTAGGGGATTTGGTTGGAGAGAAACAATAGAATTTTTAGGGGGGTGGAAAGAGAGTGGGAGTCTGTTTGGGTACTCATAAGGTTTAATGTTTCTTTATTGGGGTCTGTTCCGAATTTGTTTTGTAACTATCAGTTAGGTCCTATTCTTTTGGATTGGAGGCCCTTTCTTTAGTTTGGTTTCCCTCTTTGGGGCTTTGTTTTTGTATGCCGTTTTGTTTTCATTATTCTCAATGAAAAGTTTGGTTTTTTATCAAAAAAATATATATATATTTTAAAGTGGCGCTTCCTTTCTCATCTACTGAAACAACGTATGGTTTCTTAGAATATGTCCTGGGCCAATGTCGAGCATCAGTTTAGAATTGAAACAGCTTTATAAATGGGTGTTAAGCTTAACCATTAAACTGAGCTTCTCAAGAATAGCAAATTCCTCTAAGTGTTATAATAGTCCCAAAACTCCTTTACGATGTAACACGATGGAATGTAATTCACTGTCAAATATGTCCAAGAATATCTTCCCATTATAGGATGTTTAAGTTGTTAAGCTCTAGATTCATAAAAATGGGATAATTAATTTGCATACAGATAACAATTACTTTATCATGATTGATCATCATAAATCTTGATTTGATGAAGCAGAAAGGATCAATCATTATATACCTCAACCATGTTACTCAAAACGACGAAGAAACACCTAGAAAAGACAGAACCATACCAATGCTTGACAATACAAACCCAGACATTATGTCTTCTTCCTCAATTCCAGATATTCTAACACGGAGATTTTCACCCGGTCCAGCACGCTTAACTTTATTTTCATCACACATAACAGTTGTAACTTTCACCTGAGTCTGGACATACATTAAAATCTCAGTTACCATTGTAAGACAAAAAGCAGCAAATTGAAGAAACAGTGCACAAAGAGTGAAATGCATACATATAAGCTCTGCAATAATTACCTTATTTGGCATTACCCATAAGGAATCACCCTCACGCACAGAGCCAGATTCAACTTTACCCATAACAGTTGTTCCCATGTCCTTGAATTTGTCAATGATAGGCATCCTACAAGTTGGATATCAATTATTTGCATTAACGTATCAGGACAACACCTATAGAAGGTAGTAAGACATTTACAAATGCGCCAAAAAAAACATTTAATTGAGGTGAGTTCAGGTGCATACTTTTTTACAAGCTTGATTTCGTGTTCTGGTCTAGGTAAAATTTGGATTTTTTTTGGTTGATTTTAATGCAATTTATTGGTTGGTTAGCGAAAAATTATCTCATTTAGTTTTGAACAAGTATTAATTTCACCACATAATCAAATTAAAGGTTCAAAACTTCAATCCATGAATTTAAAAGTTAAATTGACTTAATGAAAAAATGAGTTGGGTATAAAAGGACATTAAATTTCCCAAAATAATATTTGGAGGAGAAATCAAATATATAGTGATATTTTAATATAAGCATCATATTTTAATTTGGAAGTTTTAAGGCACTCCAAATTACACGATTGCAAGAAATCTCGACAGAACAAAAAAAAACTTTAACTAATTGATTCTTTCATTTACAGGACAAGCAAGGTGAAACAGAGCACAGGAACTGTATCAAGTCAAAAATAGGAAACTTAAATAACAGGATGTCACAAATATGCAGCAAGAGTTATAGATAAAGGTGGATGTCCATACCTAAATGGATCTTTTGGATTTCTTGGAGGACCTTCAACCGTATCAAGGATTTCAAACAAGCATGGACCATTCCACCATGGACATACTTTCTTATCCACTCTTGTTTTCATATTAATACCATGAAGACCAGATATTGGTAGAAATTGGACATCTGCAGATTGAAACAATTATGGGAACAGATAATTAATATACATGTCCTATCTCAAAATTCAATATTGACATGTAAGAAAAGTAACAAAGAGTCCCTGTTATGTCAACAAGTTCAATCACGCCACAAATTGAAAACATACCATAAATGAGCTATGCATGTGACTTTGGCGTCCAGTAAAAGTTACTCTATTTCGGTCACAACAATCATGAATGCAGCAAAGGAACACGTGGAGACAAAATACAGGCTTCCGATTTTAATAACCACAGAAACATTGATTTGTAAAATCAAGTTAAACACCTTCCATCTAACTCAATCAATTACTCAAAAATTAATGAAATTTTACTTTTAAAAATAAAAATAAGAAAATACCAAAACAAATCATAAATACATCTTATAAAGAATCATGACCTCAAAAACCATTGCAAGAAAAAGAAAGCTGCAAAGAGAAGCAAAAAGAAAAACCGATAGACTGAATCACAGACAACATTTCTGTAAATGGGATAACCTTACGGTACCTTTCTTTACATTGTAACCAGATGCCTTCAAAAAGGGTGCCATCTTAGACTCAATCTCATCATACCTGTAGACAACTCTCACCATAATTAGTGACCAAACCAGACGATAAAATAAGGGGGAAAGGGAAGGGAGATTAAAAATACCTTTCTTTAGACCATTTAACTGTGGGTTCATCCATTTTATTCACTACAACAAGTAGCTTAGCAACACCTAATGTTTTTGCCAGCAAAACATGCTCACGAGTCTGTCCACCTCTCTCATATCCAGTTTCAAATTCTCCTTTCCTAGCAGAAATTACCTTCGAACATAGAAATTCAAAGCAAATGAGACAAGCAGAGAGATAAAAACACAGTGAAAGCAAAGTGACAAAATACCATGGTGCAGAAAACTTGCAGGCCAGGGGAGAAGATAACTCACCAGCACCCCTATATCAGCTTGAGATGCCCCACTGATCATATTTGGCACATAACTTTTGTGACCCTGAATCAGGACAGGAAAATTAAAAACTGAAAAATCCCCCACCATAAATCACAGATTATACATAATTAAGCATACAAAGGAACATCAAATGCAAAGAGATGATAGGACAGGAAAGAAAGCATATGTGCTGTCGTTGAACAGTAATTACTATTTTCCATTCCTCTCAAAAATGCTTGGAAATCAATGCAATTCAAAGAACAGCCACCTGCCTGCAGTTGGTGAAAACTAAAAAAGATTCAAGACTAATTCCTCCTACGGTCGGTCATGAAAACAATGAATCTAGAGAACAATGCAGCAAAATTATGAAATCTTTTACATCCTATATCCTCTGTAGCAACAAAAACTGCATCCTGGACGGCATTGGTCTTTTAATCAGTCAGAAAAGGAACATTAATCATATGGGAAAACAAAATCCATTGAGTTGCTCACACCCAATCCAAACATTAATCAAAATTTGAACATGATGGGAAAGCTAATTTAACGATTTCTTAAAGTTGTAAAAGCATTGTTCAACTAAACTATAAAACCATGAGGCTAATCCCTTGCATCAAACTGACACATAAAAATGAAGATAGTACCGACAGATGAATAAAGAAATATACAAAATCATCCATTCAGCATTCACTTTATAACTGTACCTGATCAACACATTAAGCATTCTATGAACAAAATATGTTTCTAATGACATTTACTAGCATTATGGAACTATACCAAACATCAACATACCGGAGCATCCAAAATTGTAAACCTTGTGGTCTCAGTTTCAAAATGTGCTCTTCCCACTTCAACAGTTTTCCCCTACAATCAGGGGTACAAAATTAACTAATGATGTAATAACATGATAATTTCCAGCCATAAGTATTCATCTAAAAACTTGTAAAGAAAATAAAATAGTGGCATTCAGCCATGAGAGATATATTAAGGACAAGAATGTATGGAATAGATTACATATTTAAGATTTCAATTGTCACACATTACTTCATCATTATGACTCAACGAAAAAAAACATTCAATGAGATGATCACAAATCATACCTTGACTCTCTCTTCTTCATTTGTGTCCATGATATATGCCATGTACCTGGCGTAGATATATTTTAGATCAACTAAGAAATAAGAATAGAAGAAATAATGTAGTGTTTCATATTGCAAATTGGAACTATAACAATTTAAATAGAAATAACTGTCTGAATAGACACCACAAGAAATAAAGTTCACCTAGAACCATGAATATATATCTAAATAAAGGAATTTGAACTAAATTTCCCTTATAAATAAGGGAATAATAATAGCATGAAAATGGCAATAATAAGAGCTGCAAGATATTTATGGGTTGTGTTCAGATTGCTAGATTGTTCAGAAGGATTTCAATGTAGTTATGGCTTGTCTAGTGAAAGAACTTTAGGTGGTTTTCTTAGTAAAAGTATGAAAAAGTTTTCCTAGTTCCACACTGATGAATAAAATAGAGAGTTTTAGACCTAGTCATTAAAGAACAAAGATTATGGTTCCAGAATTTTTTTTATATAAGAAACCAAGCTTGAAAGAATGAAAAAATATATGGGGGCAAAAAAAAACACCACGACAAGGGGCTCCAATCTTAAGAATAATGTCTAACTGATAATTATTAAAAAACTTAGAACCCGACCCCCACAAAGAAGTATTAAATCTAATAAGCTCCCAAACATACTCACTCGATCTCTCCATCCCTAAAAAATATTTCTCACAAGCCAAATGTCCCACAAAATAGCAAAGAAATAAGCTTACCAAAAAAGTCTTCCCCTTCCCAAAAGAGGGACAACGACGAGGGGCTCCAATCTTAAGAATAATGCCTAACTGATAATTATAAAAAAAACTTAGAACTTGACCCCCACGAAGTATTAAATCTAATAAGCTCCCAAACATACTTGCTCGATCTCTCCGTGCCTAAAAAATATTTCTCACAAGCCAAATGCCCCACAAAATAGCAAAGAAACAAGCTTACCAAAAAAATCTTCCCCTTCCCAAAAGAGGGACAATAATACATCCTTCCACCACCGTCCGACAATCCCTATTATGAGGTGAAGACACCCCAACAAACTTAAAAAAAAACGATCCCAAATATCCCATGGGATCCCACGCAAATTGACAGGACCATATAACTTGGTTAGGATCAATCGAGACAGCTCCGGAAAGCACACAACACTGCGATCCCAAAAAGAAGGAAAAATGAATATGATCCAAGGTATTGACTTTTCCCTGTAAAACCTGTTTAATGTTTCTTAGAATTTTGACCTTTCAAATAGAAGAAAACAATGAGGCCAGAGGGGGGCTAGAAAGGGAACTCAACAAATGTAAAAATGAGCTACAAGAAGACCCCTGGAAGAGCTAGGGGACCAGACCCAAATCCCCCCCCCCCCAAAGGAGAACTCAACCTATGGAGAAAAGGGCTACAAGAAATTCCCAGGAAGGGCCAGGCGACCAAACCTAAAAATCCTTACCCTCCCCCAACTTGGCTGAAAAGTAAACTAACTTGCCTGAAAGGAGACTTGAATTCAAATTTCTTCCCACTCTAAGCATCTTACAAAAGCGGAAAAAACACCTAAACAGCACTTGTGACATAAATAAATGGGTTGCTCCTTTAAAAACAAAAGGAGATAGGGGAGAGAGGATCCTATACACAGCAAATGATAAACAAAGGTTGATCTAATTAATGGAGTTGAATGGCAGAACTTGGATTCTGGTTGGAGTTCATGGTTAGAAATAACTTCTGATGAAGAGGAAATCAAAGGTGTACTTACAATTTAGAGACTCCCAAATCCCTGATGGTTTCAGTGCAAAATTATTGAAGAAGTTGGAACATCATTGAACCCGATTTGTTTAAGGTGTTCCATAATTTTTTTTTTTTTTTTGTGAAAGAAACAATTTTATTGATGTGTGAAATTACAAAAGCTCAAGAAGGATTACATAAGACACTTCCAATTTGTCAAGAGGGAAGAATAGCTATAGTGGTGGAAAATAGGAGAAGTTTACACCAAGTGAGTGTTCCATAAGTTTTTTGAGAAAGGAATTCTGAATACGCAGACAAATGCTTGCAAGTGGGAGATTTTAGGCCATTAGCCTAGTGACTTGTCTATACAAGGTTATTGGAAAGGTTTTGGTAGAAAGACTTCGTAAAGTCCTCCCCTCACCATCATAGACAAGTCTCAAATGGCCTTTACTGAAAGGAGACAAATTTTTTTTTAGAATGAGAAAAGATTTCATTAATGTAATGAAATGGTAAAAATGTACAAAAGGGTATAACATCCCAAACCAAAAGATTGAAAGGAGACAAACTGTAGATGCTATTCTTTTTTAACTAGATAGATCATTTTTAACTACTCTCCATGATATTCATGTTAATTGGAAGGGATTTTTTTAACCGCCGTTAGCCTTTTGCAAATTTCATTACACTAATGAAATTTTTTCCACAAAAAAATATAGAAACAACGAAGCCTGAACATGCATGATTCAGTGACCAGCCAACTAAAGTTAAATTGAAGAATTGAAGTATTAATATGAAAATAGATTTGAGTTCGCATCAAAATATTCACAGTTAAAATCAGAATGCAAATCTTACCAGCTTTCTCTGCTTTTATCCTTTGCTTCTTTTTCGTACTTCTGTATTGTACGCTCATCAACCTGATTGCTAAGGAAAAGTATCTGACCTCCAATTGTAGACTTACCAGCATCTATCAATTTTAATTAAAATAAATATTTTACATGAAATGGAGAAAAAATAACCATATAAAATAATTACAAGACAAAGTATTGAAAGGAGATCTTTTAAATATAAACAGTATGCAAACANTATTTTACATGAAATGGAGAAAAAATAACCATATAAAATAATTACAAGACAAAGTATTGAAAGGAGATCTTTTAAATATAAACAGTATGCAAACAAAGTGATAAGCAAACTAAATTCTATAAGCATCCTAATTACCAAGAACTTCTAAAGTAAATGGGCCTCATTGTGCTAAACTCTGACGAGTGACCAAATGAATAAACCCAATTTTCTATACATTCACAATGGAACAAAGGCTGATACATGCAAGCCTGCAAAATAGTTTACTAACCAACATGACCAATGAACACAACATTCAAGTGTCTTTTGCGATCCAACTCCAAATCCTCTTCGTCTTCATTTTCAGGCAAAGAAATTTCCTTCTCCTTAGCAGGTATGTTCTCCCTCACTGTAAAAGGAACCCAATGGTTCAGTCACACTGTATGGGAAAAATAAATTGAACAGCTTAAACGAATGAATGTATCTCGCCAGGCAATTAATAGAGCATGCAACTCACCGCTGAAAATAAAACAGAAAGATCATTCATCATTACCTTGTTCTTCAACCTGGATAGCTTGGGTTGGTTGGGGATGGTCCTCTGTCCTCAAATCTAAAATTATCCACATCAAAGTCCTCGTAAGATGTTATTTGTGGCTGTGTTATCTTATCAGAAATATCGATATAATTTAAAGCAGCATATTTACACATATCAGCAAACAGTCTATCAATCATAAAAACAAGATTCTAGAAATTCAAACCTGCCCCTACAAGATTTATGAGGTCAAAATTTTGAATTATATATTCATATATATTTGAAACAACACAAGTGCAGCAATTCTCACGATAATAACCTAAATGCATATGAAATAATCCACAACTTCAGACATTGAACGAGCCAAAATAAATCAATAAGTCCTTTAAAAATCCTTAGCCAAAATAAATCAACTTCAGAAATTTTTTTTTTTAAATTATAATAAAATCCTTACATAATCTAGGAAACACTTTGGTATCTGATACAGTAAGATTTCATTGAAAACAAAATAAACATAACACAATTAAATAATACTTAAAAATGAACCTTCCATTTGAAAGTTTTAGATTCAATATTGGCAACAACACCTCGTATATCATTACAATAGCTTTATTAAATTGACCAACCTTCTTCCATGTTGTCCGACTTCACAATTTCTTCCATCTTTACATCTGAATTAGGAACTCCATTACTATCTTCTGTAAAATTGATAACAAAGGCACAGCCAAAAAGAAAATACATTGTTAAGCAAAGAGAAAACCACGTAGGGTCATATATGGCAATAGTTCAAAAATTATCAACAATAATAATCTATAAAATTTACTGTACCCGGTGGATCAAGTTCTAATGCACGAATGTCCTCCTCGATATCTATCAATTTCAGAAATGCAAAGTTATAACACCAACAAATCTCATAAACCATATACATTAATTGTAAGATACTATTTGGAGTAGGAAGAAGAGGAGGAAAAGGCAGCGCAACTTTTGGAAACTCCCGTCAATACAAAACTTAAGTTATATCATGATTGGTATGTCAGGACTCAACCGAGACCAGGTAAAAGAATTGTGATAAACCGAGATTCCGGTTATTTCTATTCAATAGTTATATCGAATTTTAAGTGCTTCACCCTTGAACAAAAGAGAGCAGTGTACTCCCCGCACAAATAAGGAGCAAAATCTTGAGTAATGATAACCATAACATAAATTAATAAACTCTACAAATTCCACGGTAAGTTAATAGAGCGGGAAAAGAAATCAACGATATTGAAGAATGAAGAACTGAATGCAACACCTAGGCCAAACTAACCAACCTCTATCGGGTTGCTAAAGTTCCAAAAGATTGCTAGTTGACGAGAGTGATTGGTAGCATCAAGAAAGAAGAGAAGCACAACAATGGAGAGAAACGATATTCTAAAATTCAACAGCAGAAAAGATTTAGGAGAGAAACGAAGATTCAGAACACATTTTGAAAGAAGAAAATCGAAAAAGGTAAAAATGCTCCCATTTCTGTTTGCAGATTGATTTATCTTCCTGATAGCCGGCAAGTAGATTAATCACCTGAGGACCCCGGAATCGACATGGTGTAGAAGAGCTTCGTTCGTCAATAATGGCTTCGGATTTTGAATTTTTCTTCAGTCGTGGCACGCCTGTTGTGGACCGATCTAGAAGGAAAGCCGCTGGAAAGCGGAAGCGGAAGCGGCAGCGATGAGACAGATCTAGAAGACGAATGGAACAAAAACACTGCGGGGGAGAGTGGAGATTGAGGGTTTGAAAGGGATGAGCGGCTGCGCTGAGAGACGAAATGGAAACAAAAACCCTAAAAAAGGTGAAAGGAGGGCGCGCGTGAGCTGAACACTCCTACATGAAATCTGCAGAGGGGAACGGGATGACGCTGGGTTTGTCATACAGATGCTAGTATCTGATTTGATTCGGTTCTCGCTGCTCTTTACCTTGTTGAACCCGGTTTATCTGAACCTTTCGGACCGATTCGAGTCGCATTTACCAACGGAGGGCTTTGACCATCAAGCCGTCACAAATTGTTAATCCAAACTAATGAATGAGAAAGAAATCTAATTGTTCAATCATCTGCACCTTATGATTATTTATTTATAAAAAATAAAATAGAAGTATCAATATTTATAGATTCTAACTCAAGACTAATTGGCAATTTGGTAAATTTTTGGATTAGATAATTATTTGAATTTGTTGACCTGGATACCATATCAATGTTCATGGGTTCATCCTCAAAAAAAAAATATTGAAGAATATCTCAGATATATCATAAACCTTTGTTAGGTCCATTATCTGATTCCTAACAAAAAAAAATGGTAAGAAAACGAAAAAATATATTTCAAGTGTCAATTTACAAATAGAACATAAATCTTACTACGAAGGATAAACACGAGGCTTATTGTGACAAATTGTAGTCACTCTTGGCTGCAAGTGTTTATCGTGAGCTCAAATCGATAACGGTAATTAACATATTGGTATTTGTCAATCAGAGTTTTGTAGCTTTGTAAGGCTCTCTACAACATCGACTAACCTATACAACCAGTTGATCGATTTTGGCTAAAACTGATGCAAGATCAAGTCTTACACTAGACTGAAAGAAACAACCATCCTTATATGTAAAAATAGAGAAAAATATTTTTTTAAAAAAAAGCTAAAAACTTCGTGAGACCAAAAGGAAAGTGAAGCTTCATTAAACACTTTCTTCTTCTCCTAAAGGGATTAACATTATGAAACATTTTCTTCCTCTATAAATGGATTAACATTAAACAAAAAGGAAGAATCAGACGAAAAGATGGTTATCTCATTGCAGTTCTGCAACTGTCCTCCACACTTTGCAGACTGCATTTAGTGCAACACTACGTTATGTATTTTCTTAAATAACCTAATTAAAGCGTAGTTAATTTTATCATAAACTACTTTTTTGATCAAACCGACTAACCTAAAAATTGATTTTGAATTTTAAAATCGACGCCGACCAACATTGGTACAGTCAATTTTGGTCGATCAGGTCAGTTTTTCTTAGTTTTTTGCTCACCCACTATTGGTCACCCAGCAAAAAAACTCAAAGGTCAATCACTATTTGAGAAACTACTAAAGGAAATAGTGTAGCTTACTTATGCGTGATGGTGCAAGGCCTCACCAAGGAACATGTTGACATTATACTTCATATTCCTCTATGTAGACAAATAATGGATGACGAAATAATATGGAACCCCAACAATAAGGGAATCTTCAACATCAAAGTACATATAGGTTGTATGTGAAATACGAGAAATCATTGATAACCTTGTCACTAAATTTAGAAGTCTTAGGGAGGTGCTATGGAATGTAAAAGTTTTGCCAAAAACCAAAATCTTACAGCCATAAGCTTTATAATAAGAGCATATCCAACAAATTCAATCTATTGAAACAAGGAATCAATGGATTAATACTAATCTATATGGTGTGTGTGTTTAGGAAAAAGATGAGACATCATAACACTTACCAAATTGTAAGGTGATCACCTTTAAACTAATGCCAATTTCCTACTATAGTGATAGAACCACTAGGAATGGCTATTATTGTACGATGCAAAAGAAGGTAAATTAGAAAGAATCATGATCATTGCACATCGTATTTGGTCTGGCTTATTTTTAATTTTAATTTATATTATTGTATTTTAYTTTATTAAATTTTATTTTAACTAAAAAATAACATAAGTTTATTTTATTATTAGTTGGCTTATTTTTAATTTTAATTTATATTATTGTATTTTACTTTATTAAATTTTATTTTAATTAAAAAATAACATAAGTTTATTTTATTATTAGTTTTAATATAAAGTTTAAATTAACTTAAATTAAAAAGGTTAGATTTTTTTAAATGTTTAATTTTATTAATAAGAAAATAAAAAATGGTTTTCTTTAGATTTTGTTTTCCTATTAAAATTAAAAAATAGATAAATAAAAATGATTTGTTTTTAAGTAAATAATTTTATTTTAAAAAGATTTTGTTTTAATTAAATAAAGATTTTAGTTTAACAAATGGTTTTACTCATTAAAGCCACGTGGCATCTTCTCATTCATTTCCTTCCCCTCTTTTCTCTAACCATCTAATTGTTACCGTTGGAGCATTGTGTATTTAAAGGGGATATATTAGAAAAGCACAGATAGCAGAGGGAGAAAATGTGTGAAAGCAGAGTTTTTTTTTTCTTCGTTTCTCCAGTTCATCTCATTTTGTTAAATATTAAAGATTTTGAAGTTGATTTACGGACGATTTTCTTTTGGAATTTAGTAGATCTGTGAAGAGTTCATAACCTTTTACTTTTGAAAAATTGCAGTAGATTTTGAGTTTTTTTATTGAAAATTAGTTATTCTTTTTAATTAAAAATGTGTTGTTTACTTTTTGGTTTTCAAATTTGGTAATCAAAATAAAAGGTTGTTTTTTATTACCAATTAAAGTTTTAAAAAGAAAATAAGTCTTTTAAATTAAGTTTTTTAAATAAGTTTTAGAATTTCTTTTTTTTTACAATAAAATGTGTTTCAAATAAAGTACTGCAATTTTTTTTTTAAGTAAATAAAAAAAGTTTAATTTTAAAATAAAAGCATTTGTTTGTTTTTAAATAAGTTTCTTTGAAAAAAATAAATAAAAGATTTGTCAAATCAGTTTTTAAAAAAAAATGAGCAATATTTTTTAAATAAGTTTGGTTATAGAGATAAGATTTTTTTTTAAATAAAAAATTTAAAATGAATTTTAAACTCAAAATAAATTAAAGGTTTAATTTTTTTTTCCCTATAAAGGATCCCGTTTACCTTTTTTTTTTAAACAAACTTTATGTATAAACTTTTATGGTTTAAAAAGAAGTTTAAATACATATATTAGGGTATGACATAGCGGCAAAAGCTTTGTGTATTGACACACTTGATACAAGTTCAAACCTTCTTTTGGTTATATTTTGAATCTCTGGGTCAGTAAGATTGAATTTTAGCCTCTTCAAGGTCCATTGTGCTTTATATATTATAACTCAAGAGGTAAATCACAAGTTTTTTCAAATACTATTTGATATGGTGACATTCTCAATGGTGAATTGAATTAGTTCTAAGCGCTGAATGAGTCTTTTCTGTTCATATTCACACAGACGTACATAATTTTGTTACCACCTTAGAGTCATTTGTAGGAGATGCTACAATTTCTTATCTATTTCGAAACACACTTAACTATAAGAAGTATATAGCAGTTACCAAATGATGGAGGAAAGGGCTCATGAAGTCAATATCTCATACATCAAAGAGTTCCACTTCCAACGTACCGTTAAAAGACATCACAATTTTAGTTAATATATTGTCAACAAATCAAATGAGATACCATCGTATAATTATTTTTTAAAGAAAAACATTAATCATGCTCATCCCTCTTGTATTAAAACTCAAATGCATCAAGATTTCACAAAGCATTCAAAGATATTTATGAAATATTAAAGTGTTCAAAAGGTAATCAGACATATTGAATCTAAAGTGTGAAATGACGGATATAATCTTATGCGAAGATGTTGTTTGACAAAATTTTTCCCCACTCCTAAATCATATGTGGTCCTCGACGTATATCTAAATGAAATCATATGTTATCTTCAACGTATATCTAAATGAAATGCTCACAAAAGAAGCGAATGGTAAAAGAAAATTCTCTAATTCTCAAGCTACTTGGATTGGATAGTTTATAGTATCGGTAAAAGTAGCTATAAATGTGATTATGCTTTAATCTCCACATTTATTCATTAAAAATGACACCTACAAACAAGAACAAAACAAAATAAAATAAAATAGAAGTTTTTAAGTTGTATCCCAATTAGCACGATTATTATTTAACGTCATCTTGCTTGAAATAGTTAGTAATATTTCAATAAGGTTCAACTACACAATAGGAGGTGAATTTTATTAATTGGAGCAGAAATTTAAGCATCAGACAGACTTTTAGATACCAAATTCCTAAAGACAAATTGAAATTTGTTAAAGGTTTAATTTTTACTATTGAAAAAATTTAGGGGTCTAATTTTTATTTATTAGGAAGATTGGAAGCTTTGATTTTTATCCTAAAAAATTCAGGATTTAATATCGTCATTAGAAATTTAAAGGGTATAATTTTATCATTTATAAAAGTTGAAGGATTTCATTTTTACTATTGAAAAAGTTGAGGGGTCTAATTTTGTTATTCATGAAAGTGGGAGGTTTTATTTAAGTTTTATCTTAAAAAATTTAAGGGTACAATTGTAACAACAACTAGAATAGTGATTTGTGTCATTTGCCTTCCTAAAATAATTAACAAGTTTTATTTGGGATACAACCAAGGTTTTAAATGTCGAAGTTGATGAATACGTCAAGGTCTCAATTTCATGGAAATATCGATAAAATGTAGATGTCGATGGATATTTCTGTAAAAGTTAGAAAAATTAAAAAATCGTAGAAAATATTTAAATCAATAAATAAACATTTTCCTATTTATAAATTTGTTAAAAATAATTAATATTAATATTATGTATATATTTAGTGACATTTGTTGAAATTTTTTATATTTTGTCGACTTTTTTGTACTCTAATGAAAATGTCGATTGTCGATGTCGAATCCATGGAGACATGGATATCTAGAACTATGGATATAACACAAAATTTACTTAAATCAATCACAATAATCAAATAAATAACTTTAGATAAACAATTGAATTAAGAAAACTAATGATGGAGTGAAAATCCATGTTACGATGTACACATACCCTCGTCACCTACCTTTTATATCTTTCCTCTTTTTCTTAGAAAATATAGGGAATAAGTGAATATTAAAGATATTCAATTAGTGAGGTAATTGGAGATACACATGCAGAGAATAATTCATAATACATGTAAAAACTTCTTTTAACCTAGACAATTAACTCATCCTAAAAGTTAGTTTCCAAACTCCGTTGAAGTACTTGGCAAGTTTCATACGAGACCCAAACTTCAAGTAATGATAGTTAGTATCGGGACGAGTAGAGTCAAACCTCATTTAACAAAGAACATACTTGGCTCTTTAATAGTAACTAGGAGTGAGGAAACCACTTCAAAAAAAAATCAATTTGATTGTCTAAAATCGACTGAATTGATGTTAATCGGTTAGTTTAATAAAAATTTCAGTCTTCCAAGATTCATTAATAAAAAAGAACGATTCAATATTTCAATAAAAATATATATAAATACTGTGCAGACAGTCTGCACAGTATATTACTGCAACCTTGAAATTAGCCGTCATCGGTTGGTTTTTAATAGTCTTTTTATTTTATCTTTCTAGTAGTTTTCCCCCTCTTTCTCAATCTTCTCTTTTTCTACTATCCTGCTTTCTTCTTTCTTCCATTTTCTTAATCCTTTCTATTTCTTCTTTGCTCTTCTCATTCTTGCTATTCTACTTTTCTCTCATATTTTTCGACTTGTTGCCACTCACGCTAGATATCATGTAAGATTTTTCTCCTTTTCGATTCATTTATTTGTTCTTCTAGTTAAGATTTATTCACATATCTTAACCTTTTTCTGTTCTTCTTATTTATTTTCTTTAATCGTTCTACTTCTATAATTAATAAATAAATAAACTGAAAAATCAATCGGCCAAAGGAAATAAAAGTAGTTGGTTTTCATTTTCTGAAAATCGATGTGGTCGGTTCGACGTTGGTTGTGGCAAAAAATCGACTCTGATCGATCAATGATCACCGTCTACTACTCAAATTTCAGAGGGACCTGGTCCCTTGTTACGTAAGCCCATGTGTTGTAAGTCATTTCTTGGAGAGACGACCTAGCGTCGAAGGTTATTCTTTTAGCATTACTTTTTAAATAAGTTGATAATTTTATTATTATTTTTCTTTTTGAAAACTATACTTTTATTCTTTTGAAAATATTTTCTAAAACTAGTAATATTAGGAAAAGAAATCCCTCAATTTTTTTTTGAGAAAGTGAAAGGGAGAGAATTAATAACGGACAACAGTTGTTGGAATTTGAGGAGATTTCGAGTGGGTGTAAATGACAAAATATTTGTCACCAAAATAATAAAGAAAATGTTTAAAATTAAAAGATTGTTTAAAATTAATGGGTAAAATGAGAAACTATGGTACCTTTTTTTATACACACCATAGATATACAAAATCTTGCACTTATTGAGTAGTACAAAATTTTCCAAATTATCTTTTCTGAAAACATAAATGTTGAATATTAATTTTCAAATTGACCGTACAATTTCGAAAATGGAGTAATAATTAATTCCCACCATAGTAAGTCATTATTATGGATGTTGTGTCCCCCACGAGGGGAACAATTCATTTCATCTTACGCACAAAATATAATAAAGAGTAATTGTACCTTTTCTTTTGCTAATAAATTCTATTTTTCATCTTTGAAGTTTGATTAAATTTTATTTTTATTTTTTAATTTCAAATTTCAAAACTTTAATTTTTTCATGGTTCCTTTCTCATTTCTAAAAGATGTTTTTAAAACTATTTAGAAACAATCAAATCAAATTTTTTTTTCTATTTATAATTTATTTTCAAAACAGAGATAAAAATATTATATTATAATTTTTATTTTAAAATGCATAATAAATATAAATATATAAAAAGTATAACATCAAAATTGAATATTTAATTTAAAATTTACTTTTTAATCTAAAATTATAGAGGACTAGAAAAAAAAATTACTGGTTTTTGTTGTTTGAAAAAAAAAAGAAAACAAAAAATAAGAAGCGTAGAAAGGTTTTCAAATGATACTCACGAGTGAATTTCTATTTATTATATTTATTACATGTTTTTATTAAATTTTTTAAAAAATCAATAATCAAAATTAGAAAAAAAAAAACAAAAACGAAGGCTAATAACATAATCATTTTGATTCCCGCAGACCCACCATTCGACTGGGATGATGATGTAACTTTTTTAAATTTCTTATCGTTATATTCAAATTTTACAAATAAAGTCTCACATTAATTAGGAAGAAAGTGATCCATAGTATATATAAGAGAAGATAATTATCTACATTAGTATGTACCATTTTGGATGGAATAAAATACAAAGCTGTGAAGGATATGCCAAAAGCGAACAACATCATACTATTGTGATACTTGGGATACCCTTGTTATTAACACTTCGATCATACACATTCTAAAGTTTTAAATTAGTAGACTAGTTTTAGATGATGTTGAGTCGAATTTAGTAAGATTGCATAGAGTTGAAAGGTTATGTGTTCGAATTCTTGTATGGTTGTTTCATTCCCTAACCCATGAACTTGAACTTTTGGATTGAGTGATTGAAAGGTCCTCAACAAATTCTATATTGGTAACATCTATGCGTCTAGAACTATTTCGACTATATCACTAAGGGTAAACTCTGTCTAGTCTTCATCGACTCCGTCTTGTCCATCCATAAGAGTAATGATTCCTGACTCACTTTTGAAGAAAATATAAAAAATAAAAGACATGATCTCCTAAATTAAACCCCTCCACTCCACTCCCATCCATAATTGGTGGGATTAGGTTTGTATGATTAAAATGAGGATGGAGGGATTTAAAAATAAAATCAGTGTGCAGTGTGCAGCTATAGGATAGCATAAAACTTGGAAGCAAATGGGGCATGCTTCGACAAATATATTTTAAATTTGCTTAAAAAAAAAGCAAATATATTTTAAATTGGTCATCATTTGTGTCTTTAATGTGTTGGGTTTTTTTTTTTTTTTTTTTTTGTGTGTGTGGTTAATGATTTCTGATTTCCAGGAAGAGCGTGGCGTATGTTCCCACCGCACCGCCCATTTGCCCACTGCCCGTCCACGCGTGAGATTTGGCTGCCTTCTATTTTCGAAACCCAACGCTCCTCCCTTGTCATCTCCCTTTTTATTTTGAAAATCTCCCAACTTTTCAATTCAATTTTCATAATATTTGTATATTTAACTTCTCAACGCTCCTGCATATTTAATCATCTAAATACTATTCATCATGTTGTATTTTTAAAATATCTATTTTCATGTCTATTACTTTTTTTATAATTTTTATTTTTGTTCCTATACATAAAAAATGATTATTTTTAAATAAATTTAGTGTGTGAAATGACATGTTAAATTTTGGATAAAAATAAATGAGATAAAAACGAAAATCAAGAGACAAAAATAGTCACTTTTAAAAAAATAGGAATGTAAACGAACGTTTAAGAAGTACAAAAGTTAAAATCAATAAAAGTTGAAAGTATGGATTAAAATAGATGTTTTGAAAGTACAAAAAACCAAAATTAATCATAACGGAGAGTACGAGGATCAAAGGAATATTCAAGCTTAATATTAATTCATTTTAGTGTTTGTAATTTTGAAATGCCGTCTTTTAATTTCTATTCTTTTAAAATATGACAATTTCATTTTTTATATCATTTTCTTTGCAATTCTATTCTCAATAAATTTCTTAAAAGGTGGGTATAGTCCTGCTTGCTGTCCATTTGTCCCACATCCCCTATTCAATTTAGCTCCTAAATCCCTTTGTGAAAAAAAAAACTCTGACAAAGGTTAGAACGAAATCGATCGCATTAAAAAAATTGATAATTTATTAATTTTTATAAAAGTCTCCTTTTTACTTTTTTTTTTTCCTCTCTCAAACATTTAATAGGGATGGTGATGACAAAATTGTCGGAATATTTTCTTTAATCTACTACAAATATTTTCAAATACTTGTCCACGCAGACATCGGCCTAACACACTCTAGCTATAAACACTAGACTTGCCTCCCCCTTTCTCCCACACTCTGTTTCTCTCTCTCTATTTTGTTCATTAAGGGTAGAAGAAGAAGGCATCCACAATGTCTGTAAGTTCTCTCTCTCACTGTGGAACAAGAAATGACCATGCTTTCTGTTTCTGCAACTCTCTATTATTGTTTATTTTCTTCTTCTCTCTCTCTCATTGTATAGATGGTGGAGGTGAGAGTTCCAAATCTTGACTGTGAGGGATGCGCTTCAAAGTTGAAAAAGGCCCTTCTCAAGCTCAAAGGTACAAAATAAATATATCTAAATTATCTCACAACAAAAACTTACAAATGTCAAATATACTCTTTGTTTCAACCACTATATGGCTGTTTTCTTCAATAAAATAGGATATTTCTGTTTATGGTGAAATTAAAAGTGACTTTTTTTAGTACAAAATTTGGAGCGGAGATTCTGACCTTTCATCTTCTAGTCATGTGTTTTAATTAGTCGAACTATGCTTAAACTTTTCATAGCTAGTGACACACTTCGTTGTATAAATTTAATTGCTATAGCATAGAGGAAGTTAGAAGTATATTAAAAATTTGCACGACGACAGGAGTGGATGAAGTGGAAGTGGAAATAGAGATGCAGAAAATAACAGTGAGAGGGTACGGATTGGAGGAGAAGAAAGTGGTGAAGGCAATAAAGAGAGCTGGGAAAGCAGCAGAGGCATGGCCATTTCCAGGACACTCCAATCACTACATGTCATTTTACAAGTATCCAACTTATGTCGTCAACCACTATTACGACAATTACAGTAGTGGCAATAACGACAATGGCGGCCTTCTCACTTTCTTCCACACTCCTTCTCTTTACTCAGTCGCTGTGTCGTCCGACCACGCCATTGCTTCCCTCTTCAGTGACGACAATCCCCATGCTTGCTCCATCATGTAATTAACTTTTTAATTTCTTCCAATTTTATTACACATTCTTCGTCTTCCTCGCTTCTACTTAATTACTTCTTTTCTTGCTCAAGGTTTTGGATTAAGTCACAGATTTATGTGAATTTTTGTGTCAATGGATTTTTTTTTCCCTTTAAATTTCCAACATCTTTTGTAAATAAGTTTAAAATTATTGTTATAATATTAATTTGGTCCACCTTACTGTGTTTTTTTTTTTTAATTTCCTCGAGGTTTCTATTAGGATAAAAATGTGTATGCGTCCTTATGTCGATGTTGAATCGACAAACATATAGAAAGATGGGTGAAAGTTTTCTATCAAGTGCCAACGATTGAATCTGGGAGCGTATATGATAAAGAATATTAATCGAGTTGTGATTTTCGTTGAAAATGAAAAATTATTCCCGAAAATTGTTAATGAAATTTAGTGAGTTATTGTAACTATTTGTGAGGAGCTGAAGACTATGTTCTTTATTAAAGAAGTAAAAAAAAAGTCTTATATGAAAAAAGTGTGAATATAGGAAAACTTAAAATAAATCTTAATTATGATTATTCTATAATAAAAAGCCGCAGAATTCAAAATTATTAGAAATTGATTATTATTTGCAATAAGTTGCGATACTTAGTTTTTCTCACCCACCTATGAATTAATTATTAAATTAATTTTAATATTATTATCATCTTTGTCCTCAAAAGATAGCTTGGGTGGCTATATTCAATAACCTCTTGTGTAGAATATAAGGTAAAAAAACCAAAGGTCACTGACTTCTGGGTAATAAAAAATATATATATATTCGAACTCACGACTTTTTGATAAAAAATAAGTGTCTAATCAATTGAGTTATGCTTGAGCTGTAACACTGTTAATTAAAAATAGTAAAGCTATGATTTTACTTTTGGTTTTATATCAAAAATTAAATTAATACCAATATATCGACCCTAATATAGGACCTTGTTTACATTTTCAACACTAACTTTTGCTCTCACGTATATGATATTGTCTATAACTCATGCTTTTCTAAATTGTTTAAAGTTGAAAGCATGAATCCAGGTTTTGAGTGCAAAAGTGAAAACAATAAGTAATGAGGGGAAGGAATCTTGATGATATGAAGCTTAAGTTGGCTGAACCGATGATTGTGATGCCACCATCACCATGATCCATTATTTTAAAAGCTATTTTCTGGTGGCGCCACCACTGAGCAACGTCCATCTCATATTGTCCGTTTGATCATTTGTTTTTAGATCATGTAATTCTTTTTCTCAAAATTCAAAATTTTATCCTAAGCTTTTAGAATTTTGTCGTACAGCTTTCAATTTTTTAAAAAAGTATATAATATGACCTACCGCAATCACTTATTTTTAAGACCGACATTCTTCAACGCCAAAAAAGTATATAATATGACTCACGATAACCACTTATTTTTAAGACCAACTAGGCATCAAACTTAATAATATAGAGCAGCAACTATGAGCTTGTTTGGTAACGTTTTTGTTTTTTTTTTTAATTTTTTTTAAAAATCTAAACATTTTGCAATTAACTATGTGTTTTGTTTTTCATTTTTTTGGAACATTATCAAAATTGTATAGAAATTTTGAAAACAATCCTACCAAGTTTCTTATTTTTTGTTTCCACTTCTCATTTGTTCCAAAGCTTAAATAAAAAAAAAAGATTGTTGGATTATAGTTGAATTCATGGATGTTGGAGTCATTTTTTATTTATTAAAAATGAAGAAACGTAAATAAGAAATAGGAACGTTACGTTAAACAATCTTACATTACTACCATTAGATCGATTATATGTGGGATATTTTAGTATTTTATTCAAAATATATATATACATAACATTTTCCAATAATCTCTCTTTGAGCTCTATCTTGTAATTAATTATTTTGGACTTTGGACTTTGTTTTTGGGCTTCTTTGGTCTTGTAAGAACAGAAGCGCAACGTCTAACTTTAGCCCCATTTTAGTTAACTCCTTTTACTTGTGAGTATTACTTAGCTTTAGATTTAATTTTGATTAGCTTTAGAGTTGCCACTCCTTGGCCTAAGTCGATGGAAGCACCTTGTAACACATAATTAGTTGGGTTTTACGATGATGAATGAATGGTTTGAACATTAGGCCAAAAGAGTTGTAATCGATTTTGTCGTTGGTATATTAGCCAAAACCAAACCAAATTGATGAAGAGGAACTGTGACCGAGTAGAGGTGGGGAATCGAACTCACAACCTCTTAGTTGTAGGTATATGCCAATTACCGTTGAACTATGCTCGTTTTGGTCACTTTAACTCACTCACTTGAAGTTCAAGATTTTTGGCAGTCAATCATAGGTGTACCTCACTTATTTATAGTTCAAACATATTTGCCCATCAAGTAAATTTCGCCGGTAAAAAATATATCACATCTTAACCTTGGACAAAGTGTATCATTTAGTGGCTATGCTACAATTAGGACAAAGTGTATCATTTAGTGGCTATGCTACAATTAGGACAAAGTATTTCATAAGTTCTAAGCAATTGGCAAAATATTATTTAACACAAATCAAACCATGAACCCCACCCTAATCCCAATACAAATGGGCCATAATAATTTTCAAATAACTTTAAAATATGAACTTACAAATCAAATTCTTATTACACAAAGGGGCAAAAAGCCCAAAAACAAAAACTAAAAAGAAATAAGGCGGGCCATGGAGACCCCTACACTATCTGCCATCAGTACATGCAGAAGACCTCTAGGAGGTTCGTCACACACATGTAAGCCTATAGGATGAATGCAAGCGTGCTTCGTCAACCAATCTGCACAGGAGTTTGCTTCTCTGTAGGTGTGTTGGATTGTTACCGTCCACTCCCTGTCCACTAATTGAATAATTTTTGACATAATTGGTCTAATTAAAGTTGTGCTTGTGATCTATTTTGCACCAAGTTACAAGCAGCTCCACATTTTATAATTATTTATGATATGAGATGCATAAATTACATTTTTTTTTAATTTGAACTTCTACTCATAAAATTTAATTGTTAGTAAAAATTTGAACTTATTGGCAAAAAGGTTGTTTTTTTTTTTTTTTTGCATAAATTGGCAAAAGTTATTGTTTGTAATATTAATTATATTTTATATATTTTGTGAATATGCGAGTAGATAAAGTGTGTCCACTAACTTTTTGAAGGAAGTCGCCAAGAGACAAAAAGTTATCCTTCCGCGCCACTCCTTTGACCCATCCACCATTGCGTTCGGAAATGGCCCCATTGCCAACAGAGCAGAAGTCGGATTTTCAAAAGAAAAACGTTTTAAAAGGAAAATTTTGATAGGTAGTTCCTTTTAACCGTTGACGTTAATGGAAATATAGAAGTTTAAATTTCAATCAAATGTATATGAAAATATTAATAAATTTGTCAGTCGATGGATATTTCTAAATTGAGTATAAAAAAAATTTGTAAAAGATATTTAAATTAACAAATAAATTTTTTACCATTTCCAAATATGTTTAAAATAATTAATATTAATATTATGTCTATATTAATGATATTTTGTTGATAATTTTAATATTTTATCGATTTTTGTAATACTATGAAAATGTTGATTTACCTCTCATGCTGATATCAAACCTATAGATAAATGAAAATGTCGATAGAAATTTAATGCTTTGAGGTGGAGTTTGCTTTTTTTAAAATGGTTTAAATTACAAGTTTTTTTAGTGTAATAATATGTGGGGTGAGAGTTCGAACCCACAAACTTTTAATTGAAAGTTAGACTTGAGTTGAAAAATAAATTACAACTTTAATCTCTAGATTTACTTTTGTTTAACAGGGGAGGAATAGACTAACAGAGGGAGAGAGAAACTTGTAGGAGAGAACCAAGAGATGAAAGGAGGGGAAAGAGAGAATAAAGGAATAAAGTTATTTTATTCTTATTTTGATGCCAAGTCAGCATATTTAATAATATAAAAAATATTTTTGAAAAATCAATCATATAATAAAATTTCTCAAATCCACCGTGAATAAAAAATAACAAATCAATTCCACGTTCAACAAGACATCTATTACTACCCTAGATCGGCAGCGGATCCGTTTGACCCATATAATATTTTAACGAACAAAAATGTAATGGTAAATACTATTTTAAATTAAGTTTCTAATACTTTTTTGTCATATGTATTATTATATTACGTTTTAAAGTTATATTTACCTTTTTACCTTTTTTTTTTTCCAACAGTGTTATATTTGTCATTAGCATCGAAAATAACAAATGACGAGTCGTATCAGGTTATTAAATTTTTATCGACACTTTCATATATTTATGGATTTAAAAAATCGACAAATATTTGAAAATATCAACAAAATATCATTAATATACTCATAAGATTAATAACAAAAAAAAATTATATTTATTTAAAAAGATAAAATATTTATTATTGATTTAAATAATTTATATGAATTTTTTGTTTTTCTAATTTGTTTTTTCAATAATATCTCTCAACTTTAGATTTTATTATATCGATATTTTCATAAAATTGAGATCTCAACATCTAAATCTTTGATGGTACATAATTACAAAATATAATGTGATATTTTTTTTTTCTGAAAACAATATAGTGATAATGAAAAGTAGATTTAATAATGTTACCACGTGGTGGCGTAGTGGGTTTGTGATTGAATAGGGATACCCCACCCTGGTTCGGGCCCTGTAGGGCGCGTAGTCGGGACGTTTCCCAACCCCCTCTATTCAGAGACGAGTTCCGCAACATCGACACCCCCGATTATAGGGATCAAAACTAGCGAAGCCACACGACATCCATTTTGGACTATAAAAAAAAAGAAGAGTATATTTAATGCCGAAAAATCTAGTAAGTATTGCCGCCACTGGTAAGGATAAAATATTTCATTATGGCATTTACTAAAATTTATGTGACAAAAAGTGACCGACCTCTAATTTAATTTCAAACCCTATAGAAATCATAGGAAAGAAAGAATTATCCTAGATTAGGCTCTTATTTTTTCTAAAGCTGTACAGCGAGGTTTTGAGTGGGTAGTTAATTTCTTTTGACCATGTGTGTTTTTTTTTTTTTTTACTTCTACACTTGAAAAGTTTTACCCATTCAAACCATTAACGAGTGGTTGATAACCTTTTATTTGGGCAATTGGCGTCTTTGACCCCAAAATTTTTAAGATTGGAATTTTAGCCTCTTTTCAAGTTTATAATTTTTCTGACACTTTTACTTTTAACGAAGGGTTGATTACGAAATACTTCACATTCTCTTTCTTTTTCTGATTTCTTAGATAACAACCTTTTCCCGGTTTATTTTTTCTCTCACTTTTTCTTTCGAATCTTTCAATAAAATTCGTCGAACGTCTCGTCGTCCATGAAAAAGTTGGCTACTCTACGTCATAAACCCTTAATGATAGTTTGACAACTCCTATCTTTTGTGTTATTTTCTATATGTGACCTTATTTTATTTTGACATATGCATACAAGTCTCATACCCGGACTTTACTATTAGGTTTAGGATCAAGGATGAGTAGTGGTGACCTTTGTGGAATATTGAACTCTCACATAGGTACATAAAACCTCTCACTCAGGTCGACCTCAATATGGATGCTACTAACGGTGCCTCCATTATTTTTTTTTTTTTTGGATAAAGAAAGAAAATTGAGGACAATTTAGGGACATTTATCCCTTGGATGGTAGAGAAAGGAGCATTCCTTTGTGTATATTACACATTTGTTCATGTATTTATTATTTTGTGATTGTATACATCTTTTATGATTTTTCTTTAAAAATTTTCCCTTTTTTCGAAAATACGGGAGGTTGAAAACCCACAATTCTCATATTTTACTCCACCAAATTCTTCTCACTGGTACTCAAGCATACTTATGGAAAAGTTGCGAGTACATGTATGTGCATTAGTGATTTAGATCGTTTAATTTGTAAGCGGATATTATAGTCCTATTTTGTAAGTTGGAGAAAATATTTCGACCAATATTTTTTGATGTAATAGTACATCTTGCCATTCCCTCGAATTACGAAGCAGAAGTTGTGGGTCTCATTAGTTACAATTGGATGTATCTTATTGAGCAAAGTTGGTGGGATTTGAAAACTACGTTTGAAATAAAGCTCATCCAAAGTGTTCCATAGCAAAAACATTCATAATGAATATTGAAGCGATGACTTTATGCTCAATGTATCTAATGGGAATTGAAATAAGATTTAAAAGGGATGAACGTAGCTATGATACAATGCTTGGGAATGAGATTTATGGAGAATTTGATATTTTTAAACAGAGCGCACGACTATTAAGGGATCAACATTAAGAACATTATCAGGTGCTGAGAACGAATTGAACAATTGCATTGAGATAGAGTCCTATAGCAGATACGTTATGTCTGTCTTAAATAATATTCTACCAATCCGTAATGTATTCAATTAATATCTTTTCTCCCTCAAAAATAGAGACCACTTAAGACTACTTCAGTCTCAAGCAGAAAGTTCACTTGACTTATATCGACTTATAAAGAGAACACAGATACAGTTTTCCGATTGGTTCAAATCTCAGGTAAGTTCAATGATGAGAGATTGAAAGTTGGGATTGAATTTTGAGTTAAAGTTATTCATCAATTAGTTTACTAAAAAAAGAATTTAAAATTCACAAACTCTCTCCCAAAATTGCCCGCAATTATTATGCCTTGTTATCTTGCTTGATTCTACTCCGATCCCATTTTATGACCTTCATGAATCATCATCGATCTGATCTGTTTGGGGGTAAAAAAACTTTGGACACGTGGAGGACGCTTACAGGTGTCCAAGAATTAAAAAATTCCATATCCACCTCGAACCTGCCGAAGAGGTCGGGATCACCCATTGGAAAAAGGCTAAGTACGCATGCCAAAGTTCGACCTGACTCGGGTTCGATCTGCTCGGAACCCGACAGGTCTGACATGAGAAAAAACATGTAACCGCCGGTCGTGAGCTCTGTCGGATCCACCACCTATAAATAGAGGGCCTCATTTCACGCTCAGGTATCGAATCTCACCTCGAACTAAATACTGAGCCCGACATATACTGACTTGAGCGTCGGAGTGTTTACCCTCTTGTGCAGGTCCACTCTTGTGTTCAGGTTGAGTCAGGGATCGGGTTCTAGCTTGGTTTGTAAGCATCATTGTGCAACCCTTTGCATAAACATGATCTATATAATGTTTTAGTGTAAGACAGTTTTGTTAGGGTTGATTTGATAACTTAATTCAAATTTCAAAGTTCAGATAGACGCGTTAATATCAAACTTCAAGAACTAAGATATCAAACCATCCTGCTATGTTTTGTGAGTTGTGACGTTTAAATGAGTGAATGTCTGGAGGCAACAAAGTCAAACTTGACATGTAGAGGATGAACGCGATGTCCCCTTCAGCAATGCCATAATCAATTGATTATGAATAATTTTTAGTCGGTACATAATATTTTATATGATTATGCTAATGATTTATTTGCAAAATTTATTTCGATCACGAACATTTTGGTAAAAGATGGTGAAGAAAAAACTACTATAAAAGTACTTTAGTCAAACACCTTAGTCAAGAACACTCAAAAAAGTATTTCATCATAAAATGTATTATTCTAAAATTACTTTTTATATAGTTTTGATGAGACGATAAAAGCAATTATATTATGTCATAAATACTCCTAAATATAGTATAAATTTGCTGCCACCTCCACCATTATTTAAATTTCTCCAACGCAAAGTTTAGTCTAACTTGTCAAAATCATAATAAATGGGTTGAATTTGGACTAAATTAAATTTGACTTTCTTTTAAGTTTTGGAATCGGAATTTTGTTTTAAATATTTTGGTTGTGCGTGCCTTGTAAAAACCAATGACATGCGAATGCGGTCATTGTTCAAAAAGAAAAATAAATAATTCTCTGTGTTCTTTTTTTTTTTGTATTTTACGTTTACCCATTGAAATCGCTGCTTTGGACAGCGACTTTCGCCTCACCCTTTTTATAAAACCTTTTTCCCACTTCATTCTCTTTCACGCTTCTCTGTTTCTTCCCTCAGTTTCTCCTCATCACCAAAATGGCTCAGGTTTTTCTTCTCTCTTCGACTTCTCTTCGTTTTGTTCATCTTTTAATTTTCTTTACTTTCTAATCAGATTTCATTCTCTCTCTCTCTCTCTCTCTCTCTCTCTCTCTCTCTCTATCGGATTTTCCTGTTGCTGTTGAGATTTGTTGCAGAAAGTGGTGCTGAAGGTGATGACGATGACTGACGACAAGACGAAGCAGAAAGCAATCGAAGCCGCTGCCGACATCTACGGTTCGTATTCCGATTCACCGATTCTCTGTTTTCTTTCGTAAATTTCTTCAACATTTCGGATCTGTAATTGCTGTTTGTTTTCGGAGAAGAATCGAAGTGAAAGAATTAGGAAATTGATTGCGTTTCGAATCGAGGAAAAATGCTTAGAAATTATTTTGTTGATTTTCTGATGGTTGGATTGGATTGGATCAATAGGCGTTGATTCGATCGCCGCCGATCTGAAGGATCAGAAACTGACGGTGATAGGATCGATGGACGCGGTGGCGATTGTGAAGAAACTGAAGAAAGTAGGTAAAGTGGATATAATATCAGTTGGACCTGCAAAGGAGGAGAAGAAAGAGGAGAAGAAGGAAGAGAAGAAGGAAGAGAAGAAGGAGGAGAAGAAGGAGGAAAAGAAAGAGGATAAAAAAGAGGAGAAAAAGTAAAAAAAAAAAAAAAGAGTAAAAGTAAAAGTAAAGTGGAAGTAAAAAAAGTACAATTCCTTTACCCTTCTTTCAATTTTGATTTCATATATTTAAATAACTTCTTTCTTTCTTTTTTTACGAATATCTAAGAATTCTTATGAAAATATAATGGCAAAAAGTAAAACCTTTCTATTTTCTAATTTCTCAATTGCATTGTAGAGATATCCATTATTTACATTATTCTTTGCTAATTTTATTTTTCTCTTTTTACCTTTATTTCCATGTCAATCTGTTAAGAAATTATTAATTAGATCAAGAATATTTCTAATTTGTTTGGGAGAGAATTACATTTTATTTAGAATGCTATTGAAGGAGATTGGAATCTAGAAATTGCGAGGGAACTTGTCATGATTCATCAATGTACCTCCTTTTCCATATATCTATAGGGGACCAAGGACTTTGTGGGCATTTTTTGAATTATGCTGGGTATGAATTATTGATTAAGACATCGTGGGAGATTCGAAATCACTTCTTATTTGCAATATAATGTTACAAAAAGAAAAAAAAATCAATCTACCTTGTTAGATTTGGGATGAATTTCAACTTTTTTAGGTCTCTTTTTGTAACTTGTAAGGCAAATTATCTCATGGACTTTTCATAGGGTAGATATGGAAAATATGTTGAAAATAGCCCTCACAAATCTTCAAAGTGTATATATATATATATTTAAAATCTTTCTTGTACAATTAGTTTATTAACAAATTATAATAAAAAATGTATGAGGTGGAAATTTGAACCTTCAACCTCAAGAGGAGTAAATGTGCCTTAACTGAGCTTAGTACATTTTTTTAACACAACAACATGTGAAGGTGGGTGATATTTTGATTGGGAATATATACCTTAATTTATCGAGCTAGGCTTAGGTTGGTCATAACAATATTGTATTAACCATGATTTGCATTAGAAGATTGTGAATTAAATATGTAGTCTCAAAAGGCAAATTTGGAGAAATTTAGATAAGAATTTTATTTTTGATTATATCAATACTTTCTCTAATGAAAGTTTTTAGAGCATTGCAATTCAAATAAAGAGGTGGGGGTGAGAATTAAATTATACAAATCTTAAAGCATTTTTATATAATGAATTGGTTATTTTTTCCTCTCTTAAAAAAAAAAAACTAAAGAGTTTTTGTTTCTTAATAAATAATATGCATTTACAAGAAAGAAAAAAAGTGAGTGGTTTTGGTTTATTATCGAGATGGGATGTAATTTTGGTGGTGGGACGTGCACGTTGTCGACGCAAAGAGCTGAATGAGAATTGGTGGAAACTGGAAAGCAATGCAGATAGCGACGGCAATGTGGCCAACATTGGCTGCATATTATACATGTATTACGCTATGGAAATTCGAATTCACGACAGATCGAGTTATCTTCGTTGATTTTCATATATATATATATATAAAGTAATCATATTTTTATCAGTTAATTTTAAAATTTAGTCCTTCAAATTTGGATGGAGTTTTTTTTTTTTTTTTTATCTTCATGATTAGACCTGATAAGTCATCCATATATTATACCTTTTCGACTTTTCCTACCCAAAAATCTTCTATTGTCTTATATTTTTTAGTTTACCATCTATTTTCTTATATTTTTTAACTTGAAATACTATTTTTATTTTTATATTTTCAACTTTGGTTCTCTTCCCAATAAACTTGTACTTTCAATTGATTTATTTTAATATATTGGTCTTTCAAAATGTTCATTTTAATCTCTGTACGGTTAAAAAATGACCATAATTTTATTTATTTAAAAAATATTCGACTTTTTATCGATGAGGACCACTCACTATCATTAAAATATTTGACAATTACGATAGAGAAATGCGAAAGCAGAGATTTTTTTTTTAAATTAATAAGTTGTTAAGTTTTTAATGGTGGTTAAGACAAGATTTGATCGGTAACTAAGTATTTTCTATTTTATTTTTAGTCTCATTTTTCCTATAACAATTTCATCAGACGCTACACTCTATACTCCTTGAAATTGTATTCTCTCTATATACATATCTCTTGAAATTTAACCATGACTATATGATATTAACAAATTCAATAATTTTGAATCTTTAATTTTTAAAATTAGACCAAATTGAAATTTAACTATTTTATTTCCTTATTTTATATTCTCTATCGCCAATGATTTGTGATTTGTAATGTTTCATACGCAACCCTTTCAACCCATTTATGGTACACTGGTGGTTGTTGCTGACGCCTTCTCCTCCATCTCTTTCACACGTTACTTTATATATATATATATATATATATATGGGCCACAGATCGCACATAAACCACCAGGTCGCACGACAGAAGAACACCCAACATAAAGATTTTCCCTTTGATAAAAAAATAATTATTATAATAAAAAATATATATATAATAAATATAAAGTAGATTTTGGTTGTTCAAAATTCTTACTTTCCCTCCTCTCAGTCTCAACACAGAGGTATATGTCAATTACCTGAGCTATAGCGGAAGATATATATTTATCAAATACAAATAAATATTATTCTTTTTAAATTAATCCAAGCTAAATTCTTGACAAGCTCCTTCTAATAATTTATAAGAATAGTTAAACTTTAAATTAACATTTTGAATCTTAATTTCAAGCATTAAAGAAAATTTTGGATCATTTAATCAAATTGAAATATTTGAATAATAGTCCACTGCAGCACTACTCAGCACGTTAAGGTACCTGTATCCAACTATAAAGTCGTGAATTCAAATTCGTACCCCCAAAAGAAAAGAAAAACTCCTTCGAAGACTTAGATTTGATTATTGGAAAAATTGAGTTTGATAAACCTTTATGTTTTTCTTTCTTTTTTTTATTATTTTTTATTTTAATATAATATGTGGAATAATGATTCAATTTTGGTCAGATATGTACCTTAACCCGTTGAACTATGTTAGAGTCATCTTTTATTGTGTAATATTAAATATTCATAATATTAGAGCATTTATTCCTAATATAAGCTTTAATACTCAATTAATATTATTTCGAGGAACATATATTTTTCTTAATATTTAAAAATTAATATTTTTTTCCTTTAACTTCTTTTGAGGGCCTATTTAGTACGTTGTAGTGAAGCAATTGAAACATATACTGCACATCAAAAAAAAATTTCGTAGATGATAAATATTTAGCTCTTGGTTATAAACTAATGGTATTGTAATGAGAATACTTATGATAGGTTGCTGACCTAATACATGTAAATGCAAGCGATTCAATCCCCACTTTAGCTAGTGACTAGTGATGGTCTAATAGTTAATTTACCTTGAGAGCAAGCAACACATTCATTAGATTAAAGAATCTTCAAGTTCTTTCATGGATGTTCATGTGAATTCTTAATAATTATTCTCATCATTAAAGATTTAGGATGACCCAATCGATCATATATCAAATAGAAAATAAATCTGGATTCACGAACTTCAGGTTTATTGTTGCATATGTTTCAATTACTAGTATAAGTATAATATAATCTAGACGATAAAACAAACGACATTTCTAGTCTACATTTTCCATGTGAGACAATAGATATAATATAAAGATACTCGATATTATTCTTATTATTAGTCTTTCATCTTATTATTAGTCTCCATATGATGACCATTACAATGTATATCTCTCTCTTTTTTTTCTTTATTTCACAACGTATATCTTATATCTTTATAACTCAGTAGATTTCTCTTTGATTGACTAAAGAAAAATGCACTACCAATTGTAAATTTTATTCCTCAAAGCAAAATAACATTTGCTTTTAAAAAATCTTCAATTGAGTTTACAAAACTTGATATTGTATTTACTTTTAAGGATTGTGTGCGTATTTGCACTATCGCCAGATATAGATCTTCATTACTCATTTTTTGTCATCCAAAATATGAAAACGGTACATATTTCTTAATTAAACAAAATGATTACTATAAAGAAAAAAAACTTGGAATATAAAAGTTCAAACTCCTTAAAAACATGAAAGATAGAGGCTAAAACATAAAACAGCATCAACTTTGTATATTGTGATAATAATTAAAAAAAAATACTTGCTACTTCTTCAATTGTGTCGACTTTCTCTTCAAGACATTCAAAGAAGTTTGTCACCGATCCAAATGTGTCATATTGGAAGGGTCTCAAATATATCATCATCTTGGTATGTAAAGTTTGCTTCCACATAATTTTCCCCATTTTTTTCCTTCAGGAAAGCTTGATAGAGGTCAACTAAGTGCTTAGACGTACGACATGTGCGAGAGCCGAATGTCCATATGGTTATATATGTTCAACACTTTTAGAACTCTTATCTTGTGGAGCTTTTCGTTTGTGATCATCATTTCATGCGGTTTTCTTGAAATTTGAATGATTATGATGACCACCACGAAATGAATAATTATTTCTTCCTCTACCATGGTCACGATCTCGACCATGATCGTTAGAAATTATAGGATTCGTTTTAGAGAATGGTATTGCTCCAACGGGTCAAGATTCATGATTTTTCATCAATAGCTCATTATTTTGTTCAACCACGAGAAGACATGATATAAATTCACAGTACTTTTTTAAACAGTTCTCCCGATATTATTGTTGCAAAAGCATATTCGAGAGATGAAAAGTAGAAAATATCTTCTCTAACATATCCCCATAAGTAATTTTTCTTTTTTCTTTTGCATAATAATTACAAATTTTTAATTAATTTTAGATAATGTAAAGCAACTGATTAGTCTTACCAACTTAGATTTTGCAGCAACAACAATATCAAGAAAACCGTTTAAAAAAAAACAGTAAGTGATTATTGGATTTTAAGATTGTAAGATTTTAAATCATTAAGTAATTATAACTTCACATTATTTAAAATAATTCTTCACATTATTCAAAATAAATTCAAAATTGTGGTTATACAGAAAAAAAAGTTATTGATGGAAATATGTTAGAGAATACATTTTCTACTTTTCATGTCTCGAATATGTTTTTGCAACAACGAGAACTGTTTAAAAAAATATATTTTAAATTTATATCATGTCTCTTCATAGCGGAAGAAAATAATGAGTTATCGATGAAAAACCATGAATCTCAACCAACTGGAACAACACAATTTCTCAAAATGAATATTGTAATTTCTAACCATCGTGGTCGAGGTTGTGACCGCAATAGAATAAGAAATAATATCATCATAATCATTCAAATATCTATAAAACCACACGAAATGATCGAAAAAAAACTCCACCAAAAGTTCTAAAATTGTTGAACATAAAATATTTTCAATAATGGTCATTCGACTCTCGCACCTATCATACATCTAAGTACTGTCGTACGTCTAAGCACTTAATTGACCTCTATAAAACTTTCCTCACAGAAAAGGGGAGAATGTGGAAACAAATTTTACATGGTAATATATTTGACCTTCCAATATGAACAAGGGTAGATATATTTTTCTTTTATTATGAGATTTGGATATTATGAGATTATCCAAAGTTCATGTTGTTTTATGTTTTTAGCATCTATGCTTGAACTTCTATATTCCAAAGTTTTTTCTTTACTATAATCATTTTGTTCAATAAAGAAACATTACAATTTTCATATTTCCAATGACAATAAAAGATACTTTTAAAAAATAGACAAGTTTTAAAAAATGGATATGAAGGTTCATGTTATTTTGCCCGATCAAAATTTACAATTGACCGTATAAAATATGGTAAAAACCGTACAATCAAAATCAACAAAACTACATATCCCATCTTATAGAAAATTTAAAACTTCTAAACATTAAAAGAAAAAAAAAAGAGGTTTTTTGATAAATGAAAAAAAAAATTGTAGGAATACATTGCTCCTAATTGTCCCATTACAAATGAAACAGTATTTGAGACATTGAAAATGAATTTAAAATTAATATGAATTTATTAACTCCATTCAAATCTTCCTCAGAGATCAAAATTTTGAAACTCAAGAAATTATAATGAAACTTCTTGCTAAGCCTAGCTAACCGATAATTAGCATAGCTTTTCGACTGGTCATTAACCAGTATCTCCAAGAAGAAATTATAATGAAACTTCCTCTAGAAAACCATTATCCTGATCAATTATTGGTTCTTTAATATTATTAAAGAAATTGATGATCCATAAATTAAAAATATATATCTCTAAAAACTTAAAAAGACGGTATAATATAACAAATGAAACTCTTAATGAATCATTTAGGAATTTAATAAAATCAAAATTACTAATAAAATACACAACTACGAAAATGGGAGGTTGTTAATCTTGTTAGTAAGAAAGAATATCATTTAACTTACAAAGTTTTGATTCAAAGTTCTAATTAATTTAGGAGTCAATCAAAATTGTATATCACGAGAACAATTCCAAATAAAAATTTCAAAAAACCTCTTAGAGACCCTACAGAGCAAACGGATAACGATTTAAGTAATAAAATATAAACTTTCAAATAAATGCACATACTTGAACTATTTTTTGTAATTCAAAATTTCTAATAAAGTGACGAGACGTCACAAAATATAACTACTTTACCACCATAAATTTGACATTAAATGATAATTACGTAATAAAATGTAATTAAGAATTTATGTTCGCAACACCCAAAAAAAGAAAGAAAGAAAGAAAGAAAGAAAAAAGGTACCTCTCTAACTCTGGAAGACTCGAACTAAAGACCATCTTCTTTCGGACCATATTTTCGTAGTTTTTCTCATTGGCATGTTTAATATAAATATGGGAGAAACTTAAGATATTAAAAAACAGAGGAGAACACTTGTGACACATGCAAATGGTTGTTATTTCTTAGTGTAATATCTGGACGACACCTTTCGGCTATCTTGGCTTACCTTAATGGACACGTGTAAAGTAATGACACCACCTCGAAAATAAAATGATCACAAATTTTTAAAAATTTAAATAATAAATATAGCCGTTGATTTATTGGATAAATTACACAAATCACTGAAGGAGTGAAGGGAGTATATGATAGTTGTAACAATTGTACCCCCAAACTTTTAACAAAACTCCACAGCAATTTTTTTTTTTAAAAAAAATTACATTCTAATACTCCCTAGTGTAAAAATTAAACACTCGAACTTAAAAATATTGGATTTATTTTACTTTATTTCTCTCTCATATTTTACAGAAATTGGATTATTTGGAGGGTTTAATTTTTACAAAGTCCGAGGGTACAATTTTCTCATTAAAGTTTTAAGAGTTTAAACTTTATCGTTGAAAGTTTTAGAAGTCTAGTTTTTTTCATTGAAAATCTGAGGGTTTAATTTTTACGATTAAAGATAATTAATTTCAATAACTAATATATTTCGTAATTGTCTAATTCATCAATCATTGCCTCTTTTTTCTTTTTGAATGAACGAGAAGACACAAAATTGAAATATATCAATTAACTTACAGAAGGATTCAAAATTAATCTACGCGGTTCTTCAATTTTAAAATTAAAAAACAAAAATTCTTCTGTCCGTAGAGAGTACAAATCGGCACTAGCTAAGGCGTGAAAACACCGAATCCTATTCCAACTTCAATATACAAAATCGTCTTATACCATATGTACTTTTACTGTTCGATGATTCAATTTTTTATCTTTTAAAAAGGCATTTCAATGTTCTGTTTACTCATTAATAATTTAGAAAGAAGAAAACACAATGTATACCAGATTTTACTATTTTTTAAATAGAGCTGCAAGTTTAAAATTTTACATAGATGACATAATTTAATCTGAATTTTTAAAAAAATGGTGTGTTTAATGCATTCAAGTCGATAATAAGGAAAAATAGGATTCTTTTTTTTAATTCTAACACATGTGGAGATAGAGATTTAAACCATTTTAGTCAAAAATAAACGTCTCAATCTGTGTGACAAAAAAAAAAATTTGATGGTCAACATTTAGTGACCCTAAAATCCAATTTTTAGAAACAAAAGTCTAATACAAGTAAATAGAAGTGTTAGAGCTCTCTTACCTAAATCTAAATCTAAAATTGATCCATCATTATGTTTAAATGATCTATTGATTGAGAGATATTTTGAAAATGTTTTCATTTTTATCCATAATTATGTTTAAATGATAGAGATATTTTTTGTTTTGTATTTTTTAATATATAAACGTTCTGCACTTCGGGCCTCAATTGAGGTATCCCGAAACCCTTCCTCCCTCACGAGACAGAAAATTAAAATAAAAAAAAGAATGAAATGTGTGAAAATTAAAAAAAAAAAAAGAATGAAATGTTGTTTGGCCTTCGAGAGGACAGAAAATTAAAACAAAAGAAATCAATGTTGTTTGACCTTCGAACGAAAGCTAGCAACATAAGTAGGGACAATGCTACTTCTATATTTTGCTACTTCTATTTTTATTAAAATGTTATTCTTGTTTCCATTTCTTTTTTTTTTTACTTACTTTTGAGATTGCAGATTTTTATTTATCAGAGAGGTTCAGTCTCACCATCTTGTCCCAACTAACTATATGATTTTTATTTACTATAGAGGTTCAGTCTCACCATCTTGTATGATTTTTATTTGCCATAGAGGTTCAGTCTCACCGATAATTAACATGTATCTCACCTAGATTTTGATCTGATCCCCACTGAACTTCCACTTTGGAAGACCATGAGTTCCCAAATGAGACTTCAAATTAAGACTACAAAATTAGACCAAATGTCCAGGTGAAACAAAATATTAAGTCAAAGTGGTGAAACATAATTTTAATCCAAAATTACCTAATCATAAGAATACAAAGTGAGTCCGAGAGACCAAATGGAAGCAAGAGCATAAGCTAAACCATGAGGTAACAGCAGTGAGAACAGACCAAATTTGACACAACCATTTCATAAGTAGCAGTGTTGAAACTTGAAACAAAGCCTTCCCCAATACAAGTTTTATCTTCTTATCACAATACAAAACACAAATACGCCCTCCCACTTTCTTCAAACTATGTGCACCAAAGATGAAACAGAAACAAAACATTACACTGAAACCTCACTTAACAGAACACATTGAAATCCCTCTGTGCATCCAAATTTGAAATTAGTCCTACAGTATCCTCACTTCAGCCTCCGTCCCACCAGGCCCCTGCTGCTGCTGAGACGGCGGGGAGTCTCCACCTTTCCCCATCCACGACCCGACCGTATCTTTCACGGTATCCACCACGCTCCTCGCCGCCGCGGCTGTGGCAGCGGCGGTGGAAGATCTCTCTGTCTCTCGATTGTCCTCTCTGCCGAGGCGCCGCGTGAGCTCCTCCGACTCCGTCACCTCCGCCTTCGGTGGCACCTCCTCCTTCCGCTTTTGGAAGGCCTCTGATATGGCCTCCAACAACGCCCTGTCGTCCTCCCCCGGCTCCAGCTTCTGCGCTAGATACTCCTTCACCGACACCCCTTTATCTTCCCCTTCCCCTGTTCTTACGCCGTAGCCCAGCTTCGACGCCACAAAATCCTTCGCCGAGATGGCGGTTCCGGCCAGCGCAGAACCCACGGCTGAGATCTTCTGCCCGTAACTGCTCTGCTGATCTCCTGCCTCGTTTCCGGCCCGGTTCGCTCTGTTTTCGTCATTGACTTTCATCTTTGCAAATGAATCCAGAATCTCAGAAGACCCAGACCCGGCTTCTTGGCTCCCTGTCCGGTCCCAAAACAAATTCATAAGATCAAATTCAAAAATGATTTTTACGGGTTCCGAGTTGTTAAGAGGCTAATTTGTTAATTACCAATCGCCGCGGGATCAGAAGCTTTGACCTCAGAATGTAGAGGCGCGTGAGGCTGTTTAGGCGGCGCGTGAGGATCCTCCTCCAAGCTCAAAGGGGACAGAGACATGGTCGTGTTGGGGGCGACGGCGGAGTTATCTAGACGATCTACTTCCTTTTCCTTGGTTGCAAAACCAGCGTCGACAGCAGAGCGACTTGTCGTTTCTGTTGGGGGTGGAGGAGGCCAATGATGCATCACTGTCGACCTGCCAAATCCAACATCTGGAGTTGGAGTTGGAGTTGGAGCCACACCACTCCTCATTGCAGCACCTTCATACACTGCCACGTCCACAAAACAAAAAACATCCTTCCGTGGTAAGGCCAAATAACCAATTTAATCATCATATACTTTCTAAATGTTTGATTAAAAAATAAAAAAGAAAAAAGAAAAAGAAAGAGAGAGATTAGACATGGTGCTCCCTGGAGTTGAGGATCTTCCACCACTGCTTCATCTTCATCTTCATCGTCGTCTTCTTCATTATCCTCGTAGTGGTGAGGATGATGGCCGTGCTTAGTGATGGTGTCCTTAATCTTCTTAGCCTTTGCCTTCACTTTCTTCAACACAGATTTCTTCTCATGATCTTCTTCATTATCCCCTTGATCCACACCTAATTACATTCAAAATCAAACCCATTTCCAAAATCTCAGCACAAAATTAAAAAAAAGAAAAAGAAAATTTTTTGACATTCCAATAATAGAAAGACGTACTGTTGGTTTACCTTGGTGGGCGTGGGGGTGGTGATGAGGGGCAATTTGTTGGGACTGCATTAATCCTAAAAAGCCGACGGCGGTAAGTCCTGATGAGATAGAAACAGACGTGTACGTGGAATATAATATATATATATATATTAGAAGACAAAAATTGGTGAAGGGGATTATTCACCAGGTTTGCATATTTATGGTTGTGGCCATTTGAGAAGAGGACACGAATGAGTTGACGATGCTTCTCAGTCATGCAGGACACGTATCATAATCGCTACTACGGACGTGGCAGTTCAGCACGGGAATAATTAAGGTCCGATCCGGCCGATTCTGTTTAATCAAATAGATTCAATCGTCGATTTGCTTTCGAAAAAATATTTTTTTGATTATGCGGTCATCTTATAAATTCGTACTGTGTTTTTTAAATTAATAAAATGTAAAATATAATGTTATCCAATAATAATTCTACAAAATTAATTAATTATATATATATATGTTAATAAATACATTAATATTGTTTTAGATTTAACTATAAGTTCTCATTTACAAATATATATACTACTACCTACCTTGAATAATTTTATAATATTGAGATTCAATTTTTAAATTTGCTACTAAATACATGTTTGAAAATATTGAAAATAACTCACTTTTTATTTAATCCCTTATTGTTTAGATTTTTATTTTCAGATTACCAACGAAATGCATCCTTTATTTTTTACATGATAACTTTTAAAGAAAGCTCATAAAGTAGTTGGGAATTAATTTGGACCATTTGCTTAATTGGAATGATAAGGTATCGAAACGAGTATCAATTAGAATGAAATTAATTGAAATTTAAATGTTATTTCTTTGATGTTGTTTGTTATCAAGTAAAAACGACACGTCACACATTAGAAGGCTAACTAAGTCACCTAGACTAGGTCAGGAAACCAACTCGATACAGTTGCATTAGAAAGAATCCAAGCGTACTGGAAATAGGGTCAAGTACTCCTAAGAATTCGTACTATGGACAACCAGCTGACAGGGGAGTGCGATAGCAGGAGACAGAGGATGTTCTATGAACGTCGAAGGGAATAGAGATCTTCCCCTCATACCCTCTCTATCTCACATATAAAGAAAGAGGTAACCCTAACGAAGGCAAACTGTGAAGATTCATCACACACTCTAAAACAGACTCTCACACTCGAGATTCTTACTCTCTTATTCTTCTGTTACGTACTTATTTGTCTTTACTTGATTTCTAACTCAGCATCAGAGTGTATTTGGTAGAGCACCACACCAGTACAATTTTCTTGTGTGTGCAGACTAACAGAGACGAAGACGTACATATCACCTACGTAGACCTCACTAAAAAATCAACATCAACGTTATTTATTATAAACTTTTTAAATCAAAATTAGAAACCCTAATAATATGGTTTACTAAGATTGTCTATAATTGAAATAAGAATAAGATCATGAAGTTTTAGGAGAGGAATGAAATTGTCAAGTTTGAGGTGGTTATTCACGCCAATTTATTTTATTTATACATTTTAGTAAACACCATAAAAGAATCAAAATTTTCTTTTGAAATATTAATATTTTAGTTAAATATTTTCCTCATAATTTTCTGGTAAAATTTATCTCTCTACCTTATCTTTCTTTCTTTAACTACCTCTCCCTAAAATTTATCCTCCTATAATTGTTCTCTAATTTATTTCTCTCTATCATATGTATAAATTTTATCTTCTTGCGATTCCAAAAAAAAAAAAATAATAAATAAATTATCTTCTTGAATTTTCTCCCACTATATTTTGTCTTAGTTTATCTTTATTTCCTTATCTTTTTTGCTAACTTTATTTTCTCTTTTTTATGGAGAAAGAAAACTTTATTTTTTATCTAAATTTTCTCTTTTTTTCTCTCTAACTTTTTTCAATTTAAAAGTTCTATTTCTATCTTTTCTCTAATTAACATTTTTTAATCTATAACTTTCTTTCCCTTTTTTAATTAATATTTTTCTCTAATATATCTCTGTATAAATATTATTTCCATCTCTCGAGAATTTCTCTCTATCTTCATGAAATATTTTTGCCCTTTTCTCTGCATATTTTTCTCAATCAAACTTCTCTACCTCTCTAACTAATTTTTAAAATATAGAAATAAAAAATCTTATCATCTAAAAATTTCTCTCTCTAGAATTTTCATCCATCTATTACTGTTATTTCTCTCTCAAATTTTAATATTTCTTCCAATTTTATCACTTTATAACTTTTATTTTTCTCTTAAACATATTTATCTCTAACTTTTCTCTCCCGACAAATTTACTTTCTCTCTTTCTAATTTATTTTTCTTTTTTTTTCTACGTTATCTTTTGCTCCCTAACTATACTCTCCATCCCTCTAATTTTCTCACTCTAAAATTGATTTCTCTCTCTAATTTTTTCACCTAACATTTTTTTCTCTCTCTAACTAACATTATCTATCTAACATATCTCTTATTCTTAAATTATCTCCTCTTTTTACTATGCTTCTCTCTAAAATTTATCTCTCTAACTTTTCTTTGTAAAAAAATTCTCTTTATCGAATTAAATTTTCTTTTCTTGCCTCCCCATATTCTCCTCCTTGGCATATCTCTATCTTTATAACTTAAAAGAAAATAGAAATTCAAAATAGTTATCAGATTTTATCTTACAAGAGACGAAAACAAAATATAATGACCAAATATGTATTGTTTTTATTTTTTATAAATAGAAACCTAAAAACAAAAAATAGAAAATAGAAAGCAAAAACAAGAAGTGAAATGGTCATGGGGACTCATTTTCAAATAGGACATTTGGTGAAATAAAAAAACCTCCAAATGGGAGGTATATATATAATAGACCCCATTTTAAGCGCCAAAATTCAGTTCATCCTCCACTGGGACCGTTGTCTCCCTCTCCATCGTCTTGCTCTCACTTTCACTAAGCTGAAAATGCGAACTCGGTTCCTCAACATTGATTACTTCGCCCCCGAAAACTTCTCCTTCCTCCGCCTCCCTCTCCCTCACCTCGCTTCGGAGCCACTTTCCACCGTCGCCGACCTCCTCCAGTTCGATTCTGTCCCTGAAATCTCTCTTGGAATCGATAGCTTAACCATCGATTCTGCTCTCTCCAAGTTCTTCGACGACGTTCTTCCTCGGAGAATCGACTATGATAACGGAAATCTTGATGCCGGTGGTCGCTCTTCGAGGCTCCGTGATTCCAGGGACAGGATTTTCTCTTCAGGAAGTGTTGAAACTCGTTGTCCGGAGGTAATCGAACTTTTTGCTCCAACTATGAAATTTTGCATTTCATTTAGGATCGTTTTTTTATGCGTTCGGATGTAAAATTCATCTCCGTAAGAAACTCTACGAAGTTTATGTGTATTAGCATAGCGTGCTTGATTGAATCGAGGAGCGCTCTTCAGTTGAATTTTACGATTCTCAAAGATATCGAAGATATTATTCCTCCGAGGTTATCCTCATTTTTTATTTCTTTGATTTCGTGATAATTTTTATGTGAGGCCGGAGCGGTGATCGAACTCAAGCGTCACCTCATTGTGAGGCAAAAAATTGTTATCTGAAAGATTGTTAGAAACATGAAATGTTTTCCCATGGGGACTTTTATATATGCTTTTCATGTAAATCTAATTTGAGCTGTTTTGGATGAACTTTTGTGATTTTATATTTCTGTCTTTGAATCTAATTTCTTTTCACAGAAATGTATCTTAAAAGTGAAATATAATCAATAAAATACCAAAAACTGCCACGAAAGATTTCTCATGCTAGGCTACCGCAACCACTTATGCAGAGAAAAAAAACTTGGTGTCTAAGAGAATGACTTACGCCCTCCACCTGTAGTTCTCAAAATTTGATTTCATTTTCAATGCAAAACAGCACGCATGCTGACAAGTAATTTACGATTAACTTTTAATAGTACATTTTAATTCTTTTTTTATTTAACAAAAATAAAAATAATAATAAAAATGAATTAATTTTTATCATACTTAAAATGACATTTTCTTTTCTTCTTATTATATAAATTTTTTAGCAATGTTTTACTTTTGTATGTGTCTCATCTTTGGACAACAGGTAAGATCGTCATCTTACATCTGAAAACACTACTAATTAAGATTGATTAGGGATAGTAATTAACAATTTCTCGAGATAACCTTTAGAATTAGTCTGGGGTTTGGTTTGGAGATATTTAATTTTGAGGTTCTCATATTGATGTACCAAATACTGGCTACTCAGATTATGGACACTCTATTGTGTAGTTTTCTGATCCTCATAGGTGTAGTTTGGAGCTTCTTGTGATTTCTGCTTTGTTTGGATGTATAAACGTTTCACCATTGAAGGAAAATGCAGTGAACGATTTGATAGTCAGGTATAGATTAGATGTGACTAGATAGAGTAATGTCGCAGAACAGCCTAACTAAAAGATAACCTCAATGATTCTTTTTGCAACGTGCCATAGGAGAACTAACTAAAATCAATCTTGTCATATTAATTTTGACTCCATTTCTTTCTTCACCTTTTTGGGCAACTGTTTATATTTGTATGTTTGCTTGAATAAAAGAGGCATGATTACGCTTTTTAACTCTTCTTCTTGAACTTTTACATTGCCTTGTTTATATGAAGCTTCCATAAATTTTAGTTATTTAGACGATGATCAACCACATGCTGAAATATGTGGTTGCTTGATTTTACAAGGGGTTTAGATATTTTTCTTCGAAGGATTCTGGTATGTATACCTCTATCACTTTGTCAGGGCTCCTCTTTCCTTTATCTGGTTCATTTTTATGGATTGCAGGAAGAAGCTAAGATTACTTACGAAGATAATGTGGAGGGGGGCTGGAAGAATTTTGGATCTGAAACTTCAGAGACTGAATTTGTAAATTGAAATTCTGGCTTTCTTGAGCTAAATTACTTTTGTTTCATTGCTATGTTATAATGAGGATTTGAATGTGTATAATATGTTATGACAGATGGATATTGGGGCTGATATAAGGATTAGAAACCTAACATACAGTATGATCCAATTTGAAACACCTCAGCTTGATGCATTCTTGGTACTGTTCCTGTCGAAAGTGAAGATTTTAATGCAGTTCTGGTTTATTATACTTGGCTGATCTTTGGTTATGTTGTATTTAGTAGTCACGATGAATACAATATTTTGCTTGTATCTGCAGGAAAATGCCTTATTGTCTGAAAAAGAGGAGGTACATATCCTCACGGTATTGCCGGAGGTTGAATTTAATCTTGTAAGTGGAACATTCTTGAAAATAGTTGCCTTAATTGACTTGATAAGCTAGACTTAGTTTCCTCTTAGTATTCTTAAACACAACAGCAATATTAAGACTTTCAACATTTTTGAATATTTTAGGATTCTGGTTGACAATGGAACAGGCATTTACGAAATTTTGTTTGGAAGACATTATTTTAGAACAAGGAAGATGATAGCATTATTATAATTAGACACTGGCGCAAAATTTTCTTCAAGTCTCAAGTGAGGATTTTGCTTGGTGGAAGATAATAAGTATTCTCCATTCTCATTGTGGCAGTAGAGGATTGACAACTTAAAGTGTCTTGACTTAGAAATATTGATTAATTCTTTTAGCTATTTCTTATTAGCATTACTGGAGGCGCGTTGAAAATTACCGCCACTCTATTTATAGTTTGCTATTGCCCAATCTGTATAATGGATAAAATATTTGTGGAATATGGAGACAATATACGTTTACAACATTCTGTAATAACATGTTATAGCTGAATAATGAAAATTATAGTTTTTCCTTTCAAAATTTGAATAATATATTATGACCTTTAGTTTACTTTTTATTTCCTGCACTCATTTTTTAATCATCATGAAAATTACTTTCAAAGTTTATGTATGCTTACTGTAATCCTGGTGACGATAGTGTAAACCTTACTGTCAGTTGGTTTTGATTGGCTCTTTATATTCAAGATTTTTGCTACCTCTTTCACATGGACAAATTTTCTCATTTTCTGCATGTCGTTTCTTTTTGTTGAGGAAACTTTTTTGATGTGAAGTCTAAGTGATCTAAATACTTTTCTTATAATATGCTCTTATGCTTAATTTCTATTTCCATTTTTTTTTCCTCCAAATTTTAACGGTTACTGGTGATAATCTGGGTATTTCTTGCAGGAAACTCTTAATCAAGGGCTTCTTAAATACCCTTTTGAGGTCAAAGAATCAGTTTATGATATTGAAGGAATTAACTCAGAATATTTCTTGGAACAAAAATCTTGCTTGTTTGAAATCGGTTTCGCTCAGGACCAGAAGCTATTGCATCAAGTGACTTTTCCATTTTTAGAAGTAGACGAGATGGTCCCTGAAACTTTGGTTGTGTTGACTTTTCAGGATGAACTTTTTTTTATTCTTGAAAATACTGAATCACCTCACAGGATACAAGATGGTAATTTACTTGTCAATAATGAAGAATATTTGTGCTCCATGAAGTATGATGTGGAAGAGTTTCTTTCAGATAATTTTTTGAGTCCATGTGCTTCTTCTGAGTTGGCATCTCCCGGCATTTCCGGAGGATCAGACTTAATGAGCTTGATGGAAACTTTGGAGATTCCAGCAAGCTCTGCAGTTCAAACAAAATCAAGTGGCGATTTGACTGTAGGACCAGCTATTTTTGAAGAATTCCAGCTGCTGGATATATACTCAAATAATTCTTTTGAAGTATTCTTTGATCTGGAATTATCAGCCGTTTCAGAAGTTCATGACTGTATGTCCATTGAAGATGCAAATTTCAAGAGTTTCAATGAATTGATTGTTTGTCATGAACTTGCCCTGGTAGATGACACATTCAAGTCACTACCTGTACCTATTTTATCTAACCAGGGATCTGAAAGATCCGTGTGTGCCTTTATAGAGGATGTATTAGGTAATCTAAATGGACAGTCATTATCTGCATCTGATGGCATATACTTGGATTGGCATCTGTTGGAGGAAAATAGCTGCAGCTCCGGAATTTATTCTTCGTATCAGAACATGTTGGAGGAAATTAATTTGAAACCCATAGAGTTCGATCAGGAACCTTGTGAAAATGATAATATATTTTATAGATATGTTTTCTCAGATGATGCTTTAGTCAGAGAAAGAACAGAAGAGAAGGGTGAATGTAAGGAGTCTTTTTTTTATGGTGATTCAATGTTTCCTAGTCAAACTATTGAAGTTGCTTCGAGCAAATTATTGAATGACAGATGTCAACAAAAAGGAAGGCAAGATCTTGCAGCTGTTGTTGGAAATACTGAGAAAGCTTTGTCATCGTGGAAGTCAATATCAGAGTCCAATGATCTCAGCTTTTTCTTGAATCCTCAAAAACCTGCTGGTGTGGGAAGGGGTGAATCTGTATTTAGTGCAATTGACGCCAATGCTATGCTCCCCAAGGCTTCATGTGATGGAAAATTGACCAACCAGCCTTCTACGTCCACTGATGATGTAAGTTTGACGCAATGGAATGTTGCAGTACATCAAGTTTGTCTGTCTGATAATATTCTACATCTCATCAACAACTGTGAGAAAACCTATCTAGCCATCTTGCAGAATGAGACAGAACTGAGAAAGACATATCTTCCATGTGTAGCTGAAGATTATTTTTTAATGCTTAGCCTTCCAAAACAGAAGTTGATAGACTGCATTAAGAAAATATATTTGCAAGGAGCCAGTACTTACTGGGAAGAAAAAATAATGACTCTAGCCACGTTATATGCCATTAAGCAGATAGCTTGGTATTTATGTTTCTATGGCATCCACCCAGCTCATCTATATCTAAAGAAGTTATGTCACAGCTTGGAGTGTCTGAAATCAAGGTTGGGTTTCTTGCTGTCCTTGATTGAGGATGCAGGTAGAATGGTTGACAGAGAAATAACCCTATCACATCCTGCACTTACTACTACCCAGGATATATTATGCTCATCTATACCTAAAGATGAGCATAAGACTGCTGCTAGTACTCTCAAAGTTCTGGTTGTAGCAAACCAAATTTTCTGGTGGTCATTGAAGAAAATGTTTGGGTCCATGGGATTATCTTTTGAAGAGCTAAAATATGAGAGTCCTACAGATCAGCGAGTATCTAACCCCGACATTATGGTGGATGATCTTGTTTCCAATTGCTTATTGGTATCCCAAGAGTAAGTTCCTGTTGTACTAAGTAAAAATTTTACAAGCTTCTTGTTGTAGGTACATGTTTTATGTGTAACAGGAAAGCATAACATGCAATGAACAATGAGGGAGGTTGGCATGGATAATTAAAAATTCACTCATTCATAATCAGTTGATGACTTTTAATGCAGGTATAAGGATGCAGCAACAGATGAACACCATGTTTTGAGTTTCATGAGATTTTAACTTTATTTTCTACAATATAAAATTTTTTTAGCGTGCAAGATTTTTTTTTTCTCCTCAAGATACTATTTAATTGGTTATTCAATGTTTATCCTACGGATAAAATTAGGGAATATTCATGTTGGAACATCATATATTTGCATCTCTGTAATCCATCACATGCAACATTTAGACCAGAATAAGTTCAAATTTCCTAATTTTAAAATTTGAACTACTTCCGAAGGCACATTTCTGGGAGTTTTCCATTCAACAAATTTAGCATTATCTTGGAATATGGAGGTTCGAATGGTTCTTCTCAGATCTCCACTTATTTGTCAAAATTAATTGACATGCCTCATCCACACTTCGTAACGTTGGAGCTGGATAACTGTGGCAATTGCAAAGCATTTTGTGGAGGCGTTGATATGCCTAATGAACTGACAATTGTAAGTTTGTTCCTTTTTGCATGCAAATTTGCAGATAATACTATCTATTGATATTAAATGAAGCCAAGGGTCATTATGGAATTACATGCTTTAATAAAGTTGGTAAAATTATGTTAACTTATCCATCCATAAATTCACATTGGTTAATGCTAGCTGTATCTGTTCTTAGGACGAGAACTCTTTGGTGGAGAATAAGACTGGGATGTTGGAGAAATTGTTGAACTTTTTACCTTTTGAGGAAATGTATATCTTGGCACCACCAGAGGCAACAATTGAACCAGAAGATTGCGCAGTGCCTCGGGGAGTGCCAGTAGTACCACTTGTAGATAAATCTCAGCATATTGACCTAATGTCCTTTCCTGAAGCAATTGTTATTGTAAACACTCAGAAATTTGAAAAGGACATGATTGTATCCAGAAGAAGTTCCTATCAAAGAATTCTTGCATTGGAGAAAGAAGGTGTGCAGGTTGTGGAACGAGATCTTAGTTTGCCTGTGGATTTAATAATTACTTCTTCAGTTTGCTTAATGTGGTATGACTGCACAAACATTCATAGGAAAGCCAGTACTTCAAATGATGCTTCTTCGTGCTTATGGATAGATAATATTGCAACAGATGTTTTGACATCTGTAAGTTTTACTTTCAGTGGTTGCGTTCTGGTAATTTTTCTACCCTACCAAGATTATGTATGTTTATTCTTATTACCTATCAAGATACTATCTCCCATTTCCCTTACCCAAATCCAAAACACATCCCCTGATACTTGGTTGTTAGCGGAAAATAGGAGTCCTTAGTTTCCTGGAGTTTGCAAACAGGCTTATATACTGCTTTTCATTTTCTTTAAGCATTCAAGAATTGCTCCGTATCTCTGATATTTCAAAAGACTTTCTTTATGAAAAGTGATGAACAAATTTGTGCATTAAAAAAAAAAATGTTGTTAATTGATCACAACGCATGCATGATTCTGCCATTGGCTCTAGAATCTGGAAATCCTTATTAGCTATAGTACAATTCCTGAATTTTCTAGCATGGACATGGAATTTCTCTCATCATAGTGGCAGTAATTAATTGGCTAAAAGACTCCAGTAGACTGAAACTCGATTATTGCTTGTTGTTGGTATATTCTGACCAGTAATGGGTGGATAATTCATATATTAGTTTAGCTTCTCTCTTGATACAAATAGTAGATCTCTTCTTCAGGTCTTTGAGGGAGAAATCAGTTCCCTTTCCACCGTAATGGAATCATCAGATGGACTTTATGCTGCAGCAGCAAGTTTAGAAATTGATTTTCAGCTTTTCTGCTCCTACTCATCCGAGTTGACAGATGAGATAATACTGGGCTGCATTGAGAATGTTTCTAAGTTGATGACTAGGGGTCTGTACCCCAAGATGTCTGAATCAGAAACTCTTGCAGAATCATTTCTTACGAGATTCCCATCAGTTAATCCTTTGACAGCTCATGGGATACTTTCTTCAGAAAGCAATCTTGCCGACTTTCTAGAGTGGTCACATGAATGCAGGCTCCGTGCAATTAAAAAATATTGCATTCCTGATGAAAGTGTCTCGCTATTTAGTGCTCTGTGCAAATATGGTGAGCGGGAGGACTCAAAATCTGCAATGACAGACTGCTCCTCTTCGGTATCTTCTGGTCCTGATTCAGAGAAGTGTCACTTTAATGTTGATTCTAAAAATAAAAGAAGGAACTTCACTGGTGGTGCCCAATGCATTGATAAAAATATGGACTTTTTGAATTCTGATCCACTTAATCCATTCACTGTAGTCACGGTGGAACCTTTAGCTGCATCCAAGCCATTTGATTCTAAAATGTTTGAAGATCCTGAAATCTTTTATGATTTCAAAGGGTTATCTTCATCTGTTAACCATTTCTTTGATCAAAACCATAATCTGGAGTCTTTTGACACAACTGCACCGATGGATCCTATCAGTGTCTATAAGCCACAAGATTCTTGGATATCCACAGCTCCTGAAATATCAGATCAGATTAGGAGTTGTTCATCATATGTTCGAAATCAGGGATTGGACCCAAGTAAAAGGAAAATACAAAACTCGCGTAATGGGAATAAGTCTGAGAATCAGCACGAGGAGCTCATAGGTGAAGTAGTCAACCTGATTGATAAACCTGTATTAAAAGACGACTTTGCGACTATGGCTCCTATGAATTTCTTGCCGTTGATGTTTGATAATGAAAAAGATTCATCAAGGAAGTCTAAAATTCAAAGAAGATTGTCTTATGAACAAAGCGGCAACCCTTTCTGTTCAGTTGATATTGCTAACAACTCAAGTTCAGATATTTGGAGTTCTATCAATTTGCAAAGACAGGTTTCACAGGGATTGAACAATCATTTTCCAGATCCTAGCTTCAAAACCAATATTATGCCTCTCAGGTACAAGGATGGTCACCCAGATGAGGGTTTAATAGAAAATTCTGTAAGAGGTTCAAAAGTATTATTTTCACACTCAGAGAACCCCATATCACATTCTGATGCAACCCCTCTGTCCATTGCTCTCCGTTCAAAACATCTGCAAGAAAGTTCACCTTGGACTATGGAATTTCTCAACCGAATTAGGGAAAAAAGCAGAAACCGTCGGCAGTCCGTTCCAAGTGGCTCATCTTCCCCTTTCCCTGAGCATTTGGGTAATGTGAAAAAAACTATCAAAAGAAGTCCCTCTATTCTTGAATTTTTTAAGTACCAAGGGGGCAGCGCTCTGAGGAAGAAACCAGAATGGAAGAAACCAGAACAAAAGAGGCAGAAACAATCAATACAATCATCAAACTCGTCCAAGAATGAACTCATTCCAACTAGTGAGCTTTCTTCATGGACGCCTATTGATAAAAGATCGAGGCAGGTTTGTATGTGCTCATTTCTGATATCAAATGTTAGAAAATATTCTACATTCTTGTACAATTTTTCACTGAAATCAATTTTAGACTTTATCTTTCGCAATTGATGGGAATGAGAGCCAAACTAAGCTGGTCTGGAGCAATGACAATTATGGTCTAAGAAAAAGTTCACAGAAACTTGGTAATAAATGATGCAACGGAACACTGCATATGCTGGCAAAGTAACAGGTCATTCTTGAAGTCCTTTTTTCCTTAATTTCATATCTTTGAAGTTATAAAATACCAGTAACAATGTTGCTTATTGTGCAGATTTCGAACAGCAGACTATTCTGATAACAGTTGAAATGATTGATGCTGTAACTTACTAACAAAAATGATATCGTTAATATCTCACCGGTAAGTTCCATTGGAGCCACAACTACATCTTCTTTTAGTAGAAAATTAGAAGTGTGTCATTCTCATATGGATGTTTTTCAGTCAACTACTCATGATTAGTAGCACACTTATACTAGCCTGAAAATGAACTTTTTATGTCTATTTCACTTACAGAATATGCAATTTTACATTTGAAGCCTTTTCAAGTGATGCCAATGTATTCGGACAAAGGCCAATAAATTTGCACCCAACTGGATTGCATATGTTTTCACCCATAAATTTTTAACTAGCACACAATGTTAATTTCTAGGAGGTGTTTATACAACTATTGTGAATGTGGTGATTTTGTGGTTTATGTTTTATTATTTCAAAATCTATAACTTGCAAGGAGCCACCCTGCAGCTGTGATGTCGCGACCATGGCGGAGAATCGAAGCACTGGGATCCTTCTCAGACGTGTATAAACATTCTTACGTTGACTGGCTTGGAATTTGATTGATTTCCCAACTCAAAAGCCATTTTACATAATTTATCTGTGAAAGAGAGGTTGTGTTCCAAGTGTTGGAGCTCCTTATTCAAAATTCCAGCTAATTTCTCAGCATCAATATTTGTTGCATTGAACTTTTACATGTGTCAAGATGAGTGGATGACTCTAAAATAACAGTTTTTTTCTCTTCAGAGAGCTCCGAGTCATGATTTCGATTAACATCTTAATAAAAGCCTTATCCATAACCAGTGATTTTCTGAACCCTGCAAATTGCAAGCTAATTGTCTTGCTAATTTTATGAAAAACCATCAGGAATATAAGTACCCTGATGTGAATTTGGGTGCTGTATGATAGGTTAAAAAAATGAGCCTTTCATGCCCCTAATAGAAAGAGAAATAAACAATGAGGAAATAATCTTTTGACAGCACATATCTATACTTTTCAATGAATCGGTTATACCAAGTTTTCTGGTTAAGCATTCGACATTTTCCTGATAGAGCCATGAAGGTCGTGAACCCAATAAAATACTATTTTCTTTTACTATTTTTAAGGTTCCGCACGGTCATTACAAGTTGTTGTCTCTCACCTTCTACCTCTGCAAATTTGAGACTTATTTCTGAATATCTCTCTTCCATTTCTTTAAGCTCTCTCTCCATAGCCTTGTTTCTCTCCTTTAGTGAAGACATTTCGGTAAGGAGGTCAATATAACAGTCCTCATTACTTTTACCAGAGGTTGACGGTTTCAGTTCCTTATTTGATGAGTTCGAGTCCACTTTCCTGCAAATAAAAATTAACCATAATATATATATGTAAAGAGCAAAAATAACACCCAAGTTTATAAGTAAATAGTGAAATGCACATGGTTCTGAATGTTGACTTTTCTGGCAGTATATTCACAATTATACATGGTTGTTTGGCTTTGATAACATTTAATGCATAGAGATGTTTATTATTGCGACAAGAAAGATATAGCTCAAGTTTAATAGATTGAATGCTTATACCTTTCACAAGCAGATTCATGAACATCATTCTGCTTTCCAATCTCTTCTTCATTGCTCATCTTGGAATGCAGTGAATTTCCAGTTAGAGTCCATTCTTTTCTACTACTTGTTGTCGTGATATCAGAATGGTTGATGTCCTATATTTCAAAGATACATGCAGTATTAGTACAGTCTAGAACATGGATGAAATGATATGAAGGAAACAAGAAACAGAGTCTAACAAGGACAACTGCACAAGTCTTGTGCAACTCCAAGGAATAAATCAGTTTCAGCTTAACTGGTTAGCCTATCAAAGTATATCAATATTTAGCACTAAGAGGGAAATTCTGTTCATCTTGTATTACTGATATGGTTAATTTTCCACAAAACTAGATACAGACTGAGTGCTTGACATTAGTTTCAAATATTTAATGCATGAAGATATGGAATTTAACTATCTGGAGTCACCTTGATGAGGTCTTGTGAATGTCTATAATTACTGATACTCCTTCCCAGAAGAAAATATTACATTAGGTTGCCAGGGTAATGATGTAGTTTTATACTTGCAGAAGAGCTTTTACCATTTAGACTAGTTCTGAACATGATCTTGTTCTCATATTGTAGTTTTGAGATTCTTCTCTCTAATGGCACCTTTGAATTTACTACGAAATCAGCTTCTTGTAGTTTCATTACTTGCCATCTCGTACAATGACAGTATGATATTTTCTACCTTTCTACTTCTTCAATTTTCAAATATATATCAAAGCATAAAATTTGGTATTCTCTAGTCTAGCTATATTAATGATGGGAAGGACTTCTAGAACATCAAATCTTCAGAATATTGTGTCTTATCTGAAACTTTAGTTAAAGGGTCAAAAACTAACTGAAGCAATTTTATTACCTCTTCTGAAGTTGTTAGCTCCTGTTTGGTATGAGGAAGCGTTTGAGATGCATTATGAATTGATGCTGAGTTTAGATTCAAATCTGAAATTTCTTGAGTTTTGAACTTGATGTTTGCCATGCTGGAAATTCTCTCTTCCTTATTCTGTAGCTCACTCTTTAATTGGAATACCTGTTTTCGTAAGGTTTCTTTCTCTGAATCTTCTCTGTGGGAATCATTCTTTACCTTATTAATCTGGCCTCTAAGGTTTTCCAATTCTGCTAGCAGATTAGCAATTAATGTATCTTGCTGATCTTTGGAAGCTTTCATCATAGTAAGCTCTTCATGTGCCTTTTCTGCTTCTCTCTTTGAAAAGGCCATCTCTTTTTCCAAAAGATTAGTTTCTTTATTTCTTTCTTCCGATGCTTCCATTTCAGAAATAAAAAATTCAGGTTGTTCTCTCTCTGCCTTCTTTGCAATCTTGTTTTCTGCATTAAGTGTTTCTATATTTGATTTCAGCATTTGGATTTCTTCCTGCTGATAGTCTTCATACCTTTTTGCATCTGCAAGTTGTGTGGACTTATTATCTAGCTCCATTGACATATGATGCATCTCTTTTGTTTTTAAGTCTAGTTGGAAGGAAAGGTCATGCAGTTTTTCTTCATTCTGTTCTTTAATTCGCCTTGACTCTTCATTAGATTTCTGGAGCATTTCTTTCAGTACTATCTTCTGTAGACGCAATTCATTGATTTCTTTGACTGCTTTAATGGTTCTCTTTTCACTATCATCTAACTTGGAAGCCATTTCCATTGAGAACTTTTTACTTCTCTCCTGAAGGCTGACGGTTTTTATAGCACTTTTCCACCTTGTTTTACTTAATACTTCCTTTGCTTCTATAGCAATTTGTTCCAACTGAACATTGGCATGTTTGATGACATTGAATTCATCATGGTATTCACGTGTCTGATTTTCCAATTCTCTCTCCAAGCGCTTGATCTGACCTTCAAGTTCATTGATCGAGAACAAAGATTCTGAAAATTCCTGGGTTTGTATTTGGAGTTTTTCTTCTAGTCTTTCTATTTGCGATTCAAGCTCTTTTATAACAACCAGAGAATCCGAGTATTCTTTCTGTTTTATGAGATATTCTGTCTTGTTTTTCTGTAACTTTGCAGAGATGTCTCTGTTTTCTTGCTTTAGAATCTCGTTGTCCAGCATGAGTTTTTCTAAATGAATCTCTAGCTCTTCTATGTTCTTCATGTGAATTTCTATTTCACCATTCAAATCTTTGATCTCCTGTTTCAACGAGTCTACTTCCTTGATATCGTCATACTCTTGAATCAATTCTTTTGAGGGTTTTCGGTTCTCACCATTATTCTCTTTACAATCGTAAACATCTTTTTGTTCTCGATCACTCTCCCAGGATTCTAAGCTTCTTGAAAGATCAGCTATTACCTTATTTTTTAGCTCAATCATTTCTTCAAGATCTCTCACAGCAAGAACTAAATCAGAGTTGGACTCTTGTGTTTTCTGTAGTTGTAGCTGAAGATCGGTTCGTAGTTCTGTTTCCTGCTTAAGCTCCCCCCCTATTGCTGCCAACTGAACCCTTGCTTCCTTAATCTCAGACTTCAATGTCTTTGAGTCATCTGCCTCATCATTACATTTCTTCGAGAACTTGAGTTGTTTGCACTCTGTTTTAAGTGCATCTCTTTCCTCAGTAAGGCAAATGATCTGTCGTGATAGATTCTGCCCTTGTATAGTCTCCTTTGTGATCTGTTTGCGAAGAGACTGCAACTCCAGGTCTGTTACTTCTAGCTTTCTCATGAGCATAACATTTTCATTTCTTACTTTTTCAATCAAATTATTTGGGGCCTGGTGCATCTTTTCTCTTGAAGTATTTTCTTCGAGGCTATTTCCTGAGTCTCCGAAACTTCCATCTGAAACTGAACCCAGTGACCATTCTGTATTTGATCGCCTATGTGCTTGATTTTTCACTCTACTGGTGTCGACCACTGCCTTCTTAGGCATGGAATTCTGCCTAAGAGGAGGGGACAAGAGGTTAGGACTTTGGATAGCATTCTTCATTGATCCGACTTCCTGTTGAGTGTTTTTTTCATAGTTATTATCATCCCAGTATGATGCAAATTTAGCAGAATTAGAGTCATGGGACACTCTAGAATTGCCATTTTGTTCTGCATCCTCACGTAATGTATTTAGGTTGCCATTCTGCAATGCACCAATTTCCACTATAATTTGGATCAAGCCAGTGAGTCAAACTATCCTTAGTAATCACGAAGTTGTTCATTGATAAATAAAAGGAAATCTTTCATCATTAAAATTAGTATCAAGGAATTAGGAAATTATTCTTCATTCACATTTGTTTCTCAGGTCCTTTCCTAAATTTGAAAGTAACTGGAGAATTGGAATGAGACCTTACTTCTGTGGGATAATGGCTTCCTTCTGTACTAGAAAAGCTAAGCTGGCTGTTAAAGCTCTTCTCGTGTTGAAGTATCCCAGCTCCATTCTCTTCAAAATCTCTGTCAGTTGGAAACCAAGACTTCATAAGGTGAGGCAGACGGTGAACAAGAAAAGAAGGAAAGGTCACTTTGTAAATTAAAATGAAGCTCAAATTCTTGTTATCACCTTTGGTCATTATCCCCCTCCATCTTGTGAATAGTCACCTGTTTCATCAACATCCATGTATATCAGGAACAGTCACATATTTAGTAAATAATGACGTTGCAGGTTTATTAGACTTCAAATTGCTAGGTGGAGCTCAAATGGGTGAGAAATAGAGAGGACCAACATGTAATATGGCACCGGAGTTTGCAAACTTAAGAGGAAGGGAAACTGTCATGGGCTCAGTCTCTGCCTCGAAATCTGCAAAATCAATCGAAGCTTCACCTACAAAGCCAGATTTTGATGATCCCTGCATACACACACATTGAGAATTTTACAAGTTGCTTCACCAGATGGCTAATTACAAAGTGCAGAAAATCTGGAAGAGACTGTGTTGCTATGGCTTACAGTTGAAACAACAAAATGGTAAATTTTCTCATTGATTTTTCCTGTTTTTATCTCCCTAACAAGCTTTACTGTTTCATAGACAGGATTCTCCCAGATACAAGTTCCTTCTTGAATTGCGGCTTTCTCAAGCTTCACTGTTGGCTTTCCCACATCATCTGGCACCAAAGATATCATCAAAGCCGATTTCTTCATCTTTGGCACCTGAATGAAGATCAATAATACCGGGTAAGATCTTGTCCCTTCACATAATATTATAGAGTAAACCACACTCGTACACATTGCATAAAGAAGTTCAAGCTTCAAGCATACGCTTGCATCAGCTTATTATCTCTCTATAGAACGACTGAAAAATTGATAACCAATAACATGAAAATTTTAAAATTTTGTGTAAAAATTTCCTCCAGAAGAAGTCATTTCCATGTTAAGGAGAGAGAAATGTAGTTAGTCACTCAGGTCTGCAAATTCAAATACCTGTGTAGCTTGGAACTGTAATTTGAATACAGCTTTGATCTTCTGCTTCTTGCTCCATGATTTGAACATTCTTCCGGTTCTGTTTCAGATCTCCAAAAAAATAAAAAGACAAAACCTCTAGTCTTGATCAAAAAACCCACCAGACTGCTATCGAACATACAATGCTTTTTCACAACTTGACGTCGTTCTTCTCAGGACTTGTTCTGGTTTGAGCCGGAATTAATTCTCTCCTCCCTGGTCGCCACCATGTAGGAAAATCCAGAAAGCAACAATAAAAGCTGTACACCTATAAAAATTAAATTTTGTGGCCAAAGTTACATTCCGCTTTGATGGAGGTCGAAAAGATGGGCCGAAACAAGTTAAGGAAATGCTCTATGTGGAAGGCAAAGGACAACTCAGAAGTTTCTCTCCCATGGCAATCAGACAAGCAGCAGTGCTGTATTGGAAAGAACAGCGCTGAAGTGCTGCATTATGATTTACTTTTGGATGCAAAGAAAAATAGAAAAAAGAAAAAAAGGTATCGGTGCTGTGCTGCAGTGCTTTCTTTTTAAAATGACAAATGTGACCCTCTACTTTAATGATACCTCTCCATCAACCAAAAGAAAACTTTATTTAAACGTTGGGAACGATAGGGGTCATGAGCTTTTAGTCTTCCACGTTATTGCAAGGTTGGTAAATTTTATTTTATCACATTGAGGAATTGATTTATATGCAGCTTAACACTTATTTCTTCATCATTTTGCTTAATAAAGTTGCAGTTTTGGTGCCTTGTTGACTTCAGCTTGTCGCATATCAATTTTTTTAATTTCAATGGCGGTTTAGAGTTCGCTTTTCCAGGGCACAGTGGTCCTCCATTGCTGAAGCGTAATAATAACCATATTCCAAGGTACGGTTTCAAATTGAATAGTATTGATTGCAGACTCTTCTCTATTGTTTCGAATAATGAATGGAATTCAAACCTATCATTTATAAGAATTCAGGAGTGGAGTTGTCTTTGATAAAATTTTCAAATTTGAATTCTTAGTTTCATCTATTTTGAAAATTTTGGCTTTGAATAACCTTGGTTAATTAGCCATATTTGGTAATCAAATTTGTCCTAATAATTAATTACCTTTCTGTCTTTTTTCTTTTAAATTAGATGGAGTCAGTGTGAGATACAAGTATCTTTTCCTTTTTCCTTTTGGTTCTTTAGGTTAAGATTCATCCTTTTTTTTTTTTCTTTTAATCTGGAGTCCGTAATGTAGTTGTCCCCTTTTTCTTTAAGTAATTTGATGCTATTCTCCACGATTTTTAGCGTTAATTCTAAAATTATTTGTACATGTTATTTTCATAAACTTTTTCGTAGTTCCATAAGTGTAGGGTGGGAATCAAATGATCAATCTTTGGATAGTAATAGTGCTCATCCATTGAGCTACGTTTATATTAGTTTCAGTTTAATCATATTTTTATTTTTTCTATTTCTTTGAATTCTTTAGTAGATAGTTTGATATAAATATAATGTATAGTAGTTTTTAATATTAGTTTTTAGAAAAGTTAAAATATAGATCTAGTTCCTCAAGTTTACCATCTTATAATTTGCTTCCTAAAATTAACCATGTTCTATTTCATTTCTTCTAAATTGTAATAGATTTCCAAGTCTGTCATCATCATTGAAATTTACGTTAGAATTGAACTGAAAAAAAGGGTATAATCACTTTTATTGTTAATTAATGATTCATAAATAGAGATGACAATATGAACATTGAGAAGATAAAGTTGGGGTTGGCTTAATAGTCAAAAAGAACGTGAAATTTTGGTAGGTTAAAGAAAATCTTCTCAGAAAATTTTGAGTATCCGAGTCAATCAGAGATCCATTCTTATGGGATCGAGACACTTTTTCGGATAATATTACAAATTTTATTTTATTTTTTTGGCATTTTAAATTTGTCAAGACCAAAGAAAACCAGTATGAGAACCTCATTAATTACGAGGTCGAATTATTGGTTTGTTATGGAAACTATATCTGTAAATGAGACGAAACACGTGGGGTCATGTGCCCTCTCCACTACAAATATATTGATTAATGGATGTTGTTGGACATTGAATACAGATTCCAGCTGGTTCTCTCGTGGAAATTCCGTTCTTCATTTTGCCATAAAAGACCCCACTCCAAGCAATCACCAACGTAAGTCCTCACACCTTCTTTCTGCTTCCATCTTCCATCCCTTTCTAAAATTAATTATTGAAAAAAAAAATGAATCACCTTTAAATTACTGATACAGTTGCAAAAACATTTTTGAATTGTCTCAGCTAATTTTCTGAATTTAGCTCGACACTGATTAAAAAATCAAGAATTTTAATCCTCTCTACTCGTTGTACTAAAAAGAAATTTTTGAATTATCCTCTAAAATTACAAAATCATCGTTATTAAATCCGCTACTACTAGTTGGGTTTAATTGAAACGATTTCCTAAGTTAAAGGTATAACTACAATAATTAAGTTTAACAGCTTGTTATAATTTTACTTGTAGTTTGGTGTGTTCACTTTTCAAATTACTGTTAATGAAGTTTTAATAGTTAGGTTTACTTGCAATGATTTTATAATCTTGAGTAATTGTTCAATTTATAACTGGACAACTCAGTCTCATATACTTTAGATAGTTTTTGCATTTTTTTCTTCATTATATCCCATCTCTCTTTCCTTCATTTTTGCTTTCGTCAGACCTGTGGGATAAAGGATAATAAAGGTACCCAGGAATCAGGATTTGGTAGGTTGTAAAGTGAATGCCCAAAAGCTAATATGCATTATTAGTGGCCGAAAAGTGTGTCTTGAAATCTGTCAATCTAGATGTTTGAGATGAGAGCTAAATTAATGGTACAAAATTTATAGTTTGACACATTATTAAATAGTATATTATTTTATTTTATAGGTTCTACTTCATTCTTAAATGGTGTTGATTTGATTAGTACTGAATGGTGGTATGAAAATTTTTCATATGGTACTTGAAAATTTTTTAAATTAGGCAAAGAAGATTTATTTATTTTATTTAGTTTCAAACAAATATTCGAACTTCAAAATTTAAAGAGAAGTTTGTGGTGCTTTGATCGTTCAATTTTGTTTGGAATGAAGATTTCAACATTTGGTTTTTTCTAAGATACATACCTTAACCAATTAAGCTATACTCAAATTGGCAATTATGTTGTTAAGGTTGGCAGGAATAGATAAAAAGGCTATAGATTGAAGTTTAGTTTTCTAAATCATGATGCCATAGTTTCAAGCTTTCATTTGTCTTTTAATACGCAAGGGTTGTTTTCATATAAATCCTTGACTTAGACCCTTCGTTTTAGTATCATTTCTACCATCCCACCTAAGCGGAAAGGAAACTTTCAGGTTTCTTTTTCCCTTTTTCCTGTGGGGATGAAATGGGAAATTGCTCTTTTGAATGCAAATGGAAAAGGGTACAGTGATTGGTATTTCCATTCTAATTCTGAGGAATCCCTATCATCATCATTATTATTTCTTAATTTTCCGAGATTGATCCTGCTTGGCATTCGCTATAGATCCCTATAATTAAAGTTTATTTGCTTAGGTGATATTACAGTGCCCAAGGCTCTTGTCACTATCCTATTAATCAGGGGATGAGCMTCCTATGATTATAGTAGATGAACCGTATTTATTTATTTATTATTGTTTTTTTATTTTGGCATCCTATTTCTGAGTATGAGTTTTGTTTTTCCTGGTATGATTTTGAAACTGGTGTTGGGTATATTTTTATGGCTGAGTATCGGTATTTATATGGTGAGATTATAATGTTTTGTTTGGTGAATTTTGTATGATTGGTTAGTTGAAGGACAATTTTTTTTTTTAACTTAATTTTGAGGATGAGATATTAGTTCTACAATTTATATAACTCGGGGTTCAAAATTTGATGATTTTTTATTATTATTTTAGTACAATTTTTTTTTTCAATGATTGGTTTATGTTTAAATATAATTTATGCATATAGAAAATTCCATCAGAAAAAGTTGGGGCTAAAACGTGGTTCGACTTCATTTTTTTATTTTTTATTTTTATCTATTTCAATTTTTTATTTTTTATTTTTATCTATTTCAATTTTAGTTCTTGAACATTTTGAAATTTGATTATCGTCCTTCAATTTTTACCCACTTTCTAATTCAATTTTTTAACATTTAAAATCTCAATTGTAATTCTTCCATTTCGCTATTTTATATGACATTTAGGTAATGAAGGGGGGTTACATACAAATTGGATTGCATTAATTTTTAATGTAGAGACTAAATGTGGTTTTATAAAATTTGGAGGATTAAAATTGAAAAGTTAAAAGGATTAAAACTGAAATTTTATAAAATTTGAGGTACCAAAATTAAAATTTAAAAGTTCAGGAATTCACTCAATTGTTACCTCTAATAATATAGAATAGCTTATAGTCATACTATTATTAAAAGTACTTAGCTACATTTTTTTCCTTCTATAATTATTTTGGTTGAATCCATAGGTGCACTGAAATATGTAACTTTAACACGTTATCTAATTCATTCTAAAAATATTATTAAAAATTGAAAGAAAAAATATATAGTCCAAGTAAAGTAGGTAGACGAACAGAATCTCAAAGTGCTTTGTTTAAAATCCATTTATTTTAGTCTCTATAACTTATAAACGTTTATTTTCGTCCATGGACTTCAACTTTGGTCTTTACATTCTCATTTTTATGCTATTTCTTTCCATCATAATTTTAATACGATATTTCACTCACTAAATTTATTGAAATGTAGCAATAAATTGTATTAAAAGATTTTCATTGTGTATAAAATTTGGTTTAAAATTTTACAAATATAGATTAAATTGGTCACTTTTTAAATACAGTGACCAAAACTGACATTTCGAAAGTACATAGAACTATAAAACTGACATTTCGAAAGTAAATAAAACTAAAATAAGTATAGGGATCAAATAAACATTTGAAAAATATAAAGATCAAAGCAAAAATAGAGGGATAAAAGTAGCATTTAAATTTTTTTCAATTTTTTTCCACACAAATCATTTCCTAATATATAGGGGAGGAAATGTGGAACCTTTAAAGATTGGCACGTGACTTGAGCGAAAGATTGAAACAAGCTGTGGACCAGTGGTAGGCTATGCCTATGCAGTCCGATTCTTGATGTATGTTCTCCCTTTCTAATACTCTAAGATACCCATTGATGTTTGGCTTTGTACAAATTTGCTTCAATCTTTGCAGAAAAGATAGAGGAGCTCTATACGAACTACGGGGAGTGGGGGTTTGGTTCGAAGACACTTTAGGGCCTATTTGGTAATGTTCTTGTATGACTCTAAATAATGATAAATAATATTTTTATTTATGTGTTTTGGAACAAACCAGTAATAAGAATCAAAATAAGAAATATAAATAGTGGTCAAATGCTTAGGTTTCTTAATAAAATTGGAAACGAAAAATAAGCTTTGGAAGGTTATTTAATGAGCCCTTATTTACCTATGTTGTTTCTTTTTTACTCTCTTATTCATTTTTGCTAACATTTGGGTCCCTCGTCATAAATTTGTTCTATTTTAATCCTACTTTTAAAAAATTTAGCTATGTTTATTTTGGTCATGACTGAACTTTTGAAAAATAACTATTTTGGTATTTCCTATATTATTTTGCCACCATGATATTTACTTGCCCAATGTCCACCTCAAACCTACGTGGTTAAGCATGAATTTAAGGCATTTCCATTTTACTTTCTTCTTCAAAATACAGTAAAACTAGAGTTTCATTTTTTGATGGCCATTCTTTAATTTTTCCAGCAAATCAAAGACTTCAACGTTTCCTTACTTTTCTACCTTCAAGTCATGCTTTAAAGGAAATGACTTTAGAAATGGGAAATTAGAGAACCCAAGTGAGGCATTCAAGCATAACTATTCTTCCTGTAAGTTTGTTCTTGTGGTTGAATGAAGTGGCACAATCTGATGTCATTTTGTTTTTTTTTTTTTTACCACGCTCTTCTTCATTTTACTTCTCTCTTCTCTCTTCTCTATTTATTTTATCTTTTATTATTGATTAATTATAAATAATATAAATACTTTTAAAATATTTTGTTTAATTTAATGAAAACACAATTTTAATTCATCATAAAATATTTTGATCATTTTTTTCCTGTACAAGTTTAGGGTAGTACATCTTATAAGAACTTCAAAATTAAATGTGTTTGACTTGGACCACTTCTATACATATCCAGTAACCTCTTAGAAAATTTTTGTAGGAAATATGTGAGCAAGGACAAAACACATTCCATAATGACGACCCATGTTGGTCATAATGTCATCACTCTTACAAGTAACTCATGTTATGTATGTGGCGTGTCTCGGTGTCGCAGATGATGAAAGGGCGAATGTCGTGGCCGCTAGATGTCGAATCTAAGATTCTAAATCGTGGTCTGAATCTTCTGCTGAGGCATTATAACCTTTCTTTCATTGGCTCACTCATAGAAACTACAAAGTTAAGCGTGTTTGACTTAGAAAAGTCTTATGTTAGTTGACCCGCTCCTAGAAATTTTTTGTAGTGAGCATGTCATGAATAAGCTGCAAAGCATGTTTAAAGGCTCACGTATGGGGATAGTCTTCACTCTTGCAAGCTACTCAAGTCAAGTAGGTGGCACGTCCAAGCCACACAAAGAGTGCAGGAGAATGTCGAGGCCATTACATGACAAATTCATATTTCAAATCCTAACCGCATCTTAAGCGTGGGGCGTCATAAATGGTATTAGAGTAGGACATCTTCCAGTACGATGTGGTTTGTGGACGAACCACAGCAAAAGCTAGTGGGTGCACACACGATGCTCGAGTAGAGGAGTACATGAATGAAATGACACCATGTTTGATTGAGAGGGAGCAATCAAATATTGGGTGATTTTCTAAACAATTTTTATAGGAAGCATGTGAGTGAAGACAAGACACGGAGTCAAAGACTCAAGTAGGTGGCACTAGAATTCGTAGGCGATGTAGGAAAATGTTAGGGCATTAGGTGTCAAATATAAGTTCTAAATTCTAATCCAAATCTTGAGCATGGGGCATTAAAACGTAACCCTGGATTTAATGTCACTTTGACAACAAGATACATCAAATGGGTCTGACCGAGTCTGCTTATCCTTGCACAAAATCATGCAAACGTCTCTAAGGATCATAATCTCATGAGTTGATTGAACTTAGATTGGTAAAGCTTTTTTTTTTTTTTTTTTTAACCTCCATCCTTTAGCAGAGGTTTTAATACCTTAATGAGTTGATTATACTTAAATTATAAAGCATTTTTTGTTTTGGGACTTTCCTATTTCCTATATCTTTTAGGAATAAGTCTCTCACTCCTAACGTATAAGATTTTTCTAAATCTTAGAATCTTAGACTTTTAAAAAATAGTACTTTCCTAAACCTTTTAATTAGGAATGAGACTTTTCCTAATTTTGCCAAAAAAAAGAAAAAAAATGACATTTCCTAATGTGAGACAAATTCACGTAATTAAAGAATTAAAATATTTTGAATCAATAATCATTGAGTTAGCCAATCCAACAAAATAAATGTAGAATTCATGGTCCCTTTTTCCAATCACTTGGCCCATCTATATCAAATTGACTTTCAAATGCAATTGGCCCTATCATATTGATAACGAGTCCAAGTTATACACAACACAACTAAATTATTTTAATTGCTTATTTGATAATCAATAAAATTTTAATTAATTAAGCTTATTCAGTCTCTCTGTTTTCCATTTATTTTCTTTGCCTAAGTTAATTGTGGAGGTGCTTCATGTGATAATATTTGGATTTAATGTATCTCTTGTATGGTTCTCTGATACTTTTCTCAAAATGTAAATTTTGATTGAAAGACTAATGAATTTGTTTTTAATCAATAAGGTTGACGCCTTAGACTTATAGTTTGGTTGAAGAATTTTTTAAGTCTTAAACTTTGAGTTTGTTAAAGATCTTTAGCTTTTAAATGAAGTTCTCCAGCTTGTTGAAGTTTTTCGAGTATGTAGTTTGATGAAGTTGTTCGACTCATAACTTATGAAGAGTTCTTTAGCTCGTTGTTTCAAAAAGAGAAGATTTTCAATTTTTTGAAATCTTGTAGTCTTTGAATCTTCAATTCATGATCAAGTCTTGGTAGACTCTAATCGGTTCTAGATGGTCTACTTGGCTCGAATGCTTGCAGATGATCGTGAATGTTTTGTGGCATGGAATCTAAACCTTTCTAAATGTCCTATGTGAGGAATGACCTCTTCTATTCTTAGTGGATCTTATATGAACCTTCTTCTCATGAGTTTAATGAGATTTAGCTTAATCTTCACATGTGACAAATCGTAACAACTACAATACTTTAGATGTGGTTTTTGCAATTTACCCTTTTAATATACAAAATTTCCTTCAGCCCTATAAATCTTCCGTTGCTTAACCAGGAAAGGAGGGAGAGGACACAATAGAAAGAGGAGGAAGTGAAGAGAAAATGTAGAGAAAGGAGAAATGTATGATATAAATAAAATAAAATAAAATAGATCTATTTTTTTTTATTTTTTAGTTTAGGGGTTTTATTTTTATAATGATAAAATTTAGAAGTTTAATTTTCTCACTCATAGGAAGTTTGAGGGTTAATTTTTTCTCTTTGAATGTTTAGGAATCCAATATATATTTTTCAGTTGAAAAAGTTTTAAGAGTATAATTTCTATAATTAAAAGTTTAGAATTACAATTGTAACAAGTATAATACTTTAGATGTAGTTTATGTAATTTATCCAATGATATATTACTTAATAATGCATTAAATTGTGGATGAAAGGATTAAATTAAATTTCTACGATAGTACTAGAAATCACACCTTCTTTCTCCGTCAAAGGCAATGTATTAATAGAAAATTAGAAAGCTAGATTTCGATCGTGTTGAAGATCAAACTTAAGTTGACTTCAAAATGGTAGATCATGTGAGGTCATTGAACAAATTATTTTTAATTTTGTTGAATCTTGAATTCACGAGTGTGAACAAGTTATCTAAACTGACAAGTTTCCCTCTTTCCAAAAAAAAAAAGAGAGAGAAACAACTGCAGTCTGTTGTGTTCCTCAACCATTTGCTCTATCACGAGGATCAAATCTTACTTTTAAGATTATTAAAAAATTGGTAATTCATTATTTTTCTCAATATAAGTATCTGTTTTTTTAATTTATCTAATTATCAAATATTCAATAACGATAATGATAAAATTTGATCTAAAATAATGAGAGAATATGGAAGGGGAGGAGCGGAGAGGAAAACGACACGACACCCATAATCCCAATGTTTAAAATTAATAAGGGCAGCGAATAAAAATGGTGCACGTGGCGAAATTATATCCATCGATCTAGAAAAGGGTGTTTAAAAGAGAGGGGGGATCGGAGAGGGGGCGGGAGAGAGAAGGATGGCGTTGGCGGTGAAGGCGTTTCCGTTGACTGTGGCGGCTCACGTGGTGGGCACGGTGGCGCTGATTCTGGTCCTCTTCTGGGCCATCCATTTCAGAGGCGGCCTCGCCTGGGATGCCATCAACAAGAACCTCATCTTCAACGTAAGCCTCTCTCCCTCCTCTCTCTCTCTCTCTCTCTCTCTAGTTCTTTGATTTCCAATTTGGTTTCTCAAAACACACCAATTTGTTTGTTCGACGTATATTTTTTAGTACAACAAATTAGAGATACAAGAGTTTGAAGTTCCGACATCGAGAAACGGAGTATCGACTAATTACAGCAGCTCCTGTGTCCGATGTTTAATCTCTCCCCTTCCAATTTTTCTAGGGCTTTTCTTTGTTCCCCTAATTTCCATCCCATCTCACCAATGCTAATTTCTTTTTCCCATCATTATTCTTTTTTTAGTCTTAGTCATTTTCTAGTTTTTTACTTTGATTTTTTAAATTTATTTATGTATTTTAATACTTCTGCTTTCTACTTCATATACATCTTGTTATACCAATCGAATCGTATGAGTACCAAAAAAAAGAAAGAGGAAAAAATAGAGATGGCTGAATTTTGGAGGAGAGAACTTTGAATTTTCTTCTCTATTTTTTTAATTTATTTTCTAGGAGTTTATAAGTAATCAATTTTAATATTGATCATGTTAAAAGTAAGAGAATAGATTGAATTTTTTTAATAATCGATATCAAATTAAAAAAAAATTCTAAATTGTTAATTTATATTATTTTTACTCGAGGGGAACAAAATGTTTAATGGGTGGAAGGTATTTGAATATTTGGCGTTTTGAATTTAGATGGAGGAAAAATAATGAAAATAATTATTTATATATAAAAAAAATAGCTGGTGGTGGAGACTTGGGTTGTTGTGTCTAAATAAAAAACTGCAATGGGATATATATATAATTATATATCCATTCCTCTTTTTTTATTATATTTCCCACCTGCCGCCCCTTTTTACTCTTATTTTCTCTTTTTCCCATAAAATTATCAATTTTGTAAAAATGTTGAAGGATATATTTTGATAAAGTAAAAAATATATAACAAATAAACATTTAACTCTTCTCAAATAAATTTAAAATTATTAATATTAATATTATGACTATATTAGATATTTTGTTAATAATTTTATGCTTTTATCAATATTTTTGTGATTTTATAAAAATATTTAGTCACATTTTATGTTAACCTCGACTTATGGACATGAAAAATGTCGATGAAAATGTCACTGTGTGGAGAGGAATTTAATAAGATGGATAATCATTTTGTTTTTAGTTTTTTTTTTCTCAACCAATTATGTTTGCATCGTTGTGTGATTTCTKTAGCATGTTTCTTACCGTTGGCATATTAACTAAATTTAAAAACAAAACAAATTTTTRAAAATTATGCTTTGACTTTGTAATTTAGTCCTTTTTTGTTTTAAAGAAAAATTGAAGTAGCTGAATCACTGGCCATATCAATAACTTCAAATTTTTTTGAAGCATAGTCTACCAGATTTAAATTAGAAGATCCATCCATTATCATATAAATAACTCATTTCAGAACTCACTCAATCTACAAATAGATATATTTTCCTAATATTATTTGTTATTTAATTTAAAGTTACTGCACACATGAACATAGTTGAAGTAGTAAAAATATTGTTTCTTTTTAGTTCAATAGTTGTATGGTAGGAATTGGACCATCTCGTAATATGTATGTTATCTGGTGAGTCATATTCGAATTGGTTTCAAATCATTACTTACCTTTCTAACACCTACTCGTTGAACTCACGAAAAAAAAGTATATATATATATATACACACACAAGAATAAATAAAATAAATATGTATATATTATATAATTTTTAGGTGATGAATATTATATTATCTATTTTGGAGGCATCCAATGACATGAACATGTGCTTCTGATTCCTAAAAAGAGGAAGAAAAAAAATGTGCTCGGGGGATACATATGCAAAATAAAAATTTATTTGTTGGGTTAAGAGAATATTTTTTTAAAGAAAATTTTGACGGTTAAAATTTTAGTGTTTTTTTTTCTTTTTTAAAAATGAAAAGAAATACCCCAATTAATTGTCTCCTTATTTTTCTAGTTTTATGGAACAAAGAGATAGGAATGTTGTTAATATATATATATATATATATAATTTTAGACCCTTACCTTTTAATTTATAAATTATAATGAACATATAGCTTCTACCAAAATGCTGGATGTTGAAATTTCCACGTTGAGCTCAAAGAAAAAAAAATATTAAACTTAAATGAAAGTCCATTTTGTCCACATCCATCATAAAGATTCTCCTTTTACGCTTATCCATCGTATTAATTTAAGTTATGTTAAATTACAACTTTGTCCTTAAATTAGTTAAAAAACTTCAACTTGGCATTCAACTTAGGAAAACTTCAGACACATCCTTCCAATTTCTAAACTTGTCCAAAATCATCCTCTTAGTTAGAATCGTAAAATATTGTGTAAAGTATGAAGTTTCAAAATTATTATTATTTAGTTAAATGAACTTCTAATTTATTTATTTATTGTCAATAGATCCATCCTGTTCTTATGCTGCTCGGATTGATCATCATAGGAGGTGAAGGTAATTAAACTGAAAAAGTAAACTCAGTTTTAATTTTGCATTATGGCGATAATTATTTGATTAAAAGTTAAATGTTGCTAAAAAAAATTGCAGCAATAATTAGTTATAAAGCTCTGCCATTGAAGAAAGAAGTGAAGAAATTGATCCATTTGGTGCTACACGGCGTAGCATTGGTACTGGGTATTGTGGGCATCAGCGCTGCGTTCAAGAACCATAATGAGAGTGGGATCCCCAATCTTTACAGCTTGCATTCTTGGATTGGTATTGCCGTTATTGTCCTCTATGGTCTTCAGGTATTTACATAACTGCCACTCTTTCTTCATATTATTTCCCAATCCCAATTTACCTAAAAATAAGAAGGAGGATGAACATCGGTCGGTTGGATCGGTTTTTGCGCTAAAATCGACATCGATCGATATATCATGAAAACCATCTGTGCATTTGATCTAAAACCGATTGACCAAATGGTTGGTCGGTGTTCAACAAACCGACAAATCTGAGGAGTGGTAGTGGGTGGGGTTGGGGCGAGAGGAGGAGGTCTTCCTCTCCCCCTCCCTCCTCTCGCCGGTGCTAACGGCATGGAATGCATGATAGACGAAGAAAGTGCGGCAACGGCGACGGTGTCGGTTTTGGCCAGAAATAGGAAAGAAAGAGGAGGGAGAGGGAGAGAGAACCATAAACAATCAACTAACGGTCAAAAGACCATTAAGGTCCACATAGACACCTACTTCAAATATCAGAGATAAAAAATGTAAGGTCGATTATGGTTTTTTTTTGCTGACCGACATTTTGAGAAAATCAACGGCCGACCGACCAACGTCGACTTGATCGATTAGGATTAGTCAGGTCATTTTAGCTACACTGATGGACGCTCCAAAGGCTTATACATAATTATTTATATGTTTTACACCCTAAATTTAGGAGAAAATAGATGTGTTTTTAGGATGAGTAAAAACTCTTTAGTAACCCTTCATTCTTGAAATCGAGTAATATTATAGAGACCAAATAAAAATTATCATTAACAATGTCAATGGGGTCGAATGTGCAGTGGCTGTACGGGCTGGTGACGTTCTACTATCCCGGAGGGTCCGAAAATGTTCGAAGGGCGTCACTTCCGTGGCACGTGATCTTCGGTATCACTGTGTACATATTGGCCGCCGGCAACTCGGCGCTCGGCTTTCTGGAGAAACTGACGTTTCTCGAGAGCTCCGGCGGCGTAGACAAGTACGGCGCCGAGGCGTTCCTCGTGAACTTCACGGCCATCACCACCATTCTTTTTGCAGTGTTGGTGCTTTTATCAGTTGCTTCTCAGCCGTCCGATGAAGCTGCTGCAGATGGCCATGGCGACTATTCTTCCATATGAATGGATGAATCTCATCACCTGCTCTCCCTCGTTCCTCTCTTCTTTGCCTCCTGTGTGCATCGTGATTCTGTTAAGTTTGGATTAATTTTTTTTTTTCTTACCAGATCAGACTGAATCATCTCTGTTTGTTTGTTCATGAGAAATTCACGTTTGATGAATGTAGTTGTATAAATAAATTTAATATTAGCTGATGAGATTCTCTGTTACCTTTGAAAAAATATAGGGATTCTCTCTGTAATAATTTTCACTAATTTAAAATTTAGGTTTAAATACTATTTTATTTTATTGGTTTAATTTTCTGCTTTGATTTAAATGATTTATTTGGGTCATTGTCCTGCCTATTTTATTCTTTCAACCTTCGAAAATGTGCATATTGGTTATTGTATTTTTAATAAATAATTATTTTTGTCTATTTATTTTCATTTTATCTCATTGTTTAATCGTAATTTTACTAAACAGAAGTTTCGACTGTATAAGAATTAAAATGAACAAAAGTTGAAAGAGAAATTGAGGTTTCTGACTTCATTTTATAATCAATTGGGATTTTTGACCCCGACTTCTCCAAGAAAATCATTTTTATGATCCCTTTCATTCTAATTTTTCACACTCAAGTAATATCGGTTGCTAAACCAACATCGTATATAAATGATGTCTAATGCCAATTTTGTTGTAATGTGATGTTAGATCCAAAATAATGGTATTAGCCAAGGTGGTTTACCTGCATAAGGAAACACACACAAGTAGGGTGTTATGTCAAACAAACACACTCTAATGTTCAAATCAGTATTTAGACCGAGATAGTGTTAGGCTGAGCGATGGTAATTTAGCATACTTGATTGAAGCGTGAGTTCCACTATTTATAAGAAACTCGACGATCTTGCCATCGGGTCTTTCAATACCTAGGTTCATGTCCCCTATCATACATTAAAAGATACAATGACAAGGTATCCATACTCTTGTGGCCGAGTTATGTTCCACCTCACATGGTCTGAGTTGAGCTCTACCTCCTTGGCTACGGTGAGCTCTAACTTTTTCATCGACCCAGGTGGGGCTCCAACCTTTTGGCCTTTTAATGGCTTGAGGTGGACCGCACGTCATTGCCATGCGGCCTATTCTCCAACAACCACTTGGTGGGTGTTTATCCACGTAAAACAGTAACTTCCTCCCAAAAATAGATTACTAACCTGTAGGAGTGGGAGGTCGAATTCTTCTTGCTTTGACTATTATTATTTATTATTGATAATTAATAATTAATTTAATATTTATAATAAAGTATAATTGGTAAATTAATAAATTAAGAAATGGAGAAGAAAGTGTCCAAAAATGTTTTTGTATATCCTTACTTTTTAAATTATTTATTACAGATGGATTATCCACGAGGATTATACAAACAAACCGTACCCTAAACTTAAATAACCATTAAAACCTTTCTCAAAACTAAATTAAAATATTGATTATAAACAAACCAAAATTTGCTCAAGAAATATATATAGTTTTTCTTTTTCCTATTCAAAACTTCTTTATCTTCTAATTTAATTTCACTCACAAAATTAAAGCTGCTAGGTTCATATGAATTCAATTCAATCTTGTTATTTATTTCCACTAATATCTTCCAAAATCGATGCATTATTATTATCAGTTATTTAACGTTTCAAAAGTTAATAAAACTTTTCTGTCAAAGAAAAAAAAAGTTAATAAATTATTTTTCATTCTGTTCATGGCTGTGTTCATATCTGCTTTTTGTTCAATTCACACAGAGACATTTGAAACATTATGTTTATGTATCTATGTATGTCTTGCTTTCTAAATAGTAAAATAGTAATTTTTCAACCAACATCAGTAACAACTTTCAATTTCCATTTATTTTTAAATATAAGGAGATGAATAATATTTTCCCTTGAGAACAAATTTCTACAAGCCGGGCTGCCACTTAGCTTGAAGCTCAAACTTATTCTCAGGAACATTTTTCAAATAAATTCCATCATCTCGAGCGTACCAAATGCAACCATTGTCCTTGCATCTACGAGAAAGAAACATGTGCGACTCTGGCCAAAATACCTCTAGAGCAACGTGGCTATGTTGGTTGTGCATGTAGCACCAATACAATGTGGTCTGCCACAAATTCACTCTAAATCTCCATGAAAATTGCTCCCCGATCCGGAGATTTTGCTGTCCCAAATCGTCGTCTTTCGACTTACAATGAAGAGATAGAGTTTGATGACTTTGCATGTCGTTAAATACCTGCACGCTCCAATGCTCGAGTGGAGATGCAAAGCATGATTCAACCATTATAAATGTCGAAACCAGAAGTAGAGTCATGCCATATTTGAGACTTCTTGCCATATTTTCTTACAATTTTTGGAACAAATTTCTTTACAAGTTTTGTTGCCAAATTGAAGAAAGCTACACAGAATTCATTGTAAATGTCAAGCTAGCTAGTTGGGAGTTGTATTTATATGGTAAAGATGAGAAACCTCTTATATTTATTACTCCCACGGATAACTCCAACATATCTAACAAAATATGTAGTTATAATCTCACAATAAATTTCTTCTGTCAACGTAAAAAGTAGGGTGAAAGTTACACAAAAAATTTGTGTAACGCTATTTTCTTTGGCAATATACATCAAAAGTGAAAAACCGATTTTTTCTTTACTACTTTTTATTTGACTCAGGGCGTATTTGAAAATGGTTCTAGAATAATTCACCACGAGGGAGTTGTCAAGATATAAATCTAAAGCTTCAATTTTAATTTCCGTTTCAATAATTATAGTTTCTCACTGCTTAATTAAATTTTTGTTAAAACATACTGAACTCTATATTTTCAATAATATTAAAATCACTCCCATTTTAAAATGACATATTTGACAATAATTCTCAACTGATTTTAAAAAAATTCAAAATCCCTTGAAGTGATCCGATTCCTGGTCAATCACCTGGATCCTGGAGTAATTTTTAGTAAAAGGAAATTAGTTTATAAAGTGGTTATAATTTTAACTTTCAACTTTTTATTCTATTTCATCGCATCTTCACCTTAAACTTTGAGAAATTATAGCTTTTCCATTTAAATTTTTTTTTTAACTCTCTAACTTTATTTATCTTCACCTTTTGTTTATTATTTCTAACTTTTCTTTCTCTATAATATCTCTCTAAATTTTTAATTTTCATTTCTTTTCTAAGGTAATTTTTATATGTTTACAATTTTGTCTCTCACCCTCTAAAATTTCTCTCTCTAATATTTTTGTTCTTCTCTATCACTTTTGTCAAATTTTCTCTTTAAACTTCAAATATTAATCATTCGAAACCACTTTTAATTATATAAAAATAACTTGAAAATTTATGTAACGAAACGTTAAAATAACTATATATAAAACTTACCTTCACGAAATCAATTATCCCTCTTAAAATCATTCTCAAACAGACTCTTATAACAGATTCGTGAGTTGGGTATATCACGTTCTCAATCAAACAACATCTTGCAAAATAGTTTTAAAAAGAATTCGTAAATTCATATTAAAATAACAAGGAGAAATTACACTATGCAAAATTAAATAATGTATTCTCAAATATGTTAGCAAATTTTATTTTTTACAAATATAGAAAACAGTTACTTCACGTTAGAATTTCTTTGTGTTGATTATCGATTTTGTCCATCCACTCTTTTTTCTAACTCATCCCACCTCTCCCCCCAATCAATTTTCAACCTCTTCTTAGCTTTCTAATAAACGTCGTAAAAAAATTTAACTATTATAGAATTACCAGTTATAATTTTATCTTTAATAAATTATTTTTTATATTGGTGAATCCCACCCCATTTTTAACCAACTTTTACTTATTATATTTTGAGTGAGAGTTTTCCATACATAAATTAATTTTTAATATCTTTATTATTCATAAAGAAATTCTTTTGAGTATTAACAATATTTTATTGCAAAAAGGAAGGCAATGAAATTATAGCGATAATTATTGTACAAGTTTATTTCAATAATTTATTGTCTTCATTTAAATAAATTATTTAATTGGAATTTATAATTTATGTCTTTTATTTTAATTTTATTAACTTTTGGTTTGTTCAGTCTTCTTTTATTTAATTTCTTTTTCAATATATATTCTTTTAAATTTTATTGTTAAATTGCAGAGGTAGAGTTTTTTCATATTGCTTGAAAAGAGACTTTGCATTTGGATATCCACATGTGTACATTGTCAATTTGTAGTATCAAAGGGTTGGTATAATCAAACTTTTGAATATATTTGTCTCTTCAAGAACCAATTTTGTCCTCGCCACCATTAAATGTTTGACAACTAAAAGGTGAGAAATGCAAAAATAGAAAGTTTTTCTAAAAAATAATGAGTTATCAAACATTTAATGATGGCGGGACAAGATTTGGTCCTCATCGATAAAGAGTCAAGAATATTCTATAATTTTATGTATCCTTGCTAATACAAGACAAAATATTGTTCGATGTACATATAATTAAGTTATTAATCAAATCGTCACAATTTCTTGATTTCAATAATTTATTGCATACATTTATTTTCATAAATTCATGAATTAATATTAATAATTTATCATTTTATTATTTTCTTTGAAGTAT